ACCACTGACAAAGTTGCCTTTTCGACTCGGACATCGCTCATCCGAAATAGACGCGAGGAAACGAAGAAAGCACAAATGAGTCGAGAAAACGGGACGTGATGAAGGAGGAAACAGGAGGCTGTAAAATTTAGGAAGGCCGAATGATAAACCAACGAACTGCAGACGACCTGGATCTGTGGTGTCCAGACTCGTACTTGCTTATTCCCAAATGTATTTTAGTTTCAGAAATATGTAAATTCATTAAAAATTTAAAGCATCCCAGATTCGGCAATAATTCTCATTCTATTTACTATTCCATCAAATATTTTCCTTAACACATCAACAACTTTATTCCAGAATATTTCCCGTGTTAAAATAAGCCTCAGTAATAAAAATTTAATTTAAAAAAGTGATACTTTTGGCAAGAAACATTTCGATTAATCATTCATATTGCTGCAGCCGAGTATCTGTCCATAAACATGAAACGACTGTGTTTCCAATGAATAGAGAACATACATGTTCTTCTCAAACGACTCTCTTAATGTGAGCAGGAAGGAGATTTAGCGTAACTACTCCTCATCCAGAACTATATTTAGTTCGGCGTTGTCAAGTTTGAAGAAAAAAATAATCCAGGAGGAGGAGAAAACCGAAATCATCCTCAAGAAGAGGAGGCATGAAAAGAAGGGGAGATAACTATCCTGCATCAATTTTACGTACAAAAATTCATAGTTCGTAATCAGTTCAAACTGCAAAAAGACGACAACCAGGGGACAAGTCCATCTCTAAGGATTGTGCAATGCGATGGATGGACGCTACGTGCACTGGGAGTAAATCGTATCTCGTATGACCATGCTTACTTAAATGGTAAAGGTCAAATTCGCTTGAGAAATGCTACACAGCTTTGCAAAAGTGTCAAAGTTCAGAGTTACAGATGATAGGGCAGGGATAAAGACCAAGTTTAAAGTCAAGTGCACATACGTAATAATTAAAATAGATGGATGCACTAATAACATGATGATGAGGTATTTCAGAAAATAAGTCAAATTTGTATGCCCAGCAACCAAACAAAGTACAAAAATGAGTTCTCCTCCTGCTTCTGTCTTGAACCCATTTTGTCTTTAGGACCAGTGCCAAATCTTTTTGGCGTAACAACAATTTGCGAATTTGTCCGATCATGTTCGGTCTTGTTTTGTTCCATTTGCCCCAAAAAAACGTGTGGTATCCGAGTGGATGGATAGACTTTTCGTGTGCAAAGACCTTAATATTGTTTTCAATAGGAAAAATAATAATAAAAGTCACATTACGAAATAATTTACCTGCTTTAAATTATACTTTCATTTATCCAAATTTAACGAAAACAAATAACAATCTCTTGAAATTTCAGAAGAAAAATGTGTTTCAATATTTTTTCAGACAGTTAAAACTTTGCTTTCAGCTAGATACTTCTGCCAAACAAGAAGTTGAGGTTGAACCTGATTTTGTTAAGATGAGAGACAGCAGACCTCATCATCACAGAAGGTGACTCATTCTCAAAACTTGGAGTTGGTTGGTGTTTGTTAGTAGGTCACTCTTTTTCTGATGACAGTTCAACGTTCGGCTCAATTTATTTTACGTCGTGTAAGACTTGTAATAAAGTAAATCTTGGCCAGGTCAAATCCTTCAGAGAGAATGTATTTAAGACGTGAAATGTCTTGTGCCTGAGTCATCCAAAAGTCAACCGCAAATCAAAAGTCAGAGATAAGTTTCCGGACCTTTCCCAGCCTCACAATCTCTACAGTCTGCAGCTACATATGTACATACATCATATCATGAGGATGGCAAACCTGCAGGATCTGGCGAATTTGACTAGTAAATATTTTCTCTAGTCGAGAAGATGTGTTGAGACGATTAATAACAGTCATTTTCATGGGTAGATAAATAAAATAGATGGAAATTAAAACATGTCTAAAATAATTCATAAATAATAATTGGTTCGCGTACACAAGTTCGTTGGATGGCAGAACACATGAGCTGCATACCAAGCAGAAAAAGACGTACTGCTATTAGGTTTCAGTAATATATACAAATACCAAATGGGTTGGAAATATCATTTGAACTGCCACAGTGTAAATAAAAGTCAAGTCATCTAAAGAGAGTCAGTCAGTAGCAGATCAAATGTCTTGGGACGTGTCGTTTGTTTGTTGCGTTGCAAATAAATGATGCCAAAATGGCAACTGCTGATCCATTTCGAGATAAGGGACACCGGCTGATTTAGGAATAATCAAAAAGTCTCTCCGAGAATGTATTTAATGTGCAAGCCTTTTACTTAATGTCTGATTATGCATGTACTTCTACATGTTGGACTGCCATTTACGATGTGCGATTAGGTACATATGTAGATGTGCATAAGTAGCTGCCTCATAAATTAATATGTGAAGAAGAAGATCCCTTCCGAAATTTCTTTTCGAGGGAGTGGAAGAAAATTAAGGTGTAAAAGGAGATCATTTTCCGAGATAAAGCAACAACCGCAGGAAATTTATCTTGCATTGTAATATGTACGAGCACTACTGAACTGACTACTGCGACACCCGAGCTTGTGGGCAGTGTAATTCATGGCGAAATATTTTTTGAGGAATTAAATCACTAATAACTTTACAGCCACTACAATGCCCTCGTAATATTGGGAGGAGAAAGAGCTAGGTGTGTTCTTGGGATGGAATTCAGCTCTTATATAATATTCCTTCCTTGGGTGGTGTGGACAAATATGGACAAAAAATGAGCTGCACGTGCATCCCTGTAAATGACTTACACACTCTTCTTCTTCTCCGTCCATGCACTTATTCGATTCAAATCCTGGACTGGTAATTTAACAAACAAAACTAAACCAACATTTAACCAACATTTTCTTCATGTAATGACGATGCTCGCGTTTAGTTTCAGTCTGCTGCACAAAGAAAGAGAAAGATTGTTCGTGCTTGTACTAATACGAAATTGTGTGTCAGTCATCTCGTCACTCACTCTTGGAATACGGAATACCAGCCCATCATCACAATATTTGTGGAAAATGACGATCTAGGATAACGATGATGGTCATCATGACCATTTTTTTATCCAATAACTATGTATGCATGTAACTAACTACCCATGGAAAAAAAAATCTTGCTCAAGCATTATTTTTGTAGTCCTCGCCAAGTTGGCAATAGAAATTGGAGAAGTTTACAGGCTGGAGATGAGATGAGAATCACGCTCAAGTGAAGTGTTCAAAATGCACTTTGTATAAACAATGAATTCGATAATGATATAAATAATGCTCGGATGGAGCCAGTTGGTCACTTAGGTTCGTCCCAAGTCAAAATATTTATATTCTTCGAATTCGAATTGTGATTTGTGACGTCTTATCGTTATGAAGGAAGAGAGGCTGAAATTGGAATGGGCAGCGATATCAAGAGAGAGAGAGATCAGATTCATTCATGCTTGCTCAACTTAAAAATGAAACTTTTCCCTTCTGTTGTAAAATCGACCCTGGATTCTTGTAATGCCTGCATTACATAAACTCTACATGCCAAAGTATCGAATTTACATGGCTTATTTTGCATAACACACTAGTTTATACTAGTTTATGATCGTATGCGTTTCTCCCAAACAAAATACCGATAAGTAAGTACTGCATAAATATGTTCCCCATCCACCAGGACGTCGCTGACCTCACGACTTTCCTCATTGTACAACTTCCATTTTTCTCTCTGGGAGCAGTGTCACGTTTCAATAATACGTGGCTATTAGTTTGCCATTCCTCAAAACACTTTGCTAATAACACCCGAGAGGAACATTGTTTCTTCCGCCAATTAGGCCTCCCAATCGGTGGTGTTGCACAATACAACAATAATAATAATGCAGCATGACTATCGTGTCGTCTAGACAGACACCCCCACACACATGTTTATACATATGTATGTTTCTACATATGCACGTATGCTGGCTGGCTATGAGCTGAGCACAATTAATACCAATAAATATGCACCACAGCCTTGAAGACTACATTTCAACTATGCCTGCAAATTTTTCTGCGAGCCATTTTCACCAAGCAAATTCCTAAATAAATGATATTCATTTCATGACATGCTTCATTTGCAACATTGAGTGTAGCAAATAATAATAATAATGATAGCCAAACATCACATCTAAATCCATATCTAAATCTTCTCGCCGCGTCTAAAATGAGAAGATGATGAGCAAAAAAAATAGACAAAAAACCTCATTCATAAATCCATTATTCGAATTTATTGCCTCCCACTGCCCACGTCCAATTAGTCCAGCTCTTGTACAGCTAAATGATCAACGACACGAAGGAGGTTGGCCCTTATTATTGCTAAAATTATAGAAATTCTCAAAATCCTGTCAAACAAGGTGCACATTTCACATTTTTAAAGTGTTAAGTAATCTTGCAAATTATTATATTTCAAACATATGCGAAAACTAATGGCCTAGAGGAAGAGACAAAGGTTGCAAATTGCCCATGCACATAGGATTCCGTAAGGCCAAAGAAAATTGCAATGACCGAATTGTATCACCAAAATGCCATCATCGAGCTGTGTCGAAGAAAGGATAAGGGACTGACTACATTACAACAATTATTGTTGATTCCGATGAAAATGACTCATCGGAGGAGGAATGATTCATAACCAACTCTCACAACAAACCAAACCTTCCCTGTTTACACACCAACCAATCATTCAAATTATTTGCCGATTTCAACTCCTCTCCATATTTGGCGAAATCTCATCTCAATATCTCATCTCATTAAGAAATTTGTAATCGCAAAATGAAGCAAGCAGAGCGTGCATGCAGACGGCTACAAGAGAAAGTCATGTCTCAACAATTAATCCAGCCTACTAATAATAAGAATATTGATAATAATAACACACACAAGAGAGCTAATACACATTGACACCCATCCCTCGCAAAAAACTGGGAGTTTTTTCATCCTCCAGTGGGTGGGATATTATTCCGTAGCAAAATTAAGGAATTATTATGGGACGTACCATATCCAGCAGTTTGTTATCATCAACGGCCACGCTGGACGATAGCATTTCACTCGGGACGGTGACACTTCGTCGGAAAAGTCGAGATTTTGGGTTGCGCCCAAGATCACCCAAGCCCAAAGAGTCGCCTCCAGGGTCCCCGTCCATGCTCTCACTCTTGAACATTTTCAACATGTCTCCTCCCGTTGTAAACCCAGTCCAACAATGCACAATTAGTGTAAAAAATGACCACTGCCGTCCGGTCAAGCAGATTTAAATGGAACAACGACGACTTATCAGAATTCCTTATCTTTCTCAACTCGATTCACCATGTAGTGGGGTAAACAATGAACATGCAACCATTGTTCCTCCAACTTTTCACTTGTGCCATCATGTCCACCTTACTCTTTCTATTCTTCCATTCAATTTCTTAATTGCAGAGTTTTAAACGAGTTGTTGCACTTATCTTGAATCAAGAGAATTGTTTGACAAAAAAAATGTCCACTTTTATTATTGCGAGAATCTCTCGAGGTGATTTTTTGCTGGTCTCTTTCTTTCTTTGTTGTGTTAGACGCGGGAGGTGGTGCTTCCCAATGACCAAAATCATCATCAGCGAAAGGTTTATATTATTGAGATCTAATTTGTTCCTGCTCACCACGTCCAACTAATTCGTTTGTTTGCATTGTCTAATTACTCGTGCATCGTAGTAAATAATATCTGCCAAAGAATTGTCGACTGTATGCATGAATACGCAGCGAATGGAGAATTCAATCACAAGTTTTCCTTATGATCCACCCAGGCAAATCAAAAGTGATCAAAAGTCGCAAATCAATTATCTCGATCGATATGTAGATGGGAAGCAATAACGACGAGCACAATGAGGCATACGAAATGGATTACGTTATTTTATTTTAATAATGTCTTGTACTCTTCTCTTTGATGTGACTTTGGATCAAGGTTCGCCCATAAAATGGACGTGGGACTTGGACATAAAAATGTATGTACAGTTTCAATCTCTCGGCAAACAACACCTCTAAAAATCTTCCTCGCCTATAATATTTAGCTGAACGTTGCGAAGTTGGCAGTTCGAACTTGAAATCATTTCTGTTGATAATTCAAGTTTGTGTATAGCTTGGACTGAAAGTGAAATGTTGGATTATATGTGCAGATACTTAACACTGGCTGGCACTGTAACAAATACGAATGCATATTAACCATTTATTTGTGACTACGCTATGTGTAATTTGCATGTTTTCTTAATACACCAAATCTGGTCACACTTATCCTACAAGAAGAAGAAGAAACCCCTAAAGCGCAACAGGTTGCGTGTTAAAAGTTAGAAATATGTGCGACCACTGACATGCACGAATTCGTATGTGCATACTTTTGCACCCGACAATTAACATGCGACGGATGACCCAACGCTGAATGGCGTTTACCTGATTAAAATCAGTCTAATTATGTTATTTTCTGTGAACAACCTGTGTGTGAGATTGCCTAAGTATTTATTCCTTATGTATCACTGACCGTGGATTCCTCGTAAATAAATTTCCAGAAATTATAATGACAAGGAGTACTACTGTTGTGGAAAAACGAGTTAGTTAGTCCCCATAAATCTCAATTTAAGCAATTTTCGGCTACTCTTTGCCGCTCCATTGGAGGAGAGTTGGATTTAGAGCATTTAATTAAATTGCAATTTTATTAACATCTTGACGTTGATGTTTATGTCAATTCTTCCATTTTTGTACGTGACCGTGTCAAAATAATTCAGTCTCACTAATTCAAAAAAGTATCCATTAAACTATCTGCTCGTTAAAAATCACACGATGCGTGATCTTGAGGATTTCTGGTCGTTAATCGGTAGTAGTGATCTGGGAGCAGGGCATAAATAAATCTCTTCTCGCAGTTCCCAATTTTTTCCTAGCTATATTTTACTAGTCTACACTACATTTAATCACCTGCCAGTTATTACCCCTTGTTGCTCCTTATTAATAACAATTTGTTGAGCAACAACCTGCCTGCGTTCGGCAAACCAAGTAAGACTGACACACATCACAAACATTTTATGGCGCCTCGTAAAACCTTTCTGACCACAATTGATTACACTTTGTCAAATTTGATCAAGAAGATCGGCCAAGAATGACCCGGAGCAATTTTTATTCAAACCAGATCGCTGTTTGACACGAAAATTTTAAAGATTTATAGCTGTGATTAATCCCAGTTCGCTCCAGGTATGCACAAAGAAACAGGTGAGTGATAATAGTACGTACGCAAGCACGAGTAATATCTATGTTCCAGCAGGAAAGCTTATGTATGCACATACATAAACAACGCAGGGGTACATTATCTAATTCATTGAGCTGAAAATGAGCAGTCCAATCTGCACATGTTGCCAATATTTCATTTATAAAAGTACCCGTAAGATCGTTTAGGCAAAGAATCTTTACCTACTTGTAAATGTTCTCGAAACATTTTTCACTTGTCAGTGCCAATCATTGTAGGTTCAAAAATTGCACATATTTCAGATAATTTCAAGATCCGGATTCCTACCCTTTTGCTGTTTACTATTATTATTATTATTATTATTAACTGCAGCGTTATTAGTGTGCAACCTCGATCCGTAATGGGTTATGAGACAAGGCTCAAAGTTTTTAAGAAAGAGAATGCAATCCAATCAAACCAGAGAGATTTTCCTGCACTTGGCGAAAAACACACAAGAAGTTGGTTTAATGTACACAAGGAAAAATATAAGGAGATGTGCCAACAAATCGGAAAGAGCACTTGTTGGATGTTGGACGATTAAATAGAGACTGAAGCGATATTCCACTACACACAACGTAACCACATCACGATTACATCCAGCTTCAACCAAATTGTCCAATGAGATGTTCATTCATCTTGGTTTGGTTTGTACTACAAGCTCTTCTAATCCTTTGTTATGTGGTGAATGAGCTGGCATCCAGATGGATCATGTCTTCATTTCAGCTCCTCTTCGATTACATAAACGTGTGCACAAGCAATTGTGTGCGAGAGAATAATAAACCTGGAAGCCAACTCTGGTTGGATAGCTATTGGAGCCAGATAATTATTGATTATCTGCTTATTACTTAATCCGATTGAAACGCACAATTATTTATTATTAGTCGAGCTAACCACATTTTTGGTTAGTTTCTGTGAATAATTATTCGTTCAAGAGGAAATAATGGTTGCGGTTTTGAGATTCCAATAACCAACACACTTCCCAGATAACAGGTCGCTATGAATTCGCTTAGAGAATTCGCAGAGAATGTCGCGTTAAAACAGAGAACTCGAATTCTCTCAGATTTCGTTATTATTCTCGTATCGAATTCGCATCGAATTCGGTAATTATTCGTATCTAAATTCGATATTACGCTCATTTCAGAATTCGTAATGAATTAGACTCGAATTCTCAGAGAATTATTCTATCGAATTCGAAACGACTTCACTATGAATTCTTAAACGAATTCGCTGTTATTGTAGTGAGGAATTCTCCCCGATTTCGATAGGAATTCTTCTTACAGGAATAGGAGACTATAAACTGTTCGCCTTGAATCTCGAATTCGTAAATAATTCTTAGAGAATTCACTGTGATTTCTCTCTTTCACGCTGTTATTGTATTTTTAAGTAATTTTATCTGCCACATTCAAATCTTTCCTCATGGGAAGGAGACGACTTTTTCAGTTGAGTGCTCGCTACAAAAGAAGACTTGTAAAAACACCAAGTGAAATTTTCGAGGAAAATTTCGATAGTGACCTAGTCCAGGCCGAAAGGGAAAACATTTATTCCGAACAAGTGTTCGAGGAAGATCTGGAAGAAATTGAAGTCGGAAGTAAGTTCAGCTGAAACTATTAACTCAGAAAGTGAAGGTGAAATTGATACTTTTGATATTAGACATAGTATCCAAAATTGGTCAATTGAATTTAAAATTCCTCATAATGCAATCTCATTATGCAACACTCTAAAACATTTTAAAAATATGTTAATCTCAGATGCGGTAGCAGCTCACCCAAGGACTCCAAATTATCCAGACGAGGGCACAGTTGACGAAGAAATACAAAAATCTCTTAAGAAAGTCGCAGATAGAGTTGGGAAGCGTATGAGGTACAAATATATACTATCGATAATAACTGTTGCAAAAGATTTTAGGAATAACATTAGTATATTTTCAATAGGAAGTGACTTAACATCGCGGCCAATTTCACTACCAGGGTCATCTGATTATTCAACTTGTTTATTTTAATAGAAACAGTTATGTATATTACATAATATTTAGAATAAATCAAATAAACTATAAGCTGGATTAACTCGAAATATAGCAGAAATCGTATCGATTTATTACTTAATTCGCAGTGAATTCGTATAGAAGTCGCATTAAATTCGTGGAGAAGTCGCATTGAATTCGTTTAGAAATCGTTATAAACTCTTACATGTTCATCGAATTCAAGACGAAATCGCGAAGACTTACCGGCGAAATCGATATACGATTCTCCATCGATTCCCTGTCGAATCGGCGGACATTTCCCTTCGATATCTCCTCGAATTTATCTCGAAAGTTGGAAATTCGAGGCGAATTCGATATCGATATAAAAGCGAATGTAATATCGAAACATAAGAGAATTCAGAGCGAATTGTTATCTGGGTTTTATTATAATTCGGTAAATGTTTGTATTTCGAAATGTTAACCAATTTACAACGTGATTTAACATCAGTGGAACGATTTGTAGGATTGTTGAGACTAGTAAAAGTTATTATTTATTTTATTCCCTTGTCCATGTAAACTTTCTAAAATATGCAAATTATACTGTTATGTCATGAGTTAATTGTCACAACAAATGGACACTTTGAAGTATAATAGAACAGTAACAACACGATTCATGGAATTTGCAGAGTTATGCACATACAATTCACAACAATGCATCAGGATTTCCAAGTTTAACAATGCCACAAAGAAAACAACAAACAACAAATACGCGTCCGCTACATAAGCTCAGAAATCATAATCAATCTCATTTCATTATACGTTGCACTATTAAAACTAAAGCTAACAATGCAACAATAAACTTTTTGGATTAAACATAAAGGTGTTTTCGTCCCTCCCTTAATAAAAAATTATGTGCATTAAAAGACACCATAATTTTAAATACTTTACCGATAAAGCACCAAACAACATTGCGATAAATTCTATTTTATTCAACCAAATATTTCCATCTGATAGAAACCATTTCCAAAAAAAACGTCGTTCACGTGTTTTTCCTATGGAATTTTCTCGCGAAGGTTTCAAGATAAGTGAGCCAAAATAAATGTGGGCTGGTTGTTGGTGTTATAGAGGAATTCGGTGATTTTATTTGGAGGCGGATCAAAACAGTAAATCTCTCACTCACTCCCAGCATACATATCCACATACAAATATGTATATCGCAACCAGCTTGTGTCGCCTAACGAAATTCACAGAAATCATCGCCCGAAAATCGTAAATGTAAAGATTTTTCTCAGAAATAACATGTCATCCACGATGCGTACGTAATCGATAAGTTTCCACTTTTCTTATTCTACCAAATCCAGCTTTTCAGAAAACGTGAATTGTTACCAGTCCACATGTTATGCTAGTCCGGCCAGAGGTATCCGCGCAGATCTCATTGCTACGTGATCTAGTTATGTACAACTCATTCGGAGAGAAGATGCGAGAAAAGTGTTCATTTGCATTCGTGATTTTATGCAGCGAGCAGAACAGCATCGATACACATGTAGTCTGTATATCCCATCATCTTAAAGTAATCACAACCGATTTGGAGTTGGCATTGTCTTCAGAAGAGCATTGGCGTGTAGTGCATCGTCGCCAACTGCTGGACTTTATTTGAAGTACGTAAGTAAGAAGACGAACAAGTGGAGAGAATGGGTGACCCTGAGGCAGAGGCGATTTGTTGGAGAGATGGAAAGTCAGACCGGACTTGGACTTTTTGCAACTCCACCCTTCTTCTTATCCGCCCCGATCCCATCAAATACAAGCTTCAAATCATACATCGTGTCCCCACAACAGAGGTGAACACGTTATAATAAATACGCTATGCAGACCATGCAATAACCATTCTCGCATTACTACTCGTGCAGAGGCGAGGAGAGTACCCTGTTTCATTACCTGTTCTCATTAACTTTAAGCCAAATACATATCCAAACCTGGACTAATCAATGATCATCAAGTTAATTAAAAAGTAAACCAGAAAGACTGATGTCATTTCCGAGGAAATTATTCGAATAGGTTTTTAAATGCATGCAGTATCTCTTTTTTTGGGTCGGTCCGATACCTCGATTAGTCGTTATGTACTCGAGAAATTGTGAAGTCATACATACATTTTGTATAATTGCAGTATTTCTCTGACCGGATCTAGGTATTTGTTTGTACATACAAATATTCACTCCAGGCAAAATAACAAAAAGACCACCGAAATTCTTATTAATCGCAATACATGATTTTGCATACATAAGTTATGACCGCACTAAAGAAATTACATGTTCAGGTTGTGCACGCAAGCCTATTAGGATTTACGAGAAACTTGATCTCAGGTGATAATCATGGGTTTACTGAACCAAAACAGCACGACTAAATAAAAACTGACCACCATGTTATGTGACGAGACGACGAGTAAGTACTTACATAGAAGCTCAACAAAAGAACGCAGATGATCATGATTTTTCAATAATAGTAATAATAATAAAAACTAACCTTAATCCTCCATCATGGGGTGATCACCAAAGAATAATGACAATTATATTCGAACGGCCTCCACTGCCAAATTTTAGAGTTTAAACACTCAAATAATTCGTAATGATGAGTCACGCAATTCAGAGAGAGAGACAAAGTTTTGCCTTTACTTCGACTAACTTTTTCGCAAAATTCTCAATAAAAACTTCACCTTTACACGATCCTCCTCCTCCTCTGTCGGATGGTGAGAAATGACTGGGATGGATGGAAAAACGAGTGGAAATGGCCCAAGAAGGAAATGCGACGTACATATGAAATAAATTTGCAAGATGACGAATGACGGAAAGAGGTTGCACTTGCAAACTTCTTCGGTGCATTGTCATAATATGTATAACGTTTCTATGAGAAAAAAACTAAAGGACGACTAAAAGGTGACCAGAGGTGCGTGGGCGATATACGTACTTAGAGCTGAAGCTCAGAGCTGAAACCTTAATTGTTACCCATCAACAATCAACAATAAGGAGAGTCAGCACCAATTTGCCATATAGATTATCTGCAGATCGACTCTTACTAATTCATACACGCTCATTTAATGCACCTCTGCTTGATCCACCTGTCCAAAAATATGTTCACCAATACGGATGGCTCCTCTCCTTATCCGTGGTATAAATGCCAACAACAACAGGGTTCGTTCAGATCAGACAGGCAAAAACAAGCTGACATTTTTCGCTGTCTATTCTGCCTCCAATGTTGGCTAAGTTTCTGATATGTAACCTGCCCTATTTACACAATGTCATGTACCTCAGCCAGCAGTACTACCTGTAGGTGTGTATAGATGGAATTACTGCTAAAAAATAGCCAGCCACGATATGCCAAAATTTGTACACTCATCATCAAGAATGTTCTCAAATAAAATAAAAAGAAAATTTGGTGAAGATTTTACTTTTTTGTGGATGACTTATTGGTCTGGGATGCAACAGATAGTTGCAGTTTTTGATTATAGCAATAAAATTGTTTTGAGACACCTGACGCGAAAATGTGATAGGTGATGATGATGACCAGTCTTGGAACCATTTTAATGCCTCAGTTAGCGGAGAACATGCCCAGAAATGGACTAATTCACAATTAGACGCACAATAAAACCAATGATGCCCACTCGTTCTTATTTCTTCCGACATTACAATTCACCATTAGTCACCGCATGCATGATGATGATCATCTCATCCTTTGCCAGAAAATTCTACAAAGTTCTACCAAGAATGACGTTACACTTTCCACATAAGAAGCTCGCCTATATATATAAACTTGTTATTGCTTGGTAAATCTCCAACTTTTTTTCCCAATCACTAATAATATATAGAATTTGCAATATGATAAGGAAACACCTCTTCATTTACGTTAACTCGCGACTTAATTTACTTCTTGTCTTAAACGACGTGTTTTAAATACTTTAAGATCAATTCATTTCCAATACATATGGAGCAATCTAATCTTAATTGACTTACAACTCCAGAAAAGGCCGAGGACAGCGCATTTCTTAATACTTTAAACAGATAGAGAAAGATTTGTGGACACTCCTTCTTCTTCTCCCTCCGAGAACAAGTTAGTGGTCTAAACACAAAACATCTCCGAATGGTACCAAGATTAGAAACAAGAAATGTTTAATTACATAAAAACTCGATTTGTTAAAGGGTTGTCCAAATAGACTTTGGCCGATAAAAAAATCTATTGCATATTTATTCCTATTTTTATAAATGAGCCTGCAAACTGTTCGTGCTACTAATGAATGTAAAACAAGAGATGGTAACAGTGATAAAATACGATCCAATAGGTGTTTGGCAAGTATGTATTTAGAAAAAGAATTTGATCCACGCTTTAAAAAAATACGAATCGATGTGGATGAAGGTTCCTCATCTGAGGGTTTAATACCACTTAAGTTATGCTGGGTATCGATTGAATTAATAGAAGGTGAGATAAACAGGGACCTAAATTAGAGGAAGGCACTAATTATCACAACTCGTATTTCGAGATTCTACTACTACTATCCTCAACCAAGAGATTTGCATGTTCTACTCCTCTGCTATTTTCGCTATATGAATAACAATGTGTCCCGGAGACTTCATCTCTGCACTCAATCATGCGGAAAATAATGGGATCCTCAGAAAAAAATGGATGCATGTATTAAATAAATAGATGCACGTACCTTGTTATTTGCATGGAGTACCATGAGTTCCTTGGATAGGTTTCCGATCGACCCAATGTCGTTGATCTCAAAGCTCCCAATGGGCTCAAATTCCTGCGTAATAAATCAGTAATTATAAGCCATTGGATGACACGGATTTAAGTAAGTGGCAAAAGCATGTGTCATGTCAAATCATGGCCTGTGACCTGGCGCCTGAGACCTTACGGCCTACATGGCCAGTTAAAAAACTTAACCGTCTTTAACTTTTATGTCGATGAAAAAACTCGCAAAAATTGATTCGTTCAAATGCTAGAGGACCGACAAACGGACAGACGGTTTATATAAAGTAGCTCTCGCTGTTAAAAATAGCCAATATATTTATAAGTCTCAACAGCCACATAACTATTATTACATACCACACACTTATCGTATTTGTATATGTAGCTTCACTAATCCATAAAAATATCCTATCGCAATAAATGACTCATTTCTACATAGTTGACACAATTTAATAGAAAATTCCAATGCGATGCATATACGTACTTCATAATCTTATCTCGCCATTCAATAAATTCTGGATACATATGGAGTAAAGATTATTGGATCAATGAGATGATGGGTATTTTGCCCTTATTGAGAAATTTGTACCTAAATTAGAATATCTCGCATACACTTACAACGCTACTCAGCAGCCTGGACAAATCAGCCTACTAAATTCGTAGTACTACTTGCATATGAAAACGTGACAATAATATTGTCATTTTTCATGGAGCTCACTCACAATGTCTTAATTATTATTATTATCGTGTCCAAACTAGACAAATAATGCACAGTGTGGGATCGATTGCACTAATAAGAATGGAGCGAATACATAGAGTGACACACACAATAAAACAATGGGTATTATTGAGATGGGTTACAATTAAATGCGGATGAAAGACAAGAGCCGCCACGGCTCCAGTTGTCGAATGGAACTTGCAACCTCGAGGCAGAAGAGAAGAAGGCTGATCCAGAAATTACTTGCAGGACAACAATTGACGACACATTCCCATAAAATATGAACCAACAATAGTAGTCTACTAAAAGCACAATGATATCATTCAATTAATATTCACGAAACCAATCACTAAACAAATATGTAAAACTTTGGAATAATCCATCATTCCGCACTCTGAGTACACAAGCAACTTTTTGTGTCGAACCAACTTTTGCAATAGTGTTCCTCTTTTTTAATGATTTCACTCCACCGAAACAAACTGAACTAATATTTATTGACTATGAGTAGAGTATTTTTTCCAGAGGAGAGTATTTTATTTCATGAGAATAACAAGACGCGTAATTGCTGGAGATATGCGCAAAATCTTCCGAATTTCAACGTTCGTGGGAAAATTTCGGGATTTTACGACGTTTTGCATTTACACTGAAAATACGTCGTATGACAATTTTCAACTTAAAAGTAGTAGGCGTTCCGAGTTAGCAATATTCAACAAGATTACACCGCTTTGAAAGATGTGATTAAAAATGTGACACTCGTAACTAGATATAAATTAGGTGGATATTAAAATATTGAGAATGCTGGAGATACAAAATTATAAAATGAGCCGTGTTGTGGTGGAATGGAAATTTATTTGCCAGCGATTCGTAAAGAATTCACTCACTTTGAAGACCAAAATCGAAGTGAAGTATGTTATGTATGTATGTTAAATGACTATCCGCTGCTGCTGGTCTGTTAACATTTGCTAAAAAACTGCCACCACCAAATTTACAAGTGAACACAAGTGTAAACTTCTCGCTGATAATGGGCGCCTACATCCACTACGTATGTACCTCAATTTTTTGGCTGACAACTTGACCATTTTCCTGCTTCCATAATTTTGTCAATACAAACACTTTTCTTGCAAAAATTGTACTATGAAACCAAATTTATTTTTGCAAAAAGTTCCCATAACCTTTTCCCTCAGAAAGAAACCAGCTACACAAAGTATGAATTTAGCTGCACATGTTTTTCGTTAATGGAGTAACCCCTACATTCATGTAAAAACGACATGTCGTCTCATTCGTGTCGACAATACGCCGCATTATGTTTTCACAGTCCCACAAATATAATACACACAAACGGATGGGCGAATAATGGCACAAACAGATGCTGATGATTTTTTTCTGCACTTGATCGTCCATCCTCCGACAGAAAGAGTATAAAGTTTACCACTTGCTAAGTTAGTTTACTATCGTTAAGTTTATTAAGTTTGCAAAGAGGATGAGCAAGCACGATGTGATGTTCTCATACACGATCTTTCATGCCACATGCAAACTTTGTCTCGTTGCTAAACGGTAACATTTGGCAGCGTATGTTAACATCTCAAATACAAGTTTTATTGCATTCTCAAAGTATTTTGCTTAATCTAAATTATCCAGTGTTTGGTAAAATTACATGAATTACATATGCATCAATCTTACCAGTTAATCTAAATCTAGTTAAGGGGATGAAAATGGCAAAATGTGAATGAAACAAAAGCGTGAATGTTCCAATGAGACAAAACCAGTCAGTCCACCACCACCATCGCCATCAAACCAACAACTTGTTTAAACTTTTAAGCGATTAGGATTGGATTTATTATATTGTCGTTATTATGATGTAGCGCTTGTGTTATGTGGTGTGAATATTCTTGCTTTGCATCGACCTGACATTAAGGATTGGATTATTAGCGCATGAGTCTTCTCTAAATAAACATGTGCAGAATCGGGATGGGTGGGATTGTGTAGTTTAATCATTATTGTGAATCTACTGTGAAATTTCTGTTTCCATTGTCTCATTTACCTAAAGTCGATGTCTGCTCGTATTTATTGCACGAGTTTATGCCATATGAATACTTTGTAGCTGGTCTAGTACGGGACCAGTCGTGGTACCTGTGACGGACGATGATGTAATAATGGAAACTTTGAAAAATATTCAATTGGATTTCTAATCTACAGATTAACACGAAAATTTCGGAGGGATGCGCAATTAATCACTTGTCAGTCTCAAATTATGTGAAGTTTCAGATTATTGTCAGATAAAATGTTGTAGCAAACATTATTTTGACGTTGAAAATGAGCAGAATGACGGGACGATGATGATTTTACTTCTTCTTCGGAAGGTTCAATCAAATGAGAATAATTTTGTGAATAATTTTGTGAAGAAATGTGACAAGTGAATGACGAATCATTTCTTTCGATGGTATCATTATTAGTGGTTGGTGAACAGTATGAATATCGTCATGATCCTCAGGAGTCGTTTGCAAATACTCTCTTTTGTTTGAATATTAAATTGCTTGTTGACGTTATAACTTGCCAACTAACGATTGAATACAAAGAATAATATGTAATTATGAGACAAATCGTTGTGGAAGTTTTCGAAGGCTGTGATTTACCGACTTTAATGTGCATGTTATCTTTTGTCCGATGTATGCGTATACCTGTAGTTTGATGAAATTAGACTATGTTATCTGAACGGATCAATTTGTAAAGAAAATTATCATGCTGACAGCACGGATGGGCAATCACTTAATTAATCTAGCAAATAATGAAGTCTCAATTTGTTCTCAACAAAAATTGACAGGGAAGAATATCATGAATCATTCATCCAAGTTTGGTGATGTGTTGTCAGGTTAATTTAATTATGTATTGGTGCTCATAAGAATGATTGAATTATTTAGCTTTTGAAACACTAGGTAAATTTAGTTTTTGTTTTAGTAGACAAGTTGTAAAGTTATGCAAACTAAATAAATAAAGTGCGTTGCCCAAGTATGTTGTTAAGAATAAACAACAATTTTGAAATTTTGTATACATTTAATTAATAGACTTAAAACGAGATAATGCATGCCAATTAATGTTAATTTGTTAAACTCGAATCTGCTTAAATCCTATGTTTGTATGCGTAAATATTTGTAGGCTTAAAATTTTTCAATATTTGTCACCATGCATGAGCAAGGATTTTTCAAGATGGGATGAGTAGGAATATGCATGAAAAGAATGTGGAAAAGGTTGAATGTGAAAACGATACCCTTTTAACGGTTCTAGGATTTAGTTGTATTCCGAAAGTCTCTGGATAAACTTGACACGAGCCTAAATCTCTTCAACAAAATGTGCATCAGCAAGGCTACATCAACTATTGAGGTAACATTACGCCGTTATTCCATATGCATTCCATATTCAATTCAAATTTAAAACATTGAATAAGCATATACAGCTATATTGATATAAATATACATAAGGTTATGATTGTTATAATTAAGTACGTATGGGCTTTGCATGTGGTATTTGACGCCATTTTCTCATGCCAAACCGCTCGTGTTAGTCAGCTAATAATCTATATTTTATAAATCATAGAAATCAAATAATGACACAATTGAAATAACGATGAGTGTGGGAGATTCTGTCAACATGATTCTTGACGGTAAGTCCACTAATTCTGAAGTCAGTCGCAGTTGACCATCAAAATTCTCAATTTAATATACTTGTATCGTATATGTATGAGTAGATAAACAAGGTCCCAAAAAATGGGAAATCTTAGTGAGTCAGTGCAATCACAAATAATAAATAAAATTAGGTTGCAGAATCTTTGCATCACGGCTCTCGGTACCATTTTAAAATGGAACCATTAATCACGTAGAATACTTGGTCCCCTTAAGAGGTGATTTCATCAGAATAGACATACAGTGTATCAATATTAATTTTTGAAATTATAGATTTGCAATTTTTTACAAATTTTAGCAATTGTGTAAGTCACAATTGTTAAATCATTATATTTGATCTCAGTTAATTTAGCACACTTCTCGTCCACTATATATGTCCATGTACGTCATCATACACATACGTCATGTGAGTATGAAAACGCCCTGAATTCTCAAATTAAGATTTAAGAATGCATGCAAAGCAAAATTCACAATGGTTCAAGCAAAAATGATACCGAGACCGGTGATGCAAAAATTCTACAATCTAATTTTATTTATTATTTGTGATTGCACTGACTCACTAAGATTTCCCATTTTTTGGGACCTTGTTTATTTAAAACTTGTAATTGGTTGTCAACGACATTATTGCACTGCACCACCGCCGTTATATTTACATACAGAATAATTTTAGTAAATCTTTATTTTCAAAATTGAATAACGTCGTGATTTCTTAACCGATTTCGGTCAACTTGGTCTTAAAATGATCAGGAGGAACTAGTGTAAATTTTTTGCAATTGGTTAGGATTTTGTGGTGCACCAAAATGTAGCACTGGATAGAAATGTGACTCGAAGTGCAAATTTTTGTCCCTTCTCGCTCATAACTTGAGCAAACATCAAGATATTTCTTAGTCGGACCAGAAATCATTTCCATATCCTCTAACAATGATCTGTGCAAAATTTCATCGAAATCGGTTAAGAAATGACCGAGATATAGAATTATTTCACTTTTTTGGGGTGGGGTAAATGCATACTTAGTAAATTTTTTCGTTGTTAGGTATTTGCCTCACTAAGAAAAAGTACTGGAAAAAGATTTTCTCGCTCATATTTTAAATTACAAATTTATTTTTTAGAATTGGCTACTAGCATGAGAACGGCAACTATTAAGGGGAAAATCAGAACACTGGCAGAGCAAATCTCACTGAAAAGGACTGCTCAACGAATAAATAGAAAAATGGGAGGTAGTTAAAATAAAATTTAAAGTCATCGTCACCATGTCTAATTCAACTTCATTGTATTATAGCTTCCAATCAACTTGTAGCAGACCTGACGGAACATATCACTTCTGATAAAAACGAGAAGAAGCGTCTGGAATTGGAACTACAGAAGATTGAAGGCGACGAGTAAAGTCGGAAAAATGAATATTTCTATGGATTGTAATATAATTAAAAATTAAATTTATGAGTAAATTGAGTTTACCTTCAATACTCCCATCTCAGGATCCGTATCCCCATTTGTGGCATTGGGCAGATTGTGCTTGAGTGTGTATGAGCACGAGTTACCCATTTTGGTCGGACTTCTTCCACCGAGTGAGCTTTTTCCGGTGGGGGTAGAAGGTTGCGACCGACCCAAATTTTCAATCGCGGCTACCGCTTCCTGGACTGACACCAACGATTCTTCACAATCAGCGTCCTCCTCGTCGTCATCCAACACTTGGTCAAGCCTCCCCACGCTCACGCTATTATTATTGTTGCACCTCAGAGGGGAAATTTCCCGTAAATTAACTTCCGACACACTTTTGGTCTGAAACCCCAAACCCAGCTCTGTTGAACTACCACTTGCATCCTTGCTGGATGAATCCGCAGCAATGAGTTCCTCTAAAGATTTAGGTTTCGATTCCGATAAAGCACGTATCTCAACGTCCGGTTTCTTTGAGCGTGTCGAGTTTGGCGACGAAGAGGAATTATTCTTTGCAGCGAAATACTTTTTTGGATTGCGGAGAAAAGAAAGTCTGCTTGGCTTCTCCTTTGGTGCAGATGTCGTAGATAGGGTGTGGGCCGAGGAGGAGTGTTTGCTGGTAAGGGGGGAGGGAGAACCTCCTCGTATGGCCAACTTGCCTTGATCCACGGCGACAAATATAGAGGAGGATTTCTTTGTGGATTTCTTGGTTTCTTTGGACCCCACAGCGGAAGAGGAGGAGGACGTGGTGGCGTTGTTGGGATCTTCGACTTTCTGAGCTGCCACCACCATTGAGCCAAAGTTATCAGACTGGTTCACGTTGAGTCAATTATCACCAAGAGAGGTGAGGAGTTATGTTATTACATGCGACCCACTCTGCGCCTTTCACCTGCAATAATATTGAATAGAAGGAGTGAGCATTCATAAATGTAAGTATTATATTTCATACTTAACGGCAAGATATGTATACAATAATAATCCACGACTTGTTAATCTTAACGAATTTGCGCATACGTGAAATTTTTTACTCATTATAGCAATCATTAATTCCTCGTCGTGCATAGATATTTTTTTCACCGGATGCGCACTCTCCAGCATAATGCATGTTGGTGCATTAACTTTGGAGTAAATGAAGAATTCCACCCGACTGAAGTATATCATTAATCACTGGCTGATTTAAATATTATGGATGAGATTGATGGACGTTCTATGCTCGAAAGGAACAGTGAGACGATAATAAGCTGAAGAATGTTAACAACTACGACAAATAAACAGAGAGAGTCTCGCCCAACTAACTTTTATGTAGACGTGAACAAAAATCCTTCTCCCAATGTGACGTAATTAACGATGAATCAATTATAAATATTATGCTGCAGACGGGGGGAAGAAGTAAGATTTGATACTCAATAAGGTACAGAAATTGTTTAATAATAATGAGATTTAATTCTATCTACAACACTTCACCCTTGTTCATGACTGGATTTGAAGCTCGTTCAATTGATTTCGCAATGTGTGCTCCACTCCTCCTCCTAATAATTTAATCTGTCTACTAAATACCATCTTCTGGCTTACCTGGAATATTTTACATGAAAACTTGACTGACTCACTGGTAGCACTGCTATTCCTCGGTAGCAGTAGAATTCAATTACACGTATATGAGCGAGTATAATAAGTGCTGATATATATATTTTATGGCATGGAATTAATAATGAGCAATCGTCTGTAAATAAATCATGAATCAACCAATATCATGAGAGGGATGAATCGTTCAGAAAGAGAATCTTGCAGATTTCTGTATAAAGTCATGTACATGAATATTGGATGTTTAAAAAAAATATAATTCTAGTAAATGCTTATAAAATACAGAATAATAAAGTATACTAAAATACAGAAAAGTTTTACATGAGGACAAATCTGGAAAACGAATCAGCGAAATAATTCATACATCTGAAAAACATGGAATGAGGAATATTCGAAAATGTAAGATTGCAAAAATCAGAACCTAACCAATTCGTATTTATTTTTATTGCAAAAATGCCCAATAAATCACCAGTGTCCAAATAATTATCAACGGATGCACAATAATAGACGCACACCACCAAAATTATTTAGCAACGCGGTTGACTTTATGATCTCACCTAAAATCCCAGCATCCAGCTGCATACACAGTATCCAAATTTAGGTTTTAGTTGTAAGCTCAATTTATTAGATTTAAAATTTAAACCGAATATGTAGCACTTTACGATTCTTTGTTAGTTATGATATTTTCAACCACTTTTGTCCCAAGTGCACTTGGCACTTTTGTGCTAGAGAATGCAGAGAAGTTTCCCAAACTCGATACCTCAGAAAGATAAAAGTTACCACTGTGCTACTCTTGCAATTTTGCATTGACGAGATCAACGACTGGACAACAACTGTGAAACATTTAAACTTAAAATGTGATTCCCCAGTATTTAATGTACCAGTGAGTGTTCAAGTCGATTAAAAGTTAACGTCAACAGCGTAGACAGCACTGAAATACAACTGAAGTGGATTGCGGATTCTCTCTTAAGTTAGTTAACCATAGATTACCAACAACTTACACACGCGTATAAATAAGCTGCAGTAACTCACATACTTTGTGTTCATTCCAGAATATGAGGAGTGAGCAGCACAAACTTTATAAAAAAAACTATTATATTGCGAATGCGACGACAAGCCTTAAAAGATCCAAGCATTGTAAAATACGGGTTTACTTACGCTATACTGCCACCAAACGACTTAGCGTGTGCTGTACGTACAATTGTTGCCCAATTCAACAAATTAAAGTTCCTAACCTTATGACAAACAATGTGTGGTATGCAGTTTGAAATTAACAATTGTTTTTTGACAAAGGAACTTACAGATTGAACCACATTGTTATGTACTACCCCCTCGCTCCAAGAAATGATTTTGCATGTGCCAAAACTGAAGAGGCAAAGCAAGTCAAGGTTTACTGTATAATGCAGTATAGCAGAAGTGGCAAGAAATCGCAATTTATTCATAACGAAAAAGAACGATGTGCGATATATATAAGTATCTATGTACGACCAGTGGAGCATTCGATAATTATGAGGTTATGCTAAAAACATAGCTTAAAACAACAACAACTGCATGATTTCCGTTACCATTTAATACAAATATCTACGATGTCAAGTTCTCGTATCATTTTCATTTCAAAGTTGTCAAGTTATTTTATACGAACAGCTTTTTTGAGATAATGGAATAAATAATTCTCTCGTGAATCAAGTAATTTAATTCAATGGAAATACGAAATCAACCAATTTATGCGTATCGTTCATCAAGCACTTGTTTCAAGACCACCTTTGCTGAACTGCTCAAGGCATATACATACATGCATAAATACATACGTATGTACATAATAAAGCGAATAATATATCCGCGATGTGAGAAAGGGTGACATGAAATATGAAACTATTTCGCATTGTTGAGGAATGCGCATAGGTTAGGGCGCAAAGCTATCCTTCCTTCTCTTCCCATCCTGTTGAGCCAAACAGCGACAAACTACAAGATCTTTAGTCATTTCTGACATGATGGAAGGAGACCACTTGGAGAGAAGTTGTCCTCCAGCAGAGAGGAATAGGCAAATATTTTTATATCTACGGGAACACGTCTGTCTGGTCATGTTGGTTGGTTGGTTAGTAAGCAAAAAGTTGGATGATGTCATCCCTAATTCGCATGCAAGACAGTTTCATGTGATTCCTTGGAATTCTTATTTCAATCGCCTCAATAAAATGCGATTCATGACGATGCTAACCAGATTATTATAGAACAAAGAAAACCGGCTTTCATTCATGAGTTGAGCATCAATTTTGGATTTGCTCTCTTACCTGACTCAATTTTGGGTGAGGACATGTACAAATTTGAGGAAGAATGAGATTAGTTCTTTGTGTAATAATAGATACACAATTCTCACACTGACTCATTCATTCATTCTGATTTTTTTAGAGGCAGGGTTAAGGTGCTACATACATGTATATGCAAAATATATGTATGTGTGTGTGTGTGTGTATGTGTGCTGAAAATACTAGGTGATCCAATCGTTATGTGATCACTAAGATAACTCTTGAAATCAAGAATTAAAAAATATAATAGTAGTCAAATGCTTTATATTCGGCTATTGCAAATGTCATTGCTCCACAGAGGGTTTTATTTTGAGATTAATGCTCGATCTTCTTAAGTACCGCTTTTACGACAGGTTGCCTTTTTCAGGCAGGGAGACGTTTTTTTAAAATTTGGAACCATTTTCTTCGGGCCGAGAAAAGCTACAGAATGATTTACTCAGTGGCAAAAAATATAAAAGCGCTCATATATTTCGACACATCTGGACAGCTTAAACGATGACACCTTTAGATACCGGGCTCCTTTAGTTGATATGCATAAAAACATCCAGGAGACTGAATCATCACGCGACATACATATCTGGGATATTCCATCATTATGTTTGCTACTTGTTTTTTCTACCGAAGGCCATCGTGGTTAGCACCTAATTATGAGGCTAAAACGTTTAAAAGTAATAAAATGGAGATCAACTTTTATTTGCTTTTGCTCTTCTGAAGCATGTTCAAAAATCTTGATTTAAAGGTTTATTGAAAGTAACCATTTCGAATGTGTACGATAATGGGTTTATTTGAATAGTTCTCTAGAAGTATAACTAATTGGCAAACACTTAAATTGTTATATTCTTTTGTTTGCGGTTCTCGAAAGTCAACTCGGATTTGGAAGAGAATAATTTCTTGGAGCTCTTGAATAGAATGCCAACAAGGTTTTACCGATTATTTAAGGTATTCAAGAAAGTACTCTCACTCATGAATTGCAGACTTTGCTTAACAAAGGCTAAGCAAACAAATTTTCAAACCAAACAATTTAACCTGCAGAATGTGTATATATGCATGAATTTGCATGTAGCATGAATGCAATGCATCTCGTTTAAAATGTCATCAAAATTAGCAGATTAGCTAATAAATTGGGTAGCGCATAAATTTACATTATACAGGCAGACAAATACCGGCCTGTGTAAAGAAATCAAATAATTTGCATTTAAATTCTATTATTATATAGAATTTTTGCGATCCAGTCCGATATTGAAGCTAGAACAAAGCCGACTGATTTTCATTATCTAAATTACTAAATAATGAACTAAGGAATAAGTTCGATTGTTCTAAGCGCTACGGTTCAGTGCAGCCGTTAGTTCGTATAATTCAGGAACTTGTCAACTGCACCCTTAAATCCGTATCATGTCAATAATAACAATCACAATTTTACAATTTGGTTAAAGGCAAATGGAACTTTGTTATGCACATTAGCGTATTGTATTAAAATCTTTTAAAACTCAAGTTATAATATAAGGCATAAATTACTTTAATATAATTTTTACAGAATCAACACACTTAAATGCAAAATATTAAATATCAACGACACTCCCAGACTTTTACAGTTTGGTCAACACTTCCCGTCACAACGAATGGCTGTGTAGGGTGAAAATCTGTACCGGAAACGGAATCAAACAATCAGTCCGGACAAATTATCCCAAATTTCGTCACATGATAAAAACTTACCCAGCGACGTGCAGAAATGAGAATGTGCTTCTAGTACTTTCAAACATCTCTTGTTAGCCAGGTCCCATACTCGTAATGTTTTGTCGTCACTAGAAGATAGTAGATATTTCCCACCGGGATGGAAAACTAAACCCCGGATCCAGTTATCATGCCCGACGAGAATGGTGACACAAGAATTTGTACCAATGTCCCAAATTCTAATGGTCTGCATTTTTTATGTGATTATAATATTATTACTCAATAGTAATGCGTATATGTACCTATTTCGCATTTGAAATATACGAGTTAAAATTTTATTCGAACTAAAATTGAAAGGGTGAAACTAACCTTATCTCGACTACCGGATGCTAGAAAGGGGCCACTGGATTTTTTATTATCTGCCCCTTCACATATTGGCACCGTAGCAGATTCAGGCGCCCAAGCTATGCACTCGACGACATGATCATGATCTCTCAACTCTCCTCGACATTCCCTCGTTCCCGTCGCCCAAATTCTAATTGTTTGATCGTTGGAGCACGAAGCAAGGATGCTTCCGTCTAAATTTGGTTTAACCATTCTAATCCATTCTCTGTGGCCAATAAACGTTCTTACACAGTAGCCAGTGGATATCTCCCACATCTTCATTGTCTTATCTCTCGAAGAGGAAATTATAAAGTCTCCGCCTCCCAAAAAGGCTAAGCTGGATACGTTATGGTCGTGTCCTCTTAATGTCTTTATACACTCATATCCATTCATATCCCATAGTTTTATAGACATATCTGCACTGCATGAAGCTATACATGTCAAAAGAATAATAACACTTCATTATTATCCATCATCATCACATCTATTCCCCCACTAACAGCATTTATTTATAAATTAATGCCTACCTAGAAGTTTCCCATTCCCATCAAAAGTAAGATCCTGAACCGAATCGCTGTGACCTTTAAGTGTTCTTTCGTGATCGCCGGTTTCGAAATCCCATATTCTAATTGTGCTGTCCTCTGAGCAGGACGCAAGGAGGGTGTATATGGGATGAAAAGTCACCCTATTCACGGGTGCGCGGTGTCCGCGCAACATAAATTTTTCCGGCGGTCTAGGAATCCAATCAGAAGGGGAACGCCTTTCTCTTGTAGGGGCCCCTGATATATATTCTCTTTCTTGATCTGCCAATTTTGATTCTAACTCCATCACCTGCAAACAAAAATATTTTATCCCTCCTCTCAACCACCACAAAAACAAATCACATTTTTGTCAATATTATTATTATTCCACTCTCGTCTTTAACTCTTCTCCAACTACCAACTCCTTCTCGGTTACCTTTTTTTGTAGCCTGATCACCGAGGTCCATTTTTTCTCCAAGAGCCCAGAGAACTTCTTTTCACTATCTACAGGAATGTCAACTTCCTTTGTGAATATTTCTAGTGATGTTGTATACCCATTTGTGAAAAGGTAGTCAGCTATGGCTCGGTTACTGGAAATAAGGAGAGAAAATCTCGTCATGATTATTACCACATTTGGGGGAGGAGAACGTGTGCATCGCGTGAGTGGGTGTGACTTACAGTTCTTCTCGTTGTTTTTGAGAGAGGACCATGTTGTGAAAACAAACGTCGACGGCTGACGGGCTTACGACGACGGTGGTGGAGCTGATTGTTGGCAGACCAATATTTATTATTTGGGCCACAGCGGGCTGACTCACACTCATCGCCATCTGCCCCAACCTCCGCTTAATGCACACCCCTCCCTCATCGCCAGATATCTCCGTCCATCCCAGCCACATTCGCATCTCATTTTATTCACATTCACATCACATCCACCTAAAAACCAGGATGAATCCTCAACCAAGAAATGAAGCTGCAAATGAAGGCTTCATTTATGCAAAGAGAAAGTAAGTACAAAATTTTTTGAAGGATAGCATGGCCAAAAAAAATAGGCTGGTATTTAGTTGCCTCCGATTGGAATTATTATTATGAGAAAGTGTTACAAAGTGTCATTGCGAGTTGAGAATGTCGTAGCAAAAATTTCAAGCTGTGTAGTGTAGAAATCTTGCTTGGCATATAATAGTTGAATCATGAAGATTAAAACTCTCAAGTCGTAAATAATAAGTAAAATGCTTCTTTCAGTGGCCGCGGAAGCCAGGGGGACATTAGCATTGTAGGATGGGGGGGGGGGGGGGTGAGAGGGGTTTATATTATAACATGGGCAAATGATGGAGATATGAAATAACCGTGGGGACGATGTCCCCTCAAGCTTCCACGGCCCCTGGCTTCTTTCGTGTAATAATGATTGAGTGGAGTCCGTGATATACGGCCTGACTGAATGAACTGCACTCCATGCAAAATTCGAATACTTAATCATGCCGTGATTAATTAGCCATCATGAGTCAGCAAGTGACGAGCAATTGGTTGCATGTAGTGGTAATAATATGCAAGACGCTTATTATATTACAGGCGTGAGAGACCTCTCGCCAAAATCAGGCAGATACCGTGAAAATTTATTAACGTAGCCAGATTTAATCCCTGTACTGAAAATTATGTAGGCATGCTTCCCAAGCCTGGAAGTTGTAGATTTTTTTTCTCATTTTAAATGTGTGTACTGCTTCATTGATTGTTGCTGGTATTAGTTTTGGTTGGTAGATGCGAATGTCATGCATGCAACAGTGTGTGGTTTTTGCATTATACTTGTAAATCGACTAGATAGTCAAATTCAGTGAGTATTAGTTTAGTTTGTTGTGGGCCTAGCTTAAAACCAACCAGGTAGTCCTCGTCGTCGCCGTAGTTCGCATAGTGCAGATAATAATAATAGAGAGCACGTTGTTGATTCGGAATGATGATATATTTAACGTGAGATTCATCTGGTTGTCCATCTCAGTGCATGACTGACTTCCGTTGTATAATCATCCGAGTCTGGTGAAGGAGTTTCATACGTGCTCAAATTTTCGATGAAAAAGAGCAATACATACTTTTGACTTTTTCTTGGGAAACCCAAGATTACACAGTTGACAGGATTTCCTATTTATCATAAAGTGATAAGTACGTACGTGGTTTTACATAGTTTCAGAGTGAAGCACAAATTAGTTTTATTGTGACTTTTTCTCAATTTCAGTACTTTCGTAATTCTAGTTTTGCTGGAACGTGACACATTTTTAAGTACTTGGCTATTAATTAAGTGTGCGTGTGGTTTTATATCGAGTCGTGATATATACTTGTTGTATGTTGCGGAATTGCATCGAATTGATGACGATAAGAAAACAACTTTCTAGTAAAGTCTTAGTTTGGCATTGAATGAGGAATTAGTTGTCGAGAGTTTAAGCAACAAAAGGAAAATTAGGCCAAACTTTTATGTATTGAATCTGAAAAATCTTCACAAAATTCAGTGGTATGCAATGAAGCTAGCAAGGTAACTAGGTTGTTCTCGTGTGCTCTCGTTCTGCGGAAAGATTAGACTTGATTGGAGGCAAATTGAGACTTTCGATCACCAAGTCTCACTGCTGTTGACTTGATAATAATTAACATGAAGGGTTCCAAAGTGTTGCGAGAAAACTTGTTGGCCATCCTGACGATGGCGGGCGTGGGGGCGGGTGTGGCTCTGGGGTTTGGTCTGAGGGCGAGAGAATCGCCCTGGTCGCCGCGAGACGTGCTCTACGTGAAATACGTGGGGGAGCTATTTCTGAGAATGCTCAAGGCCTTGATTTTGCCCTTAATTGTCTCATCCCTCGTGGCAGCTGTGGGATCTCTGGACTTGTCTCTGTCTAGAAAAATCGGCATTCGTGCCATAGTTTACTACATGGTCACCACAATTATGGCCGTCGTTTTGGGAATTATTCTCGTCACTTCCATCCGACCGGGGAGGAGTGGTCCACCAGATGATGTTGTAGATGTTCAAGCTCGTAGCAGGGAGACAACAACGGCAGATACGTTGATGGATCTCGTGAGGTTAATGGATTTTGATTTTATTAAATTTCAGGAAAAATAAAATAGTCTCGTTTGATTGCAGAAATCTCGTCCCACCAAATTTGCTCGAAGCAACCATGAAAACTGTAAGTTATGAAAATTCATGAAAATTCTATGCCATATTACAGTTCTTGAAAATGAGGAATTTCTATGAAATTGGGTTCTCACTAATTATACGGAAAGAGTGTTTCCGGAATTCTGCCAAATTGCCAATTCCCTGAATCCACTGATTCAGTGGATACATTGACCTGTAGATTTGTGTGTGTGGTGTGGTGTTTGCATTATGTAGACCAAATGGCAATACATTTCAATTCATTGTTTGAATGAACACAGACGAATTTAATTCATTACATTTGCGTGATAACTGTAAATTTGTCCCTTTGATGCAATTTCATTTGGTTTATGGATTGTTGTTGATGGTGTGTAGATCCGTGTGCGTAATGATCCCGTTAGTTTATCGACAGCCAACATACAGTCAAACTCGCACGACTAGTGGCAAATATTTACATTTGTTTATTGCCGTTCAGTTACAATTATGGTTAAGTCTGGCTAAATTGATTTACACAGATACCACCCTAATGATAAGTAGTTAGTGGGAAGACAGCTAAATTGCAATTGTTTACGCACGATATCGATTGCGATTTGCTGGAACGTGGTATTAGCATTTTCGTAAATGTCTTCATCTGCCAAATAGACATTGAAGTTTTCTGTGAATAACGATGCAACATATTTCCACATTTCCGATAAAAAGCAATTTAATTTTGAGGTTGAAGTATGGCAACTTATGAGAAATAAAATTAATGTAGAAATTGATACTTAAAATGGCCAAATTAAGTTAGTGATGAACAATGGAACATGTAAATATATGGCAAAATTTTGGTTGTAAATACTTTAGAGATCACGTTGAGATTATCAGTTTCTGGGAAAGTTTTGCACATTGAATTTTATTATACCACATTAATCACTATTTGAGTAAATTGTGGTAATAAACGTGACGCAAGTTAGTTACACTGAATTAGTCAGTGTCATCGTGTGTTGCATATTTGCATATGTACAAACATACACATGCAAAGTTGTTATCCAGCCGCTAACATCCTGTCCTCGTTAAACCACTGTTTAAATTACGACGCAGTGTTTTAAACATGTTGAAATTTGGCTTCCGATGAAACTGGGAAAACAACAACAATTGTCAGCAAAAATGCATTCATCAGTCATAACAGAAATGATGGAATTACGATTAAATTAAGATATTTGATAATGTGTATGATTCGGCTATATTTATAATGATGGATAGCATTAGGATTAACTAGAATAAAATGGGAATTTCGGCACATTCGAGTATCTCGATTTTACATGAAAAATTATAATCCGCTAGATATGGAAAAGAACTATGTAATCCAATAAAACTCATACGTCCCACGCATGTACATACATAGATACGTGCTTATGTAACTTGTTGATATGCACATTATGAATTCAAACCTAGGAAAGTTCTTGTTTCATTCGGTTATACAGTAAAATAAATATTGGCAGTACTAATGGCGCAAATTACAGGACGAACTGGACAAAAGAGGGGAAATGTACCTTTAAAAAATTGGACTAACAAATCAGGCCATCCAATTTCGCATTAGTGCGTATTACACTTTACAAACTAGCAGTAATAAGTACACGTGTGGCGTGTGTACTCATTTTCAATGGGTACAGCGTGTATCTAAACAATGAAATTATTTTTTTGTGTCCAGAATTTTATGAAAGGGGATCCTCTCGTTGATTTATGTTAACTTTGTCATACAGATGTCCAAAAAAGTCAGAATGAGTCCAGATTCTCATCCAAACGTTCTCAATTGAACACGCAATTCCTTTAAGAAACACGCCCAACTTTTTGGCGTTCTAGAATTTTTGCCTGAAGCGAAATTGTAAATTCTAACTCTGGTTTAAGATTTATTTAGCCTATGAATTTTAGAGTACACCACTTTCCATGGTCATAATCCTCCTCCATAAGCAATGCATACCAACAAGTCATTGGTGGGAGATAGGCGTTTATCATATTCTCATATTTTAGTAGTACATACGATCGCACACCTAGATATATATTTGCACTGACATATTTGCACAATTATATTAGAGCTGGATGTGGGAGGGGTGTCGACAAATTAAGGCTTATGAAACCTAATATCGCCGGTCTATGTTTTCAGTGATTGCATTACTTAAATAATCTGGATTGTTTAGCATTAGGCCATCATCTCATTATCGCTAATTGTATACTATTTCAGTTATATAATGACATTGAGTTGTAAAACTGTCCGCATCAAGTTGTGTAATGCGCAATTAAAAAATTTGTTATTAGATTGACTTTGTTTTATCTTTTCATCAATTTTATCCTTCTCAAAATTTTGCTGAGAATTTTCCATCGGCTTTTTTCTTGCACTTTACGAGTTGATAATTGTGCAAAGTATTAATGTTTTTATGACAATAAGTGTTGTTATAAATTCAAGGGCAGGATAGGGATTATTTAATTTACTAAATTACATATATGCAAATAATTACTGCTGATGACTTTTGTCCAATCTTCGTTTTATACATTTCTTGTCGGATTGATACATAAGAATTCACAAAAAAGTCTAAATTAACATGCATCCCCAAAGAATCAACCATTTCTGAAACGAATTCATTCCAATATGCTGGCAGGCTCCATTTAGCAACAAGTCACACTTGATAATTTCTGCAAAGGATGAGACGCTGGCTTCGTTTGTAAATTGTTGAATGCCATTGTTGAATTTGTTGATGCCTCATCCATCCGTCCTTCGCATCCGTAACGGAGTTTAAAGGTCTCGTATTTGCAAACCGATGTGAATTAATCGAATACATTCCAACACTAATAATTTTATTTATGTAGCTGAATCAGGGTATCTGCCTGCTCCTCAGTGTAAAACCAGATACGGTGGCTAAAAATATACCATTGTTCACTTGAAATATGTTCACTCAAGCAGAATCCTGCATCACATATTGGAAATGCGAATGCATGTATCGGGATTAAAGAAGGAGTTAAATCAACAACCTGATAAAAAATTTAAATTATTCAATGCCGTCATTTTGTCATTGTTAATTGCGCTTCAATTTGTAATCCAATTGAATCATTTTCAAAATAAACGTTTACAAAATTAGTATGAGTTTAAAAATGTGTAATCAATAATGACTAATAATACTTTCCTTGTAGTATCAAACGGTACTGATTCCTCCAGAAGATCCGGTCGAAAGAAATAACAGTATGACCACATTTACTTGTTTCGATGTCATTTTAGTAGATTTTTTAAAATTTATTACTTACTTTATTTGACAGCGCACAAGAATGACTGGAGGGTTAAAGGAGAATTCAGCGATGGAACAAACATCCTCGGACTTGTTGCTTTTTCCGTAGTGCTTGGAGTCACTCTTGGAGGTCTGAAGGAAAAAGGAAAACCCTTGCTAGACATGTTTGTCGCCCTTTCAGAAGCTATGATGGTCAGTATCCAATATAGTAAAGTGCAGTAGAATCAGTGTGGTCAGTAGTGACCTGATAATCTATTAAAGTTTGAAATATCAGGACGTGATCAATCAATTTTTATGCAGAATAAATATTTAAAAAATTCATAGTAAAGTTTTGAAATAAGAAAAATGACTCCAACTTTGATAGCGTGGTTGTTGTTGGACATTTGAGTGTGATAAGTATGACAGCGATATTGATGGCTATTTATGAAAACGTGTATTACGAAAATATGTAAATAGGTTATCACTGGCTGGGTCGTGTGGATCTCTCCGGTCGGCGTCTGTTTCCTCATCGCAGGACAACTCGTTGAAGAGAAGGATATTTCAGAACGGTTTAAATCCCTCGGGTTATACTTTGGAACTGTAATGGCTGGCCTAATTATTCACGGACTCATCACCCTACCCATCATCTATACCGTATTTACGAAAAAACTTCCCTTCAGATTCTTGGCAAATATGTCACAAGCCATGGTCACCGCGTTTGGCACGGCTTCCAGGTATGGCTCAATTCAAAAGTGATGAGTATGTAATTTCAGCAATTGCCTATTGTTTCTGCAGCTCAGCCACTTTGCCCGTGACGATGGAATGTCTCGAGTCCAAAAACCATGTTGACCCCAGAGTGTCACGATTTGTGCTTCCCATCGGGGCTACCATTAATATGGACGGGACAGCTTTGTATGAAGCTGTAGCAGCAATTTGGATTGCACAAATGCATGGAAAACCGATGGATGTGGGAAGTATAATTGGAATTAGGTAATTTAGTTTACAAAAATTATTGTTGACTAAAAACAAGGAAACTTCTTAACATTTATACCATTCGTTTATTTTACAGTATCGCCTCCACCGCCGCAGCCATCGGTGCTGCAGGAATTCCTCAAGCAGGGCTGGTTACGATGGTCATGGTCCTCAATATTATTGGACTTCCTGCCGAATACGTGTCCTATGTTGTTCCCGTTGACTGGCTCCTGTAAGAAATTCACTCGTAACAGGGTAAAATATTTGTACTACTGATATCTGTACTGACTGACATTTCTAGGGACCGATTCCGAACTATGATCAACGTGTTGGGCGATTCCATTGGAGCTGGGCTCGTTTATCACATGAGTAAAGCCGACTTGGACGACATTGGATCAGGGGCATCAGACACGGAGGAATCCAGTCCCGGTGACTCCAGAACTGATGTCAGCGTCATTGAACACAAACATCAGCAAGCATTTTCTTGAATACTTGCCATTTCTGTTATCTTATGTTACACAATGTTACATACATATGTAAAATTACGACTCATGTTTGTCCTGTTGAACCTAAGCTTTAATTTTGGTTAATCTTTCGAGACTTTTGTATATGCTTATAAGTAGACTTCGGAATACTAAATATGTTATGGATTGGATGTGAATGCTCGTTGATTTGATTTGTTATTTCACCATTTATTAATATACTGTTAATACGTATTGTTATATATTCTTCATAATGTTGAAATTGGTAAATACGTACATATGTCACCGCCACGAGCGGAAATGAACGTGTTCAATTTACCACAACTAATAAAACCACAAAATAAAAATCACAGAGAGTGTAAACTTCAAAGTTAGTAACTTTTTCATTAACAGTACAAGAAATAGTAATACTGGCGATGTTACGCTTAGAAATGTGGCAAATCGTCTTCATCTTAACGTTACTAGCACCCGTAAGGACTAAAGGTCAAACATTAACGTTGTATCGTGATGCATTTACAGATGGTCAGTTTAATAAAAACAACACATTGTTCCAGATATTTCTTAAAAAATGTATTTTTCCTTAGGAGAAACGTTGGAACTAAACGTTGATAATTGTACCAGTCCACTTCCGTCTGAATTTCTTGGAAAAATTGCATGTGGGAATTTCAGTGTGACTTGTGCTCGTTTTTACAACGCGGAAAACTGTTTGGGAAACTCTGTTGAGATTCGGAAAAATCAAGTGTCGACCCTGCCCTGGAATTTGAACAGCATAAAATCAGTTGGTCCTTGTGATGACGAATTAGAAACTAATTGCACTGTAACGAGTGATCCATTCCCAGTCGTGGAGCTATTTGAGCATCCTGATTTTGAAGGTAGAGACTAAAACACAGAGACATTTTCAATTGCAGCTATTTATAAAATTGCACATATGCCAATTTTTCAGGTAGAGTAATTTCACTACCTTTGGATCATTGGACCTGTTTTGAAATAACCGGAGCTTTGAAACGCAAAGTGTCCTCAGTTCGGATGAGCGCTGATGTTTGCGTGCAACTTCATTCCAAAAGTAAATGTTCCGACGAGGGATTAGCTGTGAGGAGAAAAATTCCAACTGCTATCAATTTGGGGCAATGGGGTTTTGATAATGAGCCGACGTCCATATCTCTCTGCGGATTCTCTTGTCGTCGGAAATTAAATACGTCTCTCATTTCCACGAGAGCTGAAAGTGACTCGGATCCAGTACCTCGGTGTCCACATGTGACCATTTTTGACGAGAGAAATTTCACTGGTACGTTCGTGTCAAGACAAATATTCCCTTAACGACTTCTTACGAATATTGCATATTTACATTAAATTTATATGTGCGTACATAAAATTTAAAATTTGTTTGTACTTTTTTTACAGGAAATGCACACCACCTCGTCATCCGAGAGGACTGCGTCAATCTTTCCGGAGATTGGGAGGGCGCAGCCGAGTCGATTTACTTGTATCAGAAATGCGTCATACTTTACAGTCTTTTCGATTGTGGAAAAGAAGAAAGCCCTCACGTTCAAAATGCTGCCGGTCACCATAAACAGCGACTCGAGTTGGAAGGCACTCTTACCTCACAGGGGTATAATTTGGACCTTTACCATCTGAACGGTCAAGTGAGGTCAATTGGCCCATGCGCTGGAAGAAAACCGTCCCAGCCTCTCATCTCAATTTATGTCCTCCTTGGTCTCTTCTCAACTGGAATATCAATAGCGTGGTTGGTCAACATGATAGTACGGAAGAGGGACAGGAAAGAACGCCAGAGTCGTATTTATCATGACAAACCTGCATAATTTGTATCGTCTTTTTGTCATCTTTAAAGAAAATATTGCCATTTTATGATAATATTTTCACTGGATTTTGTGTATTTGATCGTGTGGAATTTATTTCTTGTAAACGAATAAACCGTGTTTGAGGTAACACTAATAAGAAAGGGACTGCATAATAAAACGAGACACAACTTTCAGAAAAAATAAGCATGCTTCTACATTGATGTGATTGTATAAGGTGCAGAAATAAGTCCTACGTCACATGAAGCAGAGTTAACATAAGGTCAAACTAGACTATTTACGAGTAGAATGGAAACGTGATGGGGCATGAATTGTTTTTAAATGAAATCGCATCTCCTTTTAGCTCCAGCAAACGGTCCGACAGCGCAACACTCTCCAATTTCAAAATGTCCATCAATCCATTACTGATCAAAATTCTCAATTGAACACACAAATGGGTTGTACATACTCAAAAATGCTCTTTCTTCACTTGGAAACACCGGAATGATGCGCAATCAAGACAACGAATCATAATGATAATCGGGCTGTCGACATCCGCCCAACTTTACTAAACCTGGTATGCATATTTTTTACGAATTTGTACACCATTCAATGAATTAATCTCGTTATTTTGGGTCAAGTTTATGGAATGACGACGCATTTAAATAAGCAAATGTAAAACTCATTGTTTTTTGGGAGTGATTAATTCCTGTGATCCAATTTGATATTTGTTCTTTTTACCCATTTGTAAAAAACAGTGGAACAATATTTGCGTACCGTTTCCCTTCATTGTAATCTCAGACAAATGCATGCATTATCGGTGTGGCTCATTATTGGCGATTTTTATTGAGATAATGATCCAGATAGCTCCAGTATTTACTGAATAATTCTGCATATGGTGAAAAATAACATGTTTCACTCAAATTGAAATTTATGCATTCTTTATTAAAATTGTGTAATGCAAGATTATTGGCTTAGATTTTACCAGAGTAATATTTCTTAGCTAGGTCGGGTATAGAGTTCAGTTAGTACGTATTACAGTAAATACATGGACATAGGCTTTTAAAATCCAGTATCCCATGATTCAGCAATAACAATATATGTACAACATGCAAGTGTTTCAGTTTTGTCGTCATTGACCTTTAGCCTTGTTGCCAAATAATTGCAAAATTCATGTCCATCAATACTAATTGGTTTCATTATAAAGTAGGAAATTGTGCCAAAATAAAAGTCGTAATAACAATCTGGACAATATTTTTCTGCAATCAAATCAAATGCAATGACAAATAATTTTGTAATGATAGAAATTCGATGTTTATCATTTTTTTACTTGTACAATTTCCTGAAATTATCATTTACGTCAATGGTGTCCAAATTATAGTATTGTCAAAATATTCTAGTATGCATTAATTGAACACAATTTCTGCGAATTTCCGGAGATTGAACCGTAAACAAGTGCACCATTTCTACGAAACTCTTATGTAAGTACTCGTAAGTGAACTATCATACTATTTCTAATTGCTCTTAGCACTTCAACGTATCCCTAAACATTCCGCATCACTAACCCGTTTGTAAAAGTTTATTTATATGTAAAGGTAATATTAAATATGCACTCATAATTTGTACTGTTTTAGATATGCTACATAGTCCCACAGTTGACAGTCAGAAAATACCTGAACCAAAATACCTGTGCATTTTGTATCAGCTCGTATTTCTAGGAAATCTCTAACAATTAAGTATCAAGCAATTCACATCCCAGCCTAAAAAACATGCAAATCATACATTCCCATATTTATATAACAATAGCACTATTTACTCGTGGTGTGGTAAACCGTAGACGCGCTAACTACGCGTAATTTTAAGGTGACCCTTTCATGTATTTTTATGAACTGCCATGGATGCGATGAAAAATATTCTCTGAATTCGAGCTACGACGAAGAATTTAAAAAAGTACCTTAAAGTCGTAACGAGAAAAAATATTTCAATTTGTCATCGTCGACCATGTACTCGTCTCTTTACGAACGAATGATTTGCTCCTTAATTTCTTTTAAATTCATCGTCTCTGAAGAGATAAACGCAACAATTTTCATGTGCATACGTGTGCTCACGTAATCCGCCTCGCACTCATCTGAACGAACGAGCTACGCACGTTTACTAATTTAATTCATTGATTTGTTGCGAAGCCAAGCAGTCTGAGACCGACATGCAAATCAAAGCGTGACATGTATCCTAACATGAGTCGAGTCGCATACGGAATTTAAATACGTTTCGTCCAACCACTACCTACGATCATGTGTGTTTCAATTTCGTAGTCTTATCTCGTCCACGGCTCTTGATAATGTTTTAACATTACGAAAAATTTGGCGAAAGAATTTTCATGAATGAAACTTGGTGGCGGAAATTTAATGAAAACTGTCAGGCTACTTTGTGAATTGCAATTAAAAGGTTTTTGCAGTTATCTAAAATATACACTTTGATACACACACATCAATTGCAAAATTTGCACGGATGAATGATTGAAATACTCAGTAATTCAGGTTACTGACCTTACAAATTTTACACGTCTGAAAAGTGTCGTTTATGTCATTTTAAAAGAGTTTGTATTATAATTTAAGAAATATAATTCTTTAGAAATCATGGTTTCACGTCTTATCTAATTGTTTCACCGATTTTATCAATTCAACGAATTCTTCCAGATCTCAACATTATAATTGTTCACCATTATTTCCAACAATTACCGATTGCACGTAATCAATATATAAATAGTCATGTTGACAAATTTTTGTTTGTACTAAAATGCGATTACTTAATGAGAGGACACTATCTCTATTTACAGTTGACACAGAACGTCGGATTTCATTAACGGGATATGAAATTCTCCAAAATATTGTGATTATGCAAATAATCTTTCACATAAATACACAATCGTTCCTGATGAAGGAGCAGGTACATCCATGTTAATACCCGTAACAATACGTACATCAGAGTTATATGTAATACTGCCAAAATACGTGGTAATACACGCAATCTATTCCTATTGGGGATACCTGGTCCTGAAATTGGTTTGATGGTGAATGAGTACGTATTTATGTGTGGCACGATGTGATGTGATCTCTGCCTTGCATTCTACAAATCTCGATAGGTAGGTGATTGGATTGGATGTAATGTAGCATAAGAGTGGAGGATGATGCCTCACTTGGCTGGCTGAATGAATAATAAGTGTCCGATCGGAGGTAGAGAGAGATTAACACTCGTCATTGCCGTATCATAATAATACACGCCAAATGTTTCATAAAATATGAGCACTGGCACGACCAAACCTCAGACCAAGATCTGCAGACGACAGAAGCAGACAAATTATTCAAACTGTATCAATCCTCAAAAGTAAATTATTGTCAGTTGGGTCCTAAGGAGAGAAGCAAGTCGTAAAGTTACAATCCTCTCGTAATTATTACCCATGAGTTGCAAAAGTGTCTCATGTTCCCTCCAAAATTAGTACATATTAAGTGGACGTCGCTAAATTAAAAATGACATAATTCCTGTAATAAATAACGTAAAGCAATTATTTTTGCCTATTTTTGCTACTTTTGTAAGATTTGTAAAGCAGTCGGAATTATAAAGTGACTGTAAAACTGGAAGGTTCCTCTTTTTCCTCTATTCTTAGCGTCTCATATTCCTGTTAGTGAATCCGTTCTAGTGAAACCAAAATAAACGCCCTTTTCTAAGCGTAAAGTTGACTGGGTCAATAATGAGTCAATGATTTGGTTATAAATAAATACATATTTCACACGAACCAATTCGTCATATAGTGAGACGAGTCTCACTTCAGTGCGGTCAGTCATCTCTAAAAGTTGTAGAAATTTGTCGTATTAATTGGGCATCACTTTGTCCCATCATGAATGCATGTTTCAAGAATTGGAGGTTCATCGTCTTGGTGGGGTTGCCCCTGGTGCTCATCCCACTTCTGCTGATTGATGAAGCAGATGAACCAGGAAAGGTTAGTAACAGTTTTGTGTGGTATTTTTCACATGGTTAACAAACAAAAAATAAAAATGTCATAAATATATTTCTGTGTTTCAAGCAGTTATTAAAGTTAAATGTTAAGTTAGTGTGTAGTATTTAAGAAATTTCAAATTATGATTACTTAAATAACGGGCATGTTTTAAATGGTATTTCAGAAGTTTCGATGTGCCTACGTCATTCTACTCATGGCCATTTATTGGATGGTTTGACCAAACTTTTAACAATTTGAGACATTGACCACGCAGGACTACGAGTACAAATGTGTGTATGTTACAGGTCGAAGCGATTCCTTTAGCTGTCACTGCTTTTCTTCCCATCGTACTTTTCCCACTTTTTGGTGTACAAGATACAGGTAAAAATGTTTAAGAGATTTACGAGATTAACCAGATTATGTATTAAAAAATGACTGAACTGATATCCTGTTTAGCGAGTGTTTCCAAAAATTACATGAAAGAAACAAATATGATGTTTGTCGGTGGATTGATCATAGCTTTGGCAGTGGAATATTGCAATTTACACAAAAGAGTCGCACTACGTGTCCTCACCATCGTGGGATCGTCGCCTATAAGGTTTGTATAATTCATGTCTTGTTTTCATCCCCATATTTTCGTCTGGTTTGCATCCGAATTGTGTTGATCAGAATTTTAACATCCGTTTAGTCAAGTGTCAAACTTGGGATACTCTTGTATCCAATTCATACCTACCTAAAGTTCATTAATTAATTAATCACTAACCACTGTGTACAACGCACATTTATTAAAAAACGTATTCATTATGAAACCTTTATTGTTTTGACCGAGACAAAGTATAAGGTTACAGTTTTATTGAGTTTTTCGTCGCAGTAAATAAAAAATTAATAGATTACTACAGGACGGAACAAACGGTCGTGATGATAACTTCATTCCTAATTTAACACCATCTGATAAGATTAACACATGTTATGTATAGCTTATTTATTTATATTATTGTCAGGCATGTAAGCGTGGAATAATTGCGCGGAACTGGCCTGGAAATTACTAGTTTAGCAATTAAGTAATGGAAACAATTATCAACACAGATTAGGCATTGCTATTGATATTGATTATTGGTAAACAAGGATTTATCTGAATTTGGATCATGGTTCAAATAAGTGCCAAGTTCATTAAACACTGATGTTATCATCATTTTCCTGCATTATGACGTTAGCAGGTGTTAAGTGAGAATTGGGCATAAATTATACTTCTCCTGGTAAGTCTACTAATTGGATAGACATTGTGTGACTCCCAATTTTTTCATGAACCAATAAATGAATGAATGAGTGAGACAAATAATCCAGGTGTCGCATTAATTGTCGTACTGCCTACAAACTATGTACACCAAAGCCTCAGTATTACATAATTCTTCATGTGTTTTCATACCAATTTTTTCCTGCTAATTAACTACCAACCCAAGGCCTCGTTCCAGGATGACTTCAGCAGCAGTTAACATTGAAAATAGAACCCCTGCAATTTGCAGTAGAATCGTAATATGAATACGATTATGCTTTAGTGAACATGGTTTTACATGGTTTTCTGAATTAATGCGCATAAATACATTACTTTTGTAGCAACTTGATAGTCCCATCCCGCCTCTGACTGTTAAACAAATTAACTGTTTTTGAATTACTTTGTTCGTCATCACAAGCTGGACAAATTATGTGCTTGCAAATTTATGTGTGCTTTTGAGCAGGTCGTTTGCAGTTGTTGTTGTTCCAACTTCCAATCACTGCATGCATGCTTATTTACATATTTGCAGCAATGTGTGATGTTGGTCAACAATGCAAATGAAAATCAGTTATGAATGAGTAAGCGGATGAGCATGTGTTTAATAATGAGTTGTTCAACAAGCATTGCGTTGGTTGACGTAAGAAGAATGTTTGGAATGCGTCGCTTCCTGACTCCGAATTTAATTCCGCGTAAATATTTCGCATAATCATTTAATCGTCAAATCAATGTGTACCAAATCATGTCAGGAGAATTAATCATAGAATTTTTCGCTTTTGAGTCGCGTCTCATCTGCCCTCGAACCAAGTAGTTCTGACGAACAGCCAAATACACGACCTCATGCGTAGCAGGTCAATTGTTAACGTTACGTGCCAAGGATGTCTGACAATAGAAATAATTCGCACTGCCTTTTTAGAATTGTTCCATCACCACATCACATTCCAATAAATATCTGTCTGACTTTTGTAACAGGGACACGACGGCAAAGTTTTAATGCCTGTTACAAACAAAGTCAGGATTTTAACCGACCGAATAATATAAATGTCTCTCTTTTCCCTGACTTTTGGGCCTCATTAATTTACTTGGGTTTTGTGAATAGGTTCATATTTTTAATAATAGCTTTCTAATCATGCTATTATGCAAATTTAGAGTACTACAGGAATGTATGTATTGTTTCATTAGAGGCACGCTTTGCTCATGAATCAAGTTCAAAAAAACGTCCAGAGAAATGCTATACACCTGAATTAATGAAATTACGTGGACCATTGTTGAACAAGACAACACGCGATAGTACACTTAATCTGAGGACAGAGTATGATGTGCTTTGTTTATTTTTTGTAGCATCATCCAAACTATTTATGTAGGGTTAGTCGTTTTCGGAGCTTTGATTTCCGGTTGATGCCACGTGCAAAAATAGTTGTGAAAATGTTACACGACAATATGCAAATGTTGGTTTTGGTTACTAAATACAATGCCCAACGTGCCCCTGTCAACTCACCTTTATTGTCAATTTATGTAATGTGCCTAACTGTTTATATAAGTTAATTTATTGTAATTATATTTTTTAAAGGTTGATGCTTGGAATTATGTTTACAACGGCATTCTTGTCCATGTAAGTTTTACTAGAATTAAATTCTGAAAATAATTTCATGTAGTTTTATATCGTCGGTGGTTTATAGGTGGATCTCAAATACAGCAACGACAGCAATGATGGTTCCAATCGTTTTGCAGATTGTGAAGACGAGCAGAGTGGTAAATCAGTCATTCGCCCCATGAATTTTATCATATGACTCAATGAGTAATAAATATATTCGCAGGATGTAAAAGAGGAGGAGGAATCAGCTTCCTACGGGGCAATAAAGCCATCGAATCTCAAAACCTACTTGGAAAATGATCAACGAAAGTCTCGCTCTGGAGACTTGAGCATGATTTCGTCCAGCGATTTGGACCTCGAACATGACAATGTAAACAGTACAAACAAAAACTTTGACTCCAGTCTCCAATTAGCAAGTAGCACTGCTACCATCGCCGTTGATGATTCCAGCGACAATAACTCGTGAGTTGTATTATTCCATACATAGAAAAACACATCTAAAAATAGTGGATTATGATGCGTACCTTAGCAAGATTATAGTTTTTGGTAGTACAAAAGGTCATCATAAGTTAGTAAATATAAGAGGAAATTTTAGCCATTTTTTCACAACTTAAATCTTGATAAGAACAATTTTTCGCTTCCCAAGCACCATTGATAAGCTCGACTCTGACATTCCCACATCACAAAAGTCTGCCGACGAGACTTTGAAAATGACGAGAGCGTTTCTGATCGGAGTGATGGCAGCAGCGAATATTGGTGGGGTCATGTGGCCTTACACGGCCCACTCGTCAATTCCCTTGTACAAGTACACGTCAGGCCCTTACGACAGCTTCCTTAGCAAAAAATTTCCAACGTCCATGAAGCACTTAAGGTTTTCATCCCGATTTTTGCATTTTCCTTGTTGTAGAGCGACAAGCAAATATGTTAAATGTGGCAGCATTGTAACTAATAATTTAATGGAACTGATTTATTCCTTGTTAGCACAACCTGTTGTTTTTGCAGTTCTAACTTAGAAAATGCACGCTGGATGTAGATGTGTAATTATGTATAGGTCAAACTGAGGGAGGACTTGTTTAGCGAGTAGATATGTATTTATACTGCACAATTAGTGCACTTTTGCATTAAAAAACCTGTGCTATTTTGTGTTGTGACTAATATTACGAATTATTATTGGCGTGTTGTTGCATTGATGATGGTGTGCAGTCGTTGGTCACGAGCAGTCCTGATGGCAGTCGCGTACTCGAGCAATTTGGGCGGAACTGGCAGCATCACGGGGTCAAGTCCCAATCTCATTTTAAAGGCGAAAATGCATACGTAAGAGAATAAGTTCGTTTAGACTTTTTTTTCCAAGAATCGTCTGCAAAGTACGGACCACGACGATTGGCTTCACTACACATCATCTTTTGACGATGAGGCTTTTATTTAATAAGTTTTAGTTTATTGAATGGCTACCAAAATTAAATTGCATTTTCTTAAGTTAAGAGGCGTCAGTATTGCGTGTCGACTTATGCAGCTAAAAATACGGCATAAGAACATGCACGGCAGACTTGTTGGGTGACGGGATAGTTGCATTAATTGATTTTGGTTTATGTATAATTAACTAACTTTAACTGAAGCAATTAACTTTTTGGTAATTGGTTTGATTTTTGCTTACTAATAAAAATGTAGTGAAGCTTCAGAGGAAACTGATGGGACTCAACATAAACTGATAAAAATGCTTTTGCTGGCCACTGCATATTCTGCCAATCTCGGTGGTACTGGAACGATTACAGGGACAGCACCCAATTTGGTATTGCAAGATAACCTCCGACGAAAGTAAGTCCCATCCCAAGCAAAACAAACTTATTGGGACACTGGAAGTCTCTTTGTTTAATGGATGAGTATTGTATTATTTATGTAGCTAGCTATGTATTGTGCTTATATGTTTTACGAAATTATTTATTTATATTTATAAAATCTGCATGATTGTCATGTTGCTTATCTATTCTTGCTTTTTTGTGCGTCTTAAAAATGTAATGCTTTAATTTTGAAGAATCCAAATAATAAACGTACGTGGAGGAATAAGAGTTTCTTAAAATGTGTGTAGGGTGAACATTGGTCAGGATGGGAAATACACGGATTTGACGTAAGAAATTAAGTTCCAAAATTAATGCCTTCAATTAGAAATAAAAAAATGCATGATAATGCTATTGAATTTTAGATTTGCGACCTGGATGGCATTCAACGTACCTCCAATGATCGTTAACATCATCATCGCCTGGATGTACCTCGTTGTGATTTACTTCGGGCTCCCAGGAAGTAAAAAGAGCAAGAGTTTGAGTTTAGGAAATCGTAAAAGTGTTGAGCGTCTTTTGAAGGAAAAGTATCGAGCTTTGGGGCCAATGACGTTTCATGAAATTGCCGTCTTAATTCTCTTCATTTTTGTGGTTTTACTGTGGCTTTTCCGACAACCGAAATTCATTGAGGGATGGGCAGACTTACTTCCGGGGGCTGAAATTGGCGACTCGAGTAAGTGGTCAGTAATGTTTTAATGGGAGGGTTTTCTTAAAAACTTGTGATTGCAGCGGCTGCCATGTTGGTTGTTTTTCTACTCTTCGTGATTCCGAAAGATTACAATTTCCTCCGTCAAGGTAGGTAGACTGCAGAAAATTTTTGAGATTTATGTGTAATTTTGCTAACCAATTAATTCTTACTGTTTGTTTAGGAAAGGGAAAAGTTGAAGCGTTGCTGGATTGGAAGTTTGTCCAAAGTAATTTGCCATGGGGCGTGGTCTTGCTCATGGGTATGGTCGACATGCTAATTGAATGATAATGAAATGCACTTGGTGAACCAATTAACCAAACTACGAACAATATATGCAGGTGGAGGATTTGCTTTGTCGGATGCTTCAGACGTCTCAGGTCTATCAGCCTGGATTGGCGAACACTTGAACAGCCTTAAGGATTTGAATCAAGTTCTCATGCTTTTCATCGTCATGATTATGACCGCATCAATTACTGAAGTTGCATCCAACACTGCCTGCGCCAACGTGCTCATCCCCATTCTCATCTCGCTGGTAAGGATTTATCACAAGTTTAGAATTATTGCTCAGTTTGTAGATGACAAACTAAATCTAATTTTTATAGTCCCGACGACTTAACATTCATCCCCTGTATTTGACCCTTCCTGCAACGGTGACCTGCTCGTACGCCTTCATGCTTCCAGTCGGTAAGTTAAATTAATTAATCTACCAAGAATTTTTTATAACGTTGTGACATGTCTTTGTAGCGACCCCTCCAAATGCAATTGTGAGTAACAAAATTTACCATTATACATATGTAGTCCCTCAGATATGGTTTCCTTACTTGATGATATGCTTACCAGGTATTCGCTGCCGGAAATATGAAGATTTGGGAAATGGTAAAATCCGGAGCGTTTTTGAACCTTTCATGCGTCGTGGTATTACTACTTTTTAATATTTCTTATGGAAACTTAATATTTAACTATAATAATTATGAGTACCCTTCACTTGATAATTCCACTGAGATTATGCCCATGCTTTTATAACCCAACGAATAATACTAATCTAAAGTTTTATGGAATGTTTATGTTAAATAAATATAATAAAACAACGTTACAAACTGAACAAGTTTTTTTAGGTATAAATACTGCGAATAAATGCTTAATATTTATTTCTCACGACGACAAATGTTCAAGATAAATCACAATGTAAAAATTATAAAAAAATAAATCAAGTCGCAATGTAGTAACGATTACTACTTTCAGATCAATCAAAGCTTCTAACGAACAATCAACAATAAGTAGTAAATAACAACTACTGATAATTAGGATACATCCTTCTGTACAAGTCATCCAATTCCTTCTTGTCTTTCTGGATACGTTCTTCTACCTGAAAATTTGCCAATAACAAATTTAACTTCAACTTGTTCTGCACATTGTTCTGACATTATGAATACTTTGAGGATATGACTTTGCGTTACCTGTTGACGGAACACGAGGAGGGCGAAATCGTTGGGGTCGAACTGAAGAGCAAGTTTGATATATTTCCAAGCTTCTTCGTACTTCCTCAATTGATAATTTGCTTCTGCGTATCTGGAACATTCAAATCAGAAATTGTTTTTGACTTTGAATTAATGTCTGTAAGGATTTTGGATTTTACATAAATACCTACCTGAAGTACACTTTTCCATTTTTTGGAGCCGGCATGTTCGGCTTCAAGGCTGCTTTGCAGGCGACAGCGGCTTGAGCAGGTTGGTCAATGCGAAGGTGACAGAGAGCAGAGTTCGAGAACAGCTTGTACATCAGTTCACGGCGTGCGTCGTCTTGCGCCTTTTCGAATACAATCGCCTCCTCCAAAATTTCCAACGCTTTTTCATATCTGTGGAGAAAGAGTTTAATTTTTATTATAATTTGAGCCTAGATATTGTTCAATCTGTACATCAATATCCAGTAAAATTTTACCTTTCAATTGCTTCGGGATACATGCTAAATTTAACTTTGGAATTTCCAGCCTCTCGCAACTCGTCCGCACATTTGTAAATCTCTTCGAAGCTGTGCTCTGCCCTTTGTCGAGAGGACATTTGGAAAATTGGCTTCTTCAAGGGGACAGCAGAAGCTCGCACCATTTCGATCACCATTAAAATTCGAGAGTCTGAAATGACCAAATAAATTAAAATATTAATAATGTGCATGACCACTTAGGGTGCAACAAATTATGTGATTTGAGAACCGGTGAAATGAAACTTTCGACTTACTCGAAGGGATCACTGTTGGGCATCCAAGTTTTCCGTAGGCATACTCAGGCTCGAACAGAAACTTTGAAATTTCACCGACCCTCATGGTTTTCACACCGAATTCAACTCCAAGGAGGAGTTCGCCTTTGCCCAATTTGTGCGATCCTAAGAGTTCCCTGCTACCGGTCGAGTCGATCGGTTCTTCATTTCCTTCTACGAAGGTGATGTAATGCATCCAAATGTATCCTTCTGGGGGAATGAGTTCCGTCTCAGAGCCTTCCTTCATAACCTGCTTCTTAATTCCTCCATCATGCGTCAAGTCGTACATCGTGGCAGCCAAATTATCGAACGAGCCAACGCCAAAGTCCTCATATGTGAAGTAGTTGAAGAGATCCGAGCGAAGTCCAGTCTGCATAGCTTTGTATCGATCCACCCCGTCGAAATTGTCGTAATGGTTATCTTCAGGAAAGGTCACTCTCGGTCTCTTGGGTTTTGGCATGTAGGTTTTGACTACTTCTTGGTTGTTCCATGCCCTGAAACATACAATTATTACCCAATCGGGAGGATTATTAATTAAGCGAATAATTAAACTGAAGAGGACATGACTTAATGAAATATGTATGAAAATTTAACAAAAATTACAATTTTAAATCTATCAAACTTACCATCCGTCATCTTTGGCCACCTGTTGTTTTAGATGTAATTGATACGATTGACCACGTCCGTAAGGTTGACGAGGGACGTAAACTGGATTCGAACTTGTAAAAATAGACGAAACTGGAGGAAAATTAGGATGTCGAAATACTGGGGGGTGTGAGCTTATTGCAAAGACTCCGTTGGGCGGTCGAATTGCTCGAAAGGACGGACCGGCAACGGGAGGAGGGTAAAAGATGAATCTTTTATTTGGGTTATTTGGGTTGTTTTCCATTTTCTTGGTTTTCGAAAAATTGAAAAAAAAATTCTTCCTCTCAGTAAATACTTGCAAAATGCTGGAAAAATTGGTTATGGCTTTGAAAATTCTGATGATCTGAAAACTTTACAAGGGTGAAGCTGGTGGGGAGAGGAGAAGGGTCAGAAAGACTTCACAGGTCGGGTGACTGTTGAAGAATGATGAATTTGATGGAAATTGGTCTTGTATTTATAGTGGTTGGCAGGCAGCGTCGTTTGCTCAGATGACGCTTTGCTCCTTGGAGAACCAATCGGGTCGCGCTGCACAAGGAAAACAACAGAATCTGCGGCTTGGGAAGGGATGCATCAAGAAGACAAAGGAAGCGTCGTCAAAAATCAGTTATTAATAGAAATGAGGAATTTTTCAGATATTTCACCTGCCAATAAAATATTTATTGCTGGCAAAAACTCGACTTAACATGAGAAGTACAGAAGAGCCTACAAATAGTTCTGTAGGAATGAAACATTGGTGAATATTGAATTAGTTAATATCGCCTGGTTTTGGCTTGGCCTATGATCATCTGCTCTAAGAATTTCAATTTTTTTAATAATATTTTTACACGACTAATTCTGTCTGAAGAACATTAATTTTTCAAATCTATAATGATAGAGCAAGTACATTTAATATAGTTCATTTTTGCAAAGGCGTCTTCTTTTTTCTTCCTTTCGGCTTTTTCAACTTTCGTTTCCTCAATTTTCGAGCCCTGTACTTCTTCCAAGCAGTCTAGATTAATAAAAATTAAATTAAATCAAATCACATAACTTAATACATTTTTTTGTCTAAATTTACTTGAATTCTCCTGGCTGCCCAATTTTCCCGGACAGATTCTGCCATTTGGAGGTTTTGAAGCAGTTCTCGGAGGCGTTTGGTGTTTCTCATCTCGTCGTAACTATCCACCATTCCTAAATGAACGTCCTCCAAACGTTTCATCTCTGCGCGATTAGCATTCGCAAAATGCGATAACTCTTCAAGTTGTCGACGATGTTTGATTATAGTGTCGTCATACTCATGAATGACCTGACGTAACTCGGCCTCTTTGCTCTTTCTGAAATGCATCCATATAAAAATATGAATTCGAATCCATGATTAGCTTATCATTAGTAAAATCTTGTATAATTTTAACAATATTTCAGAAATTGGGGTTGTACCGATACGACCGAAGACCTTTGTAGCCAGCTTCTAAAGTGGTGATGGCTTGGACCAATCTTTCTTCCCTCATGTCCACATTTTCATTCAGATTGTTTATTCGTTGCTTGTGGTGCTTGATATTAACAATTTTCTCCACTTCGAGCTGCTTTCTGTAAAGAATAATGGAAACGAGTTAATTACAAACCGAGAAAATATATCCAAATAATCTAAAACTGTTTGGGAAGCAGGTTGCGTACACTGTTTCTAGTAAATGGTGGTCCATCTCATCCCGAGTGTTTAGCAATTGCTTTTGCAATATTACAATTTCACTTTCCCTTTCTTCAAAAACAACTTTCCATTTTGATTTTGTTGCTGACAACGTGTTTTCCAGCTCGTTAATTCTTTTTGATAAAGCACTTCCGTGTAGATGGTTCAAGTTTTCTTGCTTATTCTCCTCCTCCTCACTTTTAGTATAAACTGGTTCAGTTTCAAAATGACTTACTCGATGTGAAAATAAATTTTGGAGTCGTTTCATGTAGTTTAGAAATTTATGTAGCCTATTTGCTCGTAATAATGTTAACTGTTGCGCACTTTCTTTTATACGAATTTCATTGTTTTCATTTTTAGAACTGTGTCGGATACTGTCAATTATCTGATAGATTTTAAACATGTTGTCAGGATGGGATTTTAGCAACGTTAAGACTCTGTGCGTCACTTCTTTGTAATATTTGAGATCTTGGTCATGTTGTGATATTCGGGTTAAATCCTTAAGTTTAATCCCAGTTTTGGACCGTGGCTTCCTGTCAGTCCAATGAGACGACGATGACGACGCCGACGACGAAGAAGATAATGATGAGATATCATGTTCAGATTCAAAATGCGAATCTTGACTAGAAGATGTTCGTAAATTACCAAGTTTACCACTCATCTCATTCTCTTCTAACAAAGTGACGATTTTCATATCATGGACTTCAGTTTCTTCATTAGGTGGTAACGATTTCAAATGTGGAAGGTCTTCGTTCTTCGCCGCATCATCATCAAATGTGGCGATAATGCTGAGAATGCATACAGTAGACTGAAAATCCCTTTCTCTCAGTGCTTTCCTCAGATGGGACGAATATCTTGACTTCAATCCCATCTTGAGTAATTTTACTACTGACTTCTTCTCTACTTCTGGTGGCGAGGAAGATACGTCAGGAATTAACATCGTGTCAGGATCAGCGTCAACATGACTTGGAGGAACTGACGTAGCAGTGAACGAGGCTGCGAGGAGTTTCCGAAGAAATTGACTCCGGAATTTGTCTCGATGATGGAGGACAACCTCCAGTTTTTTGTGAGTTTGACACATTCCTCTGTGATCCTCGTGTCCGCTTTCATCGTCAACAGTTGGGAATGGGACGACCCTTCTGTCTCCTCCAGCCGAAGCCGAAGCACCAGCAACGATATTGTCATCCTTCTTGGAGTTCGGCCAATTCTGTAAGATGTCAAAGTGAACATAATTCCATCCCAGTGTTCACATTACCTCCAGATTAAGAGCTTACAGTTACATAATAGAACAATCATGTAACAACTCGTTTGCCTTCAGGCAATTATCTGATCCTCCCATTGTCATTTTGACAGTCTGCTGGTGTACAAAACTGGTCCTGTCTATTCTTGTGATGTACACTGCATCCATATGAAGAAATTAAATCGATTACATGCAGAAAAGAAGGAAAGAAAAATGTGGCCTGTGCCAGTACTAGATTTCTCCACCCGATGAGTATGAATGCATTTTAAAGCTAACTAGGAAAATGTCTCATTGTTGATCCAAATACTGGCAACGATTCTTTCCTCCCTCCCTCCCTCACTAATGAATACCCTGATGATTCGTTGCATAGTTTCACTTAAAATTACTATCCTGGGTTTATTTTCAAAATGTTGAACATAATTTTAAGCAAGTAAAATAGAGCATATTTTTTCAACTCACAGCCAAAATACAGAGATCTCGAAGACATTCTTCCTCCAGTCCCAGGAGACGCTTAGCTCTGGAGACGACAACGTTATGTGCGTCTCCACGAGAGGAGGAAGAATGTGTAAGGTTGTTCGATATGAAGAGAGGACAGAGTTGTGGCAAAAGTGTCAATAGTTGAATCTTCTTGTTCGCCCAGTCCACCGCTGTTACAACCATTTTCCCTTTCGGAAGAAGGAAATGCACAAGAAATATAAATAATTTAGCTTAACTTTCGAAATCTCGGTGACACGGATAGATTTATTTTATGACCATCGAATTAGTATACGTAGTTGTTGCCAATACCGGAGGAAACTGAGGCAAGACTTTTCGTCGTCATCACGGTCTTTTCCTCTGCTGGAAGAAGATCACGATCCTAGAAATGTGTCGAATCTCCAAAATTAGTCGGCTCACAACGCCCAATTTGTCTCCATTTAGGGTGACAACGATTAACTTCATTCCTGAACCACGAGTACTTTTCGTAGTTATGAGTAAGGCAATTGGGTGGGTCCATTCTGCTTACTTTCGATATTTTCTATGCTGCCGTAATTCTCCGGAGTCTAAATCCTAAATATAAATCGACATAATAACAGTCAGTCATTATTTCCCAGTCACAACAACATTTTTCAAATTTTTTAACTAATAAAAAAGGCGTGGCGTGGTTATGCAAGGGAAATATAATGAAAATAGGTATGTATGTCATTAGTGATCGAGCTCATTTTGGGAGTAGCCATCGTCTCGTCGTTGAGTCTACATTTCCATTCCGTGTTTGCTTTTCCTGATTTGATAGATAAACTCATCCTCAGTCAGTCAGACACTCGGGCAGCGAGGCAGGTGAGTTGGACTCTCGATTCTAAACTGTTTGCTTATTTACATGAAAGACTCAGAAATGATGAGGAGGCTTTTAACTCTGCTTCTTTGTTTATTTGGATTTAATTTAAGAGAGTTCAATCTCCTCTTCGCTGGGATGGATGAAAAGCTAAATGTGTGAGTGAGTGAGGAGCGTGAAATGATTCTCGATATGCATTTCCACTAAATAAAATTAAGGGTAACATAAAATTCGGACAGATTTTGTGACGTGCTTATATTTTTTTTGGTTCCAACTTGAATCCACAGTTCGGAAGAACGAAGGACATAAAAAGCTAAAGAAATGCACTTACTTCTGGACACTTTTACTACTGTTAACTTCAAGCAATAACTCATTTTTTGTTATTTGACTCGAAACGTTACTACACATCGTGAACATTTGAGAACATAACGAGAATTTTTATAGACAGAATGCAAAAGGGAATGGAACGTTAAGTATGAAAAGTGCGGAAATCATTTGAGGAAACATCACTTCAACGCGTCAGAGAGATAAATAAAAAATTGAGACTTGTTCGATTAATAATTGTAGGTTCGAATGCATTCAAATATTGTAAATTGTCAGGCTAATTGTTCAAGATTGACTGATTTGGACAGACGTTGAGAGAGGAAAGCATGCACGTCAAAAATAATGCATTTTACCTGAGATTTACGTTCTCAAATCGACTCTGAAAAAAAAACTCATCTTCGACTGCCTTGCTCGCTTTCTTTCTTTGCCTTTGTTAATTGGAGTTGATGGGAGTGAACTCGTATATTTTCGAATGATGATGAAGTGGATTTGGATGAATTTCATGTTCTGCAGATGCAGCCAGAGGTTGTTTGGCTTGTCTGTGGCCTATCTTCCTCCGGCTGGAAGAAGAGCCAGGAAGGAAGAAATTCTGTTAGTAACAGACGGTGAGGAACCAGTTTGAATCATCTATCCATATGCATGCACTAACTAACAATCTGTATAAAAAGGGCTCAGCCTCCAGAAATAGACGACAGTGGAGCGCTAGGATTTGTGCTGTGAGATCTCTGTCTGTCCAAGGAAGAAAGTGACATACCCGGAAAGATTAGCACTTATCAGAAATTTTATCACAAACTTGTACAACAACACTTTGTCGAAAAGGTGCAACAATGGCAAAAAATTGTGTGAAAATTGGTTGTTTTTGGGTGAGTAAAGTGAAGTTTGATCAATAATCTCATAACCAACTACAGAAGGGCATTCTGATATTATTTTACTCCTTTAGTCTCAGTAAGAATGAGAACCGAATCATAATCTCGATTTGCAGGAAATGGTGGTTGCGTTGGTCATTTTGGCGACGGTTCTTGGCGCATGTGGACCTGTTATGGGGAGGCAAAGGAGGACTGTCCTCTTTTCTGGGTGGCAACCTCATCACTCCCCAGCCGACCACTTTTACTACCCCAGGACGGAAAATTATTACCACAAAATGAAACCAGGTAAGTATTGTGTGTTACAATAGTATATGTAATTTGTGCATTTCATAGCGTACACAGATTTAAGTTAATTCAGCTTTAGCTAACTAGCCAACATCGAAATATATGTCGCCTTGTTTTTAGAAGCCGTTGTCGAAATCATGATGGACCCACGAGACGAAGATGACGACTTTGGACACCGTATCGTCGAACACTCCTCAATCACTACGAGCATCCAAAGCGAGGCTGAGTACAGAGCGTCATGTGTCAAGGTTCGGCTCACATATTTCATAAATTTTAGCTTTATTTCTATCTGCATACCGTATCTTTTTACATTTTTACAACTATGAGTTTGCCAAATTTTTAGGAGCCTGGATGCAGATGGGAGTGCGAACCAAGACAAGACGAGCTTCCCCCAGATTGTGATTGTGTCTGCTTTTACACGGACGCTAAATGGGATAACATGCCATAATTGAGTCATCCTCAATCTTCTTTCATCAATATTTTGAAAACTTTGTTACAAGTTAATAGGATAGCCAATTTGTTGTTAATTTCGAATTATTGGTACTCTTTTTACCATTAAAGAAAAAAGAAAAAGAGTTTTGATATGCAGCAATGAAGATCCCTTAACTTTTAAGTAATATAAACCCTCAATTATGTATGATGTATGTGTAATTGATTTGTCGTAACATATAAATTTAATCTTTATAATAATGAACTTGTAAATTCAGGGAATATAGTTGTAGTCGGAGAAATGGAAAAACAGATTTCCGTATAAATTTGTGCAAACATAGAGCACAACTATGCAGGCTATGTTCATGAATAATCCCGTCTTGATCATGTCAGTCACCTTCATGTTGCCTGCACTGTAGACAATCGCTGCATATTCAAATAATATTAATCAATTTTTAAACTTTTATATGTACTAATAATTTGAGTAGAGAGAATCACTTACCGTTTGGAGGAGTAGCTTTGGAAGTTGGAAAAATGTGGTTAAAAAACTTAATTTTCAAGTTTGAATACTTTAAGCATATGTACTTACCGACCGGAAGCATGAAGGCATATGAGCATGTCACCGTTGCTGGAAGGGTCAAGTATAAAGGATGAATGTTCAACCCTTTGCTTAGCTCCAGAAGAATCGGGACCACAATGGACGCAGTGGCTGGAAGGAATATGATATTATTGATAACCTGAACCAATAGATAACCACATATGCAAACAATTACCCGTGTTGGACGTCACTTCCGTGACGAAGCCGATAATTGTCATACAACTCAGCTGAATTAAGGACGGTGACAAGTGTGACAGTGACTTGAGGGATTGGCCAATCAACTCGTTTAATCCAGCAGCCTTTGCCCCCTTCGATAATGCATAGCCTCCTCCCAACAAGAGGATGACACCCCATGGGAAACGCCGCTGCACAAACTCCCACTCCAATAAGGGCTTCATTTCGGCATTTTTGAAATCTAAATAATATTTCGTAATCGAATATCGTAATATTTCGTAGGCGCACATCTTTCTTTGATGCATTTCTAAGTACCTCCAGTAGCACAAGCCCGGTAGAATTCCGCATTCCGAGGCACAATAAAGAAAAGCACTCCAATGAACAAGGTGGCCGTCGAGATAGAAACTTTTGGGCCTCCGTGAAAGAGTTCGCTCCATCCGGGGATGAATCGAGGATCGTGCAGAATCTTAAAAAAGAAAAGAATTTTAATCTTTTTCATAATGACTTTGAGCACCGAGGAACACTCCTCCAATGGAGGACCTCCATTCCTACGAATGAAGATTCCAGCTCGCAACAGAGTGGTTGAACAGGGGCAGGCCTGCTGCTCGCTCATTGGCTGTTGCTTCTATTAAAAAGCATTCCAGCTGCTCCGTTCATCACCACTCCGCTCCAACTGCTCAACCAAGCAACAAGGACTTTCTCGCTTCCTCTTTCATAATTATTTAATTAAACAATTATTTTAATTTATCATAATTATTTATCTGCGAAGTAAGGTAAGTACAATTGTATAATTATATACTAAGTGATAGAGTGATAGAAATCCTTCAAGATTTGTTAATCAACAAGATTAATGGATTAGTTAAAGCTCAACAATTAGTAGACAGTCTAATTAGTTTAGTTTTTGTATAGACGGACAATAAGTATAAGTGAAAGACTCAATTAATAAAAAATTTCTAGTTAATTTATTTAGTAAGAAATAAATACATTCCCTTTTTATTAATATGATAAAAAAATGTTGCATATAGGAGATTTGCAGGCACAATCATGCCAGCAAAAGCTGGACAACCCGTTGGACCCAAAGGACCTCTTGGCACAGTCAGGGATTCAATTCTTACCTATCTTCAACAATGTCATCCAGGAAAGCAGTTTAGTGGTGACACAGTTGTTACAACAGGCGAGTTCAAGCAACTTATGCAGAGCTGGGAAAATCATCGAATTAGATATGAAACGACCGATCGACGAATTGCTGCGACACCACCTGGTTTTCAGAACATGCAAAAGGTACCAACCGTAGGACTTCATAAAGGACAATCCTTCCCAATTCGTGTCAGATGGGATAATGGAAGACTGCAATGCTCGCTTGACCTTGACCAAACATCCCCATTTACATGGGATAAATCCAAATTTAAATGCAACCGTGATGAATGTTGGAATGAATCGGTGCGTAGAATTTTTAAAACTTACATATTTTCCAAATTACCTACATCCATACTTACATGTACATTAAAATTTCAGACGAAATTGCAGTTTTGTAATTTACATGCAAAACAGGGAAAGAAGCGTTCTTTGGAAGAAGCAGATCTGTATGAAAGTGATGGTAATATTTTGTTTTCCTAGAAACTACTTTCCACAAAAATATCTTAATCAGTAATAATAATTATTTTATCACTTTGTAGACGAGAATGAAACACCTCGAACTGGAACTTTATTTTACATAGATCCGGAAGGAGTGATCCAACGTCGTCCAATTACACCAGAGGATGAAAACCCTGTGGAGGTTTATATTACTCCAATCTCTTCACAAGATGAACACTCCATTGTGGAATCCGTTATTATCGACATCACATCAAGGTCAATCATATTTGCTGCTAAGGAAAAATTGACAAAACTACTTAACTTCGAGCACCTCCGCCGGATCCTCTTTCATGACCCAACCCCTATGCCAATAGTAAATGGGAATCACCGATGCTCTCACTGTACCAGAAGTTTTAAATCCCGAAATGCTTTGACCACACACAGTGTAGTCCACTTCCAGAACAACGGAACAAAGGAAAAGCGTAGCCTTAAAAGCTTGCCCGAAGTATGTTCGTATTCGTCTTTACTTCGCCCTGAAAACAACAAAAAATTCCACCCTGAACGCGCTTTTGGTACCACGTTATTTGGAGAAGATTTGTGGATGGCCGAACAGCTGAAATGGGTTGCAAGAGATGATACTCCGAATTCCAAACACACCTTTTCAACACACCTTGCCCGAGACTTTCTACGTGATCACTTGCAGTTTATTTCTGATACATTAAAGAAATTTCACAAGGAGATGGGTCTAGACAACAATGTCACTTCAACAACTGAAATAGGCCAATTGCGACAACAAATGGAACAATTGAAACTGGATAATGCCACCTTAAGAGAAAAACTTACTCTTCACTGGGAATACATCAGCGATGAAGAAGATGCTGGCGACGTATCGGATTGGTCGCATTATTTATCACGAGCGGAGTAAACCCATCAAATCCTCGTCTCTTTAACGATGCCTGGTCTCATTAGCCAAAACCAACCCAACGGCCCTTTTAAGGGCCACCAATTACTTCGGAGAGCAAAAAGTTATTTTGAAGGCTCCTTTTATTGCCCAGCTTAGTCATTTTCATTTAAAACTGTAAAAAGTTCAGTCTTGTTAAGCAGGAAGTAATCCGGCCAAAAAAAAAGCCCCCTCTCCCCGCAGGGGGCCGTGTAAAAAGTTCAGTCTTGTTAAGCTGGTCGTGAAGAATCTACCTTACCTTATTGTAGAATTAGAATCTACCTTACCCAGCTCGTGATGGCGACGATAAAACAGATGGCGACGGCCACCTCGTGCAACGTCACGGATCCCAAATCTGCATACTTTTTGGCCAACATGAGCTTGATTTTGGATTCCAATTGTGGATTGAATATTCTTCCAGCCGCTGCGCTATCGCGTTCCTCCTGACTCCACCAAAACTTGAGATGGGTGGGGAATCCGAGGTAGACAAATTGGAGGTAGACCCACGCGACCACAATGTTCAGCACCATGGGAAGAAAATTGAACGCCGCCCATGTTGCAAAGGTTAAAGATGCGTAATCACCGTGATGTTTCGGATCCAAGCTGTATTTTAATTGATAGAAATCTTAAATTCCTTGGGGTTAATTAGGGAATAAAATGTAAGTGATTGTAATAAATCGCATATCCTGCTGGGATAATTGTCTGGCTGACTTACTCGCCGAGAAATTCCAGAGCTACAAGATTCGTTCCACTGCCGGTCACCACTCCTACAAATGAAAGAGAACCAAGTTGCATTTAACAAAAGCTGTTAATTAGTACACACTTTTTTAAAGAATTGCTCCTGGAGGGTGATTAAATACGTGGTTCTGGGTAGAATCTTTGGTAGCTTTAGTTTGTATAAGGTTTAAATTAATGGGAAATAAAATTAATGCTTAAAATTAATGAAGAAGAAGTGACGACATTGTTACCAGTTCCGCCCAAATTACTGCTGTAGCACGTGGACAGCAGAAACATGGTTCTCATACTTCGAATACATTTTTCAACTTCATTTTTCTTGTCATCAGCTATTGTGCTGGTGGGTTGTTGATTTGGGGTTGCGCACCTAAACATGCATGACAATTTTATAACGATGATATTCTACACGTTTGTAAATTAGATCGGAACCTTTGATCGGAAATTAGTTTTGTATCTCCGATCGAATTATTTCTCTTTTCAACTACTCGATTTGTTAAGTTCGGAGTGCTTGGGAGTGGTGTTGCAGTTTCACATCCAATCGTGGATGGTTCCTCGGAATCAATTGAAGGTGCCGTGTGTACCTCTTCCAAACTCTGTTTAATCAGAAGAAAATTGGACTCGAATTCACAATCACAACTTTTAATTACCTTTTGCAGTTCATCGTTAATCGACAAAATGATGGGCACCATCATTGCAGTCGTGGCTAAAGTTAAAATGAGTATAAAAATTTGAGTATGCTACTTTTGAAATACGTATTTTCACCTGTGTTGAACATCCACCTGGACAAAATAGAGTTAACAAATGTACATAATTTTACTTAAAAATAGTAGAATTAAATATGATATGCATACATGGATAGAAATGCTGTGGTCACCATTGTGCCCAGCATTAACCTGAATTTAAAAATAGAGTAAATCTGTTATCAGTCCTCATGATAAGTTTGTATGTCTGTACGTTTCTTACATCCTGAGACTAGCTCCAGTGAACAACATGACGCGAAGAGCAATCCTCTTATGAAGTTGACAATACTCGAACGCCAAGGCTACCAAGAGGCCCCCGACGAAAACCATGATCGAGTCCTTGAGATATTCTCTGCTAATGTCATCTGCAATAAGTAGATAAGCATTAGGCTTTGTAATAATGCTACACAAAAGATAAGTAAAATCTCACCGGTGTCACTAATTCCAAACAATGGATATAAGACGACAGGGAGAAGTGCTGTAACAGGAATTGGAATGGCTTCCGTCATCCAATATATTGCCATTATTAGGACGCAATATGCACATGATCCTGTCTGAAAATGGACAACTTTATACCTTACTTATCAACATAAAAGTTGTCCTTGTCTACCTTTGACTGGTATATGAGTGGTATGGGAAGTAATACGATGGGAGTCAAAATTCCTATTAGTGGTTTCCAATATCCTAGAATTCTTCGATAAACGGGAACAACTACTTGGTCGCACATGGTTCTCTCGAAATAATTAGAGTAGCTTTGTCTCCAGACGGGATTTATTAACTTATGGATGGATCCCAATATTCACTCTGCTCTCGTAATTAATTATGAAGTGAGTCATGCCTGAGTGGCACGCGTCATCAACTTTTGCAAAAATTATGATGCTTTCGACACGCCATCGTATTTTTGGGACATAAAGTATTAAACAAAAATGTATGACGGTGCACGGGTAAAATTAGCATGTTCATCAAAAACAATGAGACCGACGTCGCAATGTAAATATGCACCTTTTCCAGCAACGACGTCAAGTGTCAGAAATTGGCCGAGTTTGATCCCAATTTTAATTCCCTTATATCTTATAACTGGAATATTCATGAACGCCAAAGTTTACGTAATAATAATAATATGCAGAACAGAGCAGAGCCCCAAATGAAAATCCATCGTACAAATTTATTTTAAAAGTCAAGTCAACATATTACATAATGGTGCTGATCTAGGTAAATAAGATAATTAATAAAATAAGTTCAATAGTCCCCTTGTCATAGATCTTTTGTAAATTCACGGATCAGATCCTGCGTCAAGTCGTAAAAGGTCGTCGGATTGTCCCCGGAACATCCATAGTTGTTTAAAAATCGGTAAACTTCTCGCCTCTTGACGGGATCCTTTGAAGTGAACTCGTAAAGAAGGGTGTCGAAAACTTCAGGAAATGCAGTAATTACACTCAAAACGAGGGAAAATACCCCGATCACATTTGCCACCTGAAATCGAAATAATTTTAAACCACTCCTGACGACGGAAGTATTAATTAGGGCGAAACTACTGTGGTGCGTACCTGACTCGTAAAAATGTCCTTGTTCCCAAAGTCCACGCTCCAGAAGCTGTAAGCAGTATTGGCCAGGGAGAGAATACTGAGGACATTCGCGATGGTGTAACTCAGACGGTCAGATGCTGCCAAATATGTAATAATTGCACTCGGGATGCCTGTAACGTAACTTAGAATTCCACTAATGATGGAAATGGTGTTCCCCACGACGGAGTAGTACGAAGCGGAGAAAATTCCCATCACCGTCCCCACCGCCCCGGAGACGATCGCCAGCACTCCGAGATCTTGAAGGAAATTTCCCCTCCCATCGCAACTCTTCTTCTTCTTCAATCCGTATTTTGTATTAGGTCTCCAAAATCGTCTGTTCCCAGACTTGGGACTGATTGGAAATTTTTTTTAGTTACAAGTTATACCAAAAGTTATTACAAGTAAGGTTTTAGTCTTTACAACCTTGGCAAGTATGCCACATTTGGCACGGTGAAAGAATTTACTGGTCTTTCCGGGCTGGGGAAAGTTTGCGAGATTGACGAGACCCCGGTCGGCCATTGACGATCTCTCCAATTGCTTTGAAGAATGTGCTGAAACTGGGGCGGCCCTTAAGACACAAATTACTTTATGCAATATGAAAAGTGAAAAATGTCAATAGATAATCTTTAATTCCGAAGATTTCGAAATTTTTGCAACTAAGTTAATCATAAAAAATAGAAAATAAAATTCTGGAGAAACGTTCGTATAAATAATTTTTTGAATAATGAGACCAATGAATTTACTCTGATTCTGTTGATATGTGCTGTAATCATGATTCATGGTGGGTGCAGTCGCAAATGTTTCCACCGGGAACATAACACTACAGATAATGTTCAAGGTGAGCAACCATCCCGATGCGCGTCTCCGTCTTCTCGGTCCCGTCCACACACAAAATTGCCCAGTAACCATTTCGATCACAACTTTCTCCGTTATAAAAATTGCCAAAATCTCAAGGTTCGCACATTTAATGACACCCGAAAAAATTCCCTTTAAAAATTAGACCTTCTCAAATATTACGGGACAAACTCGATAAAAACTATTCCGCTCAAGACGACAAGTTTTGTGAGGTAATTCAGCAATCGAAGCCCGATGGTGGGATACTGGTAAGCTCCAAAGTGATGTCAAGCCTTCTTAAGGTCCACGTAATGAGTCGAATGCATCAGAGTGTGGAACTCCAAGATGAAGACACAAGCATTTAGAGATTCATTTGTTTTAAATCATATAGAGACAGGAGCAGCATATGCATATTCATATTCATACCGTGCATGGCAAATCCGCTCATATTTTAATACACCTTATTATTATTATCCGATTGTTTGCTGGGCCATGATACCAATCAGTGTAAAGTCAACAAATTTTTGTCTCTCCATTTGTGCCCTAGTCCCGACAGGATCATTCATATCGTTTTCTCAGCGGGGAGCGTTCAGATAGCTTTTTAACGACGTGGTGACCAATACTCCAACCCCCGCAGTCATTCGAAGGAAGGTCGCCCAGCCGCCCCAGTAATCTCATGGGGATTTATTTTCATACAGTTTCGCCATGCTGCTGACATGCCTTATCCAACTGCTGAATTGGATATAAATTATATTTGCGCATTGATTAAGAAGCATAAAAATTAGGCATGGGCATATAAATCATAATTGTGTGCATTCATTTTTACCGGGAAATCCTGTCGAAATCTTTCACACAATTTATGAACCTGGTGACATTGGTATTTATGCATTGCCGTTGTTTAAAAGATTCGCCAGCAGTTGAAAATAAAATCATTAGGAGATCTTGAGCATCAGCAGGCATCGTCAACGAGCGTGGCACATCCTCAAGTGAGAACGCCTTGAGAGGGCAGGGGCTCAAGAACCCATCGCCCTCAAGTGGTGGTGGTATAGCCAGTTGCAGTGACTTCATTCAATATATAAACGTTACCACGAGCAGTACTTGAGACTGATATAAATTTAGAGGTGCTAAAAATAAACCACATTTGCTATTTTAAGGACGAGATAATACTGTCTGCATATCATTTGCTACAACAATGGTTTCATGCATGGGCTGTGCACCACTCCTTGGGTGGGATTCATTCGGTACAGGTTTTCGTGAAAATTAGCCTTAATTTTTAAACTAGGTTATTGCACTATACTGCACAAACTGTCTGGAAATAATCCGGAAATGACGGTATGCCCGGCACAATTTATGATAATTAAATGCTCCCAAATTATCAATTTAGCAAAAGAGTTTAAAAATAACACAGATTCAATATTTCAAGTGGACAGTGGATGAATCATTTTTTTGCACCTTAATTCATATTCAATTGCATTACTGGGCAGAAAATTCATCAGTTTTATTAGACTTTGGCCACTAACTTAGAATTATTGTGTACGTGACTCGTGATGTGCAACAAATGCAGTTTAATAAATTGCAAGACGTCGTCGTGTATGTAGAATTATGTGAGAATGAAAAGCATTAATGCAAAAATGCAACATTTGCAATGCTACACACTTGTGGCATGGCATTTCGTGAGTAGATGACACTTCAGAATAAATATACACGAGCGCATGACCTGGTGAAATAGTTTCATTGACTGATGAGCGACTCACTGTCCTTGATGCAGTTTTCCAAAAATAGAAATTGCAGTGTTATATAAAATATTAGAAATGTACTCTAATTTTTTAAGTATGAAGAATTTGAAACTTTTCCTGTTGTTGTTTAATAGAATTAAATGAATTAGATTTATGCATTTTATTCAGCATATTCAGTGTTTTAGCTCTGTTTTTTTATCCATAAGAGAAAGGTGATAACCGAACTAAAATTAGAACTAGCCAACACCCATTCGGAATTAATTATTATCCGGACGTATAAACTTTCTCATGTAACTGAATCTTAAGACAATTAAAGATTTTAGTATAATCATCTCAGACCGCTGACAACAAAGTAGACTAAACTTCCCCATCTCAAAACAGGAAAATATAAATCATTATTAATTAGTGCGACAGCAATCACAAACATGGTTGGCTGCACTCAATTAAGACATTTGCAGTGCATGTATACCAGACTGGGTGGAATATATTAACTCTTCTCGTGCATTCTGAATTTATTAAAATGCTAATATGCAAATTTTTCGCAAACTTTGTTTTCAATGTTACTTTTAATTAATCTAGGTTAACGTAACATTACTTTATGGGTCAATTTTATACCATCCAACGAAAATTTAGTTTATTCCAACCAAAATTAATAATTTGGCCAATAATGCAATGGGCAACGGGTTTAATTTTTGCGTCCAACGAAAATGTGAAAGCATCCAACCAAATTTTACATATCATATTAGTCTACTTTGCCTATCATATTATTGATAGCATACGTAAATGGATAGATATGGGTATGTATTTTCATCATTCACAATTACCATCACTAACTCACATTTCTTCCCAATTCTCATTCAACTTTTGTCAGGCCATTCCTTGTTATTTCGTAAAACAATTAACGAAAATGTCAGATTTTCAGCGACTAAATAATTATCAATCCGACTCTGAAGACTTGGTTGAATAAACCTCACAAAGAAGCAAAAACGTAATCCCGAATTTATTTTTTATAATTAGGAAATAAACACTTACGGAGAGAGAGTTCCGTTAAGGCAATATTTTGGATGTATTATGAAACTTCTGCTAAATTGGTCTCGAGACAGAAACCCTGATAATTCAGACAGTAAATGGTTTCAAATTAGACCATCAGTTTCAAATTTGCTGATCAAAATCATATACTTGGGCACGGGAGAAAGCAGGACTTCGATTTAGGAACCAGAGTGAAACTTCCATGCAATGTATTTCACCAGCCGGAAATAAATCTATTCGAAAGGATGAAATTGATAGAATCCTTGGGTTAATCAAAAGAATGTATTGGAAAAAGTTTGAGCCGTACGCTTCAAGTAAACCGGCGTTCTGGATTATCAATTTTAAATTGCATGACTGGATTTCTTCCACTTGTTCTTGCTCTATATTCAAAAAAGTATATGTATGCAGGCATATTGCTGAAATGTGAATAATTAGAAAGATAATTGTTGTACCGGACAATCTTAAAACTGATGTTATTGGAAGCTAAGCTAAGCGCGGTCGAAAAAATTAGTTGGAAATGCTTTGATTATTGACTAAATTTTTATACCTTCTTATTTATCGTAAAATTTGAAGTACTTCAGGACAAGGATTTCGTTTATTTCTTATTTGGAAATTTAATTATTTTGTTGTGCATTTTAATGAAAGTTGTTGCAAAATAAATCAATTCGTTGCCAAGTTCATAATTGGCGAAATTATTAATTTTGGTTGGATAAAGCTATATTTTCGTTGGACGGTTAAATTGGCCCCCTTACTTTATTATTTATTAGGTATTCATTCATCGCAAGGGACAAGAAGAAACCAATAATTCCGTTTCCCTCATACGAACCCCATCAAAATTATGAAAACGAAATAAAATAATACTGTTCGAAATCATTGATACTGCCACTTAATAATTTTCACCTTTTGTTTGTAGGTTACAACCCATGGTGGCAACCTCTTATGGCCTCGGCGTCTTTAAAAAAATTAGGTCAATGACCTCACTTGGCCTCGGCTTCGCTGACAAAGTTCAAAGCCTCATAATTTCGACCTCAGGTCGGGAACCTTAAAGGCTTCAGCGAGGTCGGCCTCAGCCTCTCCAGTTAAAAAATGAGGCCTATGGCGTCACATGACCAAAAACCCAAAAAGAGGCCTAGAGCTGAGGCCAAAAAACTACCTCAAAAAGGCCGAGGCCCACCACTGGTTACAACTTGGAATAAAAAAATATAGCATAAAAATATAATGTAAGTATTACTTTATTTAAATTGAATTAAATTAAATTTCATGGACTTTCAGATGGAAAGAGAGCGAAGCGAAGGTGTCAGAAAGTCGTCTTGGTCACTTGGTTACTCAAATTTTGAGTGGAGAGAAGTTGAGTCTCAAATCTCTCAGTGACCAGCAGCACGAATTGCCACAGAAGTGATTTTCCATTGTCAACAGTTTATAAAAGTTGCTCGAAAAATAAACAGAAAAGATTCCTACTAGGCGAAACCTTGAGGGGAATACGGCATTACGATGATTGCGTACATTATTTGTTTGGTGTTTGCTTCTCTCCTTGCTTCAATGAACACATCTTTAGGTAAATAAATACATATATACACAAAATAATTTGGTATATTTGATTGTGGTTTTCTCGAGAAAATAATTAAAGTGTTTATTATATGTAAATAAATTTGTTCTAAAATTTCAGATAAATTTACCTTGAAGTTTTTTGCCTATATGTACAAAGGCAACTGGTCTTACCGTAGCGAAATCGATACGGAAGCGGACAACGTTGGGGACCCTCCCGTCCTACCTCCAGGATACGTCAACGATGGTTTCCGGGGGATCGGCCATTTTGAAGAATAAATAATTATAAATAATTATATGGTGGAGAAAATGCAGTATCATGAACGACGTCGGATTTCTTTTCAAAATTTGCTTATAAACACCTTACTTTTTTGCTGGCGTCTTGAAACCTAATATTTCTGAACACTTTTTCTTTAATATTTCTTTGTCTTCGATTTTCATTTTTCATCCGAAAATCATTTTTGGACTTGTTAAATGTAAGAAACTATAAGAATCTGGCTTTTATTGAAAATTCAAAAACAAAAAAAGTTATAAATTTAAAAATCATATTCAAAATCCGATTCGTATTCGGAAATACTTTTAGAATAGCAATCGTATTTATATGATCAAATGATAAATAAATAAAATGTAAATATTTGTAAATCATTGATATTGTATCAGTGATAAATCATGTCATTTTATAATTTAGCTTATTTGTCAAATGTATCACTGACCAACCACAACCTTTCTCTAAAAGTATCAAATAGTACTCGCTGCAAATTAGTTAGGCTGGTTTTATGGGCGGAGTAGGGTGAGAAAGCTGCAGCTTCTGAGGTGATCCCACTTAACGGAGAAGATATTATGTATGTACGTATGTAAAAAAAACTCTTAGAGAAATCCTCGCCGAGATTATTTACACACATTTACAACTCTGTTCTCATACTAACTAAATGACACAGAAGTACATATCATTGCACTTAACTTATTTCCGTACTCACTTCACAGTCACAGCGAGCCCACAGCAAGTAGAAGGCCCACCAAATACTCGAACAAGCACCCTCAATCTCAAATCATTCAGTTTTCCTTACGGGGTTGAGAAAGTTCTGTTTCAGAGTCTCATCTGCATCTCGCCGCAATCGCATCTTGTTCTCGAAGTGATCAATAAGTTGCAATAGTTCTTTGTGCCGTCTGGAACTTGTTCGAATCAATTTAAAAATTTAATACAACATTTTAGTAAAGCAAGCGTTGTTTGTGATGTCATGTTGGTAACAAAGCAGTGTCGATTCGACCAACATACTGAAATGCGTGGAGAAAATCCAACTTATCCGACGGACAATTCTCCCCAGACTGAGAGCCCATTAACACACCTTCACCCTTATCGTGCTTCTGGTGGTGGTGAAGGATACTATCCTCCAAATAATTCGGATGGTGGTGGTGAGATGATGGACCACTTTGGTGGACGCTATTCCCATTGTGGGAGCAACATTCCTCTGCATAATCACAGCATCAAAAATGGTGGGGGTGGTGGTGTCAGAGGTGGCAGCAACCGATATGGCGAGGTGACCAATAATAATAATAATATTAGTGGGAAGGGTTATGTGAGTCGAGGGGGGATTTCACAGTACGGTTCCTGCCCCCACTCGGAAGACAGTCGATTCTACCTGGAGAACGGGGATGATCTGGACTCCCAATCTCTCTTTAAGTCAGAGGTGAGTGAGATAGAAAATGTGGACAATGTGGAAAATAGTGTAATGCATACATATGTTGCGACTAAATTGAATGTTGCTTCTGAGCACTAATAAATACTGTAAATTCATAAATTAAAATTCCTATATCAAGTATTGTGTATTGATTATGTAGTCATCTTATCGAAATGAACTTTGGTGAGTAAATTTGGTGAGTAATCAAATGCACGGAAATTTCATCCCGTTGAGACTCGAAATGACTGAGAAGTTAGAAAAAAATCATAATGTCTGAAATTCGATACTTTTTACGACAATGGTTTCTGTGAAGGGATGCATGACGAATCGTATGTATTGGAAGAAATAGATTTTCATGACGAAGTATGATGATAAATAATGATGGATAACTACGAAACTGAGAATCATACCCATAAATAAAACATAATGTTAATAGTTTGCTCTAAATTTGTTTAAAATTTGTTAATTTATAGTTCAGGCGTATGCAAAAGGAGACTATGAGCACAATATGTATGTACAAAACCAATACTACTTATAACTTGAGCCCCATTCTAAGAGATTCATAGGAACTGAAAACTAAATACATTCTGAATATTTAATTATCGATCGTCGTATTCCTATTTATGGTCATCCGGAATGGCATGGAGGTCATAAAAATGTTCAAAATGTATAAAAACGTATTTATGACAAATCAGATAATCTACTCTTCGAAGAACCCATGCATGCAACAACAAAGTGTGATTACGAATATCTCTTAAAAATGCATTTTCTATGCAGTATCATGCTTGTGCCGTCATAAAGTGTCAAATTCGACACACAGCTACCATGAAGGTATTTATGATTAGCTGAAATATTTGCGGCAAGCAACCACTCGCAGATTTATTGTTTCCATCTTCTAGCAGAAGCGGTAATGTTTTTAGATAATTGGGAATGCGCGTTGATGGATGAGATGCCAGGAATCAACTTTTGCAATTCCACACATATTTCAATTCGCCATGAAATAAATCACTTCTCAGGCATTCTCAATCAAGTCTATTATTCGCAATTTCAATACACATTCCAAAAATATAATAGGCCCATCATACATAAGTTTCCTGGAAATATTTAGCTGCATGTACATATTGATAACTTGTCCTTTCCCACACTGAATTCAGGATGACGAGGAAGACGAGTCCTTATCTGGAGGCAGCAGTATCGCCGGTGATGACCACGTACCCCACGTCCTTGCCCCATCCGGTTCTGGAGGTCATGCCCCCAGAAAGTGCCTGCTCTGGGCGTGTAAAGCCTGCAAGAAGAAGACGGTCACCATCGACCGGAGGAAACAGGCGACGCTCCGAGAAAGGCGGAGACTTCGGAAGGTGAGCTTTTCCTTATACATTCGTCTTCGTGTACCAATTGTCAAGATTTGATCTCAAATTATATATCTTACTTTATTTTTATTTGCAACACTTTTGCCAAATCTTCCACCTTAGCTCAATTACAAGGGTTGTATTCATACATATGCATCCAGCAAGGAAAGACTTGGCCCATGTTTATCCTAATAGTTCGTTGTACTAGATATCTAGCAGCGTTGTGCTAAATGTGGGATGTCTGAATCGAGGAAATATATATCGCATCGTTGTCTCATACATGGAACGTGCGTCACAACGCAAACATTCACCAAAAGTAAATTGTGTTGGTTTTCTCCAACTATTAATGGGTATAGTTGATGGTGAAACAATTCGAGAGAGAGACATGGTTGGTTTTTTATGAAAGCGATGCAAAATGTGCAGAGTGAAATGGTTGTTAGTTGGAAACGGCCGATGTAAATTTTATGTTAAAGATAGATTGTTTTGAGTTGGCAGTATTTATTGTTAGTGTCTCAAAAGAATAGTGATATTTATATTTGGGTTTGGGAGTTGAAGAATGCTAAATACAACACTTAATGCTAATGTGAAGGGTAATTGATGAGATTGTCCTTTCGCTCTTTTCTTCTGCTCTTCTTCTTCTTTACCAAGGAAATCAAGATGGCACAGACACAGATCCCGTGCCTCTGATTATTACCCCTCCCACTTTACCATCCCATGTGGGCACCGGTTCAACAATATAAGGATCATTCGATACAAAACCTGGGTGAATAAAAGTGACATAAATTACAAGAGCTAAGCAACTCTCGAGAGGTCCATAGAACATGATTTTTAGTTCCATCAGAAACAAAACAGTTCTCTTTTTACTGTTTCGTACATAATTTCGCCTCTTTTTATAATGTCGTCTCTCTGTCCGTCTGCGATGTATTAATGCGTCGCCAAAAGGTGAACTAATGTCCTGCCCACTTTCTTTCTTCAGGTTAACGAGGCCTTCGAGAAGTTGAAGCGGAGGACGTGTTCCAATCCGGAGCAGAGATTGCCCAAAGTGGAGATTTTGCGAGGAGCTATCGAGTACATTGAGACATTGGAAGACCTTCTTCACGGTTCGAACGGGAGCGAGGGTGGAAATTGTGACTCTGTCGGATCAAATCACAGGGACTTTCTCAGAGACCCAGGCAATGCCATCCTCCACTCCAATGCAGCAAATTCTATTCTTATGGTGAGCCATTTATACATATTTTGGATACGAATCTCTACTAAATGTGTGTCCCGTGTTGATAATTTTTATTAAAGTTGGCCAGCTTTAATAATTAACATAACGATATTTATGACGATGGCGCAGATATGCACTGCTCCTCTTTCCGTATTAGATACGCAGTTAGACGGAAAAGAGAAAATGATTTTTTCTTCCCTCTTTTACTTACTTATCTCTCTTCGTAATCAATGTTTTGAACTTCCGACATGGATTTCAATAGAATATGATGGATTATAAGGCTGGCAGGCAGAGTCGTAAAGTCTTTTGAAATAAATGAGTGTTTGGAGCTCATAGATAATTTTAGAGTGGGATTAGATTGGTAGGTACGAAACCCATGCAACGACCATGTCACAGAATTAAGCTTGAATTTCAAAATTTCCTACCTATTTAAATGATACCAAGTGATACTGGAAATGGAAACGGTCCAAAATATTCATCTCCTCCACGAAATGAGCAATGGGATAAGTTGTGTCTAGTTTATTAGTGAGGTTCTGGTGTGCATGATATTTTCAAGCGTTGAATTATCGATCATATCACATCGCAAAATTTGGTTAAAACATGTGCCACATGGCGATACGACATCGAAAAGAACGGCATGGCCAATTTACCATCGTAATATCGCATCTCTTCGTCGTGAGCCAGCTATTAAACACCTGAAACGTTGTACACGTGTGAAAAAAATCGCATCCAGTCACCTCCTCACCAAGAACGAAGAGATTTCCTAAGATTACGGCGGCATGATAAGAGTAATGTGTGGGATTAATATAGTTCGGGCTCAGCCTTGATAACAGAATTAGCGATGATATTATTGACTCGACTCTCTCCTCCTCCGGCTAATGAATGAAACCATAGTTGTCCAAAATGCTTAAACAAACATGAGATTCATAAAGCACTTAAGCATAATGTGACGTGCAGTGCATTCATGTTTGAAAAGTCTTACACTGTTTCGGTCGTGTGACAAGTGAACTTTTTCTCGTATGGATCTTAAAATCTACTTTTCTTGCACATTGCCAGGTTATATTTACAGATTTTTTTCCTGATTGCTAAATTTATTTAAAGAAATTTGTCATTCAAAATTATTCAATTCTTGATCTACACGGAAAATCGCGAACACTCGAATCAAGTCGAAATTCCAAAATGACACTAATCCATTTCATTGACTTTGGTAAGTCCAAATTAAAACCATACGACATAGAAATACGTGAACTAGATTCGTTTCACCAGATTTGAGACGACAACCATCAGCCACAATTCCGATAAAGATACGCAGAAATCGGAGATGTTCATCCATCCTTTAATAATCCCAGCCCTAGGAAACAAAGTTATCTTTGTACGTATTATTGCACACGAATTTATGTATCTTTGCCAAATTAAGCAATTATTTCATACATTGTCCCATTATTGGGATAACTGCAGCAACGTTGAAATGGTCGTACGAGGCGTATTTTAATTAGTCGCAGTAAATTTACCAATAACTACCAGGAAGTAGTCATCACCATAAAGCATTTGGTAATACAAAATTTCATCGTCGTACGGCGTGGCGAAACAAGTGTTTGCCAAATGTCTAACGAACGAGGACACAATTTATGAATTTTTTAATGAACATTCCCGAACTTTTATTACTTTCTGCCACCTTCTGAAAACTTAACGGCAGGCGTCCTGCTGATTTTTATATAGCGGACACTCAAAGATTAAAAATACTTCCGTTCATTGTCATTACGGATGGATTTTAAGGCTGGATTTATGATGTTGGCGGCTGTGTAGCAGAAGAACATTTACTCGATCCCCTTGAAACAAACTTAACTTGTTTGCATCGCTGACATTATTATTATTATTCTCACCATCTCAATTAATGTAATGAGTTTGAAAGTCTCATGTTTTCCAATCACCCAATTTTAGCTTACTCCTTGAGACTGTTGTATTGATTGCTCTGATGCTGCTAAATCTGTTACTTTGAAGATTCTCCTGACTGATCTTCATGCACATTAAATCTTCAAGTAGTTCAGCAGGAAATTTTGCCAAGTTAAATGACACCCTTATTCCTCCTTATTATGCACCAGATATCGTTTCCCCCAACTTATTGTCATGTTTGGTTGGTTGAGTTGGTGCACATTATGATTTCTGGATGGACACTTTTATGCCATTTAACTTTAACCACATAATACTTCCCTTAAACCTTAAATAAAGTTTTATAGACTTTCCAGAGACAAAACATTGTTGCTTTTGCGACTTGCAGCTGCAATACTCGAGAGGTGCACACTTCTTTTGGTGATTCAGTTGACATGTGCTCTGATCTCTGGAATATGTACGAGGACTGACAAACTGAGACCCAGAACTCTTCTTAGAAAAGTCATAAAAGCTATTAGGAACTCTTAAGTGAACACCAATATTTCCAACCATAAATATCAACATTTCTTGAAACTTGCCCCTTGGGGAAGAATATCCTGCGTTATATTTCACTCGGATAAATAAATGGTATTTTCCATTCTAATCTTTTCGACGCGTGGTCATTTGCTCATTTGTTATCATCATCTGATGTGCACATTGAAAAATACGTGCCTCATTTTAGCCAAGAGTATTATCAATCAAATAGCTACGATATTAACGTCTTAAACCAAAAAGCTTATGCATTTACGATGTGTTGCTTTCTCATACAATTCATTATTCGTCGTCGTCGACCCCAAGTCAGACTAACCAATAAGCTTGGACTGAGTGATTCATGACAACGATATCACCCTAACCTGCGATGACTGAAGTAAAAGTGTCATTCAGTAAGATGAAGTTCCTTTTGAGGAGAGTTGTGCGTAATTTGGTAGAAAATGAGTAAAAAGTTTTATGTGCTCACTCAATTCGTTACGTGTACGCACTTGAGTTGAAGGGTTGGTTAAATACGGACACAGGGAAGAAATGTCCGGATGCTCAAGTCAAAACAAAAGTGTTTGAGAGTTGCTTTGAAATGTTCGCATAGTTCGGGATTAACAAATCCAGCCGGATCAGTCTCTCTGCTCCTTGGAAAATCCGAAACAAACCTTTTCCTCTGCCACCGTCAGTGACACTCTCATCTGTGCTTCCACTGTTTTCATAATAACTAATGCATTTTCTTCTTAGTCCACGTATGTATCTATCTATTATTAAGCCTTCAATATAAGCTCAAAATGTGGCAAGTATGTGAACGAAAACCATTAATCAGCTATTACGGAGATGAATGTTACGTAATTCAGTTTCTAACTGCAGATACCTTATCAGAATTACTTGTTAATTTCTCAATAATCGGGTCCATATCGAGTCAAGCAAATGAACAATGTTTAATCCTCATCGCTACTGAACTTAATACCTGATATTCAATATCTTCGTCCTCCTAATAGCGTTTCGCCACGAAACCTGCGACGGCTGAAGGCTAGAGGTTGCCCTTTTAGATTTTTGTAGTAGGAACTGGCAAGAAAAAAATCCGTGGGCATCTGGGTAGAATTGTTGGACCATTTATCTCCGTCTTTAAAGAGAAATTAGATGTTTCCAATAAATCCCGAGTTCGTGGTGGAACAAATTGTGAGTTGAAAACTCCTCATCAATCCACACCAAACTCACCAGTCGCCCGAAAAGTGAGAAGTAGAACGTGATTCTTGGACGAATTTCAGTCTTTAGTTGCATCAATTTATTCTCTACTTTATGACATGCGCCATATTTCACCCTTCCAAACTACGCTGAATTTCACCCATTTTCCGGTTTTCAATTTCAACGGACGAGTTTACAAAGGTTTTTGAATCGCGATGTGCACTTATTTACGACAAAATATGTATGTGCTTTCTGCTGTGTGAAGCAATCTGGTGTTTCTACATGACATTAATCCTAGTTTAAAATCTAACCCAGGCACTGACGAGTTTTAGTGCTGTTATCTGAACAAGAAAGATTATTTTAATAATTATACAGCGACCGAATTAATGGTTTTCTTATTAAAAGTCACTCCGTTTGTTAAACACGGATTATGTTCTTGAATCTAAATGCGTAATTTATAATGACAGGGGCATGTGTATCCCAGATGCCAAAAAACACTGCAAATGTATGTGTTTAATAACAGACTGGCGGCGATGATATTTTTTGATATAAAATTAGTTGATGAGAACTAGCTCCGATGTCATAACAAAACTCGAGTATGAATAGTGTGCTTGTCACCAGATGAGGGTCACATTCGTAAAACATGAAGATCTCGGTGCCACATTTCCTTCCAGAGTAATTGCGTCAGTTCCAGAAAATTTCTATAAAATTACATTTAGAAATATGTTTAAAACATCAACTACTCACCTTTATGCAGATGCACTCACATTTACACCCATTGAACTAGAGTGTGAAAGATACGTACATATTTACGTACCTAGGTTTTGGCTAATGTTGAGACTTTTCCATTTTGTCTCAAAATCCCAAGCCTTTCCCAAGATGTTTCTTGACGAAGGGTTGACAACTATGTTTATTTACAAAAGGATGATAATAATCCACTCAAAATGGACGGAAATTTGAGGAGAAAAGTTGCATTTTCAACACTAAAACTAGAAGACCTTTCCTCCCACACTTAAAAAATACATGTACACACTTTCGCTGTTTTTATTTTTTAATCCCTCAAACCTTTATTTACTACGTAGTGATAACTCCATAACGATGTCCAACCACGCTATATAAATACTTACCCACAGTTCCAAATCTACAAAAAACGCATATATTACACTAATACATAACTATGTATAATCTAATCTTGCACCATTCTCTCTGCCCTATTATTAATATCTAAGCTGTCAATTTTTCCAAAAGTCCACCCCAACTTTTTAATGATGACTAAACTATAGATACCCCAGCACCCCCAGACATGACACCTTTTCCTCCTCCAAATCCCTGCCTGGCTGGATTATGTGGGTGCTCCTCGAGAAACAACGTGTTGAAAAAACACAATAAATGACATGTCTCTTGAGCGAAACGAGTGTGTATCGAGTGTCGAATTTAAAGTGTCAGTTAAGCGTTTGATGGATTGTGCAATTGAGCCCCAGTTGACAAACCAACTCGGTTGAAAAACAGAAAATGCATCCCAGTGATGAGAGGAAAGGTTTTCTTTTCCGTATTTAGTGCAGTGCTTGGTAGTAGCGTGTGATGTGATGGGGTGTTCAATTGCCACCAATTTGTTGGCGTTAAGCGGAGACAAATGGAGTGCTGAGAGATTGTTGTTCTTTGATTTCCAGACTGCATCGCCCTCCTCCTACTTCCAGGACAGACTAGGCCACCTCGGATCTCAATCACCCTTCACCCCGATTCATGGTAAGCTTTCGTTATCAATACCACTACCGGACTCGATTGGTAACCTTACCAAAATCATTTAGAAATGGATTAGCCACATACGTATCTCGCCCTCTCCTTTTTGGAACAAAGGGTGGTGCAACAACTCTTGAGAAACAAGGAAGGGTTGTAATCTACTCAACAAATGATGGTTTAATTAATTCTGTTGGGTTTTAAAAAATTCGTTCGAGAATGTCGGGAATGTCAATGAGCATATTTCTCCTCGCAGTGTGTGTTCTTGTTTCTGTTAATTGTCAAAGCACTTTTGTTAGTCGGCTCACAATCAAGGGAAATGCTTAACAGTTCAGTTTTTCAGACATGTTTAATCTCAGAGTGAATCTCATTCAGAGAGACAAATGAATTTCACGGAACGTGATCACAATTACGTCTCAAACAACATTAAAGTAGACAGGAGGCAGCCTGTTTCGGAAGAAGAACAGAGTTTTAATTTCTCCGACGACAAAAATTTACGCTATAGATTTATGTGTAATAGTTTCCATCGAACGAAGAGCCATTTACTTATTACTATTTTATCTCTCGATGTAATGGATGATCGTTTGTAGGCCATTTTATTTATGTCAAAATGGAAGAGTCCGAACAGTTTTTCCTTCATCCAAGAATGTGCATGTGTGTGGCATTTTTGCACTTTTCCTCGTAATTTTACCGTTTATTTTTATGCTGACAGTGAAAATCGTTTTTTCCGTTTATGAGGTGTATCGCAGTTTCTCATTCAACTCCATTCAGTTTCTACTACGAGGAGGCAGTTTATTTATTTTCTATGCAAAATCATTTAGGTATGTACACATATGAAATTGTGGCTCGGATTCTTTTTTAAATCTGAGGAATTTCGGATAGTTTTTTATGCAGGAATAATACTCAGAGTACGATTCAAATGACGCATTTGACGTTTTGGTTGAACTACAGGGAGTAAAAAACTGCGACACTTTGACCTTACGTAGAACTAAATGTCGTCATCATGGATAATAATTCATAATTGAATGGTCCTCCTTATCGACCATATTCTTTATATGAGAAACTCTACGTTAAACTTTTCGAGTATTTACTATCCTACGACTGATTTCACTGGATGTCTATTAAGTCATTGTCATTTATAAACTCTAGCTTTTTAAATCCAAAGGTGTCAAAATCCTGAAAATTGTGTCAACCTTTACGACAATACGATATGTCAATATGTATTTTCCAGGGTTCAGTAGTTCGAAAATTGTGCTGGTCACCCTACTACCCTGAGAAAGTGGCTTTGTTTTAAAACTCATTACCGCATCAGCTCGGTAACTCGATAGCCAAAATGTGTTGTCCATTTTGTTTACATAAACATTCAACTGGGCTGGAAGAAGTGGAAGCAGTCTATTTTTAAGTTGTCGGCACCTTTTGCACAAGTGGCTGATGTTTAAAGCAGAGAAACTGAAACCCATCCAGGGGACACAGCAGTACTTGTGTTGTGAGACGCGACTTGAAAACTGCTACTGCTGCTGCTCCTGGATGTGTATATAATATGATATCCTTCTCCTTTAACATCACAAACAGCTTCTCGTACTACTGTATCACCCTCAATCATTCACAGTAGTCAACAATTTCTGCCTTTTAAATACAAACAACTCGACACAATACAATCCCACGGATTCATTCATGAAACGGTCTTCTTTTCCAAAACATCGCCGTTGAGTTGCCTGTTTAAAAAATCTGCAGCGATGGACATTATTTGGTTGTAATTTTATACCAGCTCGATAACAACATTACTAGTAAAATAATATTTATTTACGTGTCGCTTTAATCCATAAAATTACTGTCGATAGATTTTGAGGTTATTTTTTATCATAAAGACGGCAGAGTTGCGATGATGATTACATTAACCAAAGCTTTAAGTAGGACTAAACTGAAAATTTAATGAAATCTTACCCCAAGAAATTTTAATTAGACCTTTACGATCACAGAAAAGTATTCGGTTACAGAAACAACCCGTCAGATCATACCTTACCGTGTGAGACGTGGAAATGGCTAATCTCTGTCAGTTTGTTGGCTTGGGTTTCATGCACTTGCAAGGAAAACATGCAGAGACGCCGTCAGTATTAGTGTGCTGATCTTCCGAGGAGAACCTCCTCGCCTTAGGATTAGTTTGTGCATCGAAAAAGAAGCGAGAAGGTAATGCACAAAGATACACAAATCATAAATATATATCTTCTTAAAAAATCTCCGCGTACGTAATCTGCACCAGCCAAAGAAGAAGTCAGGTCGCAGAGGATTTTCAATTTGATACACAAAGAGACGGCACATGGTATTAATAGTAACCGGAGTAAATAGTAGTAGTACGTAGGAGTGGCAATAGTAGTGGCATGCCTTGTTTTGGATGGAGAGATAAAGTGACTAACGGGAAGAAATAATTGGCCATGATTCAGATTATTAAGGAATAGCTGAGCCCATTAAGATTAGTTTCAAGAATGTTTCATTTATTTCTGTCTTCCGTCGCTTATGAATATCATCATTTCTCATCAAGTCGCACCGACCCACCGACCGACCGACCGCAGTCTTGCTTAATGCGCCAGATTACAATGAGCTCGTTTATTACAGAAATCATGATCGACAAAATATACATAAATATACAGGAAGCAACGGAGGCGAGGCGCTCTCTTTTTCATTACGCACCTACCTACACACGATTACATGAGATGAGGTTCACAAAAACGATTACGGATTATCCTTCCTCGTCTTTTTTAGCGTTTTTATTTTTACTTTTACTGCTCCGTCCTAATGATAAAGTGCCGCTGGGAAAAAATGTGTCAAATGCCAGCACATGGTCCAGCAGTATGTGGGATGCATGCGTAAAGATTTTGGGGGTATGCATATGCATACATAGTTTGGAAGTGGTTCCCTCCTTTTATTGTACGACCGAGATTGAGTCATTACTTTCCAGACGCCTTCCTTTCTTTTATGCTGTCCTTAAAAGGTAAATTATTTGGGTTTTAAAATGTCATAAAATAACCCATAAAATGGTCAAAGGGCATGAGAGGAAGGAAACGTGGTTATCTTTTATTGTTATTAGTCGCCCTCATGTCATGTCGCCAGTATGAATAAAATTTTAATATGCGTTTTCAAGGCGAGCATTTTACACGAAGAAAAATATGCTAAATTGTTAGTCTAAATTTGATCGTTCTAATTTCAGACGCAGAAGAGAGCACGATGGGGAAAACTTCCAGCTTGGACTGTCTCAGTTTGATTGTGGATCGAATCAGCAAAATCAAACGAGGCGACGGAGTGAATATTGCGGAATTTTGTACAACGCCGACAAAATTAGACTCGCCACATCCCGCGGCGCCTGAAGAAAAGGATTAAACTTAAATATTTAATGTTATCAAATTTAGATAAATTCGCATATCACACAGCACTCTAAATATGTATAAGATTAAAATTTAAAGTAGCCCTATTTTGTCGTGGGGCTTATGAACTGGACAAGGATGAAAAATAATGCAAAATTTTTTCCGCAAATTGCATGATACAAGTTTATTCTGATAATAAATTGCAAAGTGATGATATAATATCCAGTAAATCCTATTATAGGTTAATTTCTACATACTCCCACTCGATTGAGGAGTCGATTCACGACCAATAAAAAATATTGCAATTTTGCAAATTACAAAATCATAATGTTGTCATCAATTTTTCTGACATTATTGCCTATATGGATGTATGTGCAACCAACCTGATTCATTGACCGATGGACCAATGAATAAGTGGTTTTGAATAGCAACCGTTTAATAAATCATTTATGGAAAAATGGAAATTATAGCCGAGTCACTTTGCTGTGCACGACGAGTGCCGCTAAACAGAGGGCAGCCATCAATTTGCAATAACAAATTGGATACATTTTAGTAGGCGATACACATATTTACTGCTTTCTGCTATATGTATACAAAAAGTATCGAGATGTATGCACATATGCCATCGTGGTAAATCCTGCATATTTGACTACATTAAGAAACAGTTCAGATTTGAAATATTAATTAGGGTAACATACCGAGAAGCCCATTTTGTTTCTGCTTAATCGATAATTTTGTCAATACTTGTTACATGTCATACTTATCATGACGAGAATGTACTGATTTCTATAATGCAAATTAATAGCCGCCCCAGGAACGCATCCCATTTCTTGATCAGGCAGTAAATACATACACTCCACAAAATTAAAATTAGTCAACCATTGATTAAAGATGAGCAAACATCACGGCAGATGAAGAATCTCCACCAGATACAAAAAAATCTTGCCTACATCATCACACGGCACGAACCAAACACAACTCTCAAAACCATTCCTGAAATGCCACGCCTCTTATTTGGCAAGAAATTGTCCTGAAAAGGAAACTGGGGAAAATTATGGATTTGTATGCAGCCACTGATTAATGAATCTGCCATTCGTCGTCGTGTGGTGAGAATCACCACCCTCGTGCAAATCATTATTCTTAATTATGCAGCCAGATATAAGCATGAGATTCAACCCCAACGGTTACATAAGTATTATGGATACTAAAATCAGACCATATTAAATTATTTTTACTATTAATTAATAATTTGTCGGTCCGATACCAGAAAATGAGTGGTGTCACTGTGGCACCATTAAAATACTAACAATAATTACAATGTTTTCGCTCATTGGTCATCAATATTTTAAGAATTGTACAATTTAACAAGTAAAATTGTAATAACTTATGTTTTGCCAAGGAATAAAATCTAATTACATCATTTTCATTAAGCTTCAATGACCATCAACCTTGTTGTTGATCAGTTGAGGAGCAGTGTCACAATCTTAACCTATCGTACTGCATACACGTACCATCAATTATGTCAAGAGGTTCGTGCGTGTTTTTTAAAAATTACATATCATTTTGGGTTCGAATATTAATTGAACGCGTGCACAATAATTCTTGTAAAATGGAATGTTTACCTCACCTGCTGATCTATTGAAACTATTAGTTTATTGCTCGCTTAGAAAGCGTGTTGGAAATTATTAATAGTGAACATTTTTCGGTTGCTGATTGACCAACCAATTTTCATACGAGTAAGAAAATCATCTTTAACTTATAATTTCCTTTTGTATTGATTTAAACAAATTATAACTTTTGATTCTTATTGCACAAGTTGTTGGATCGATTAGAGGCAAATTATGGACAAATTGAAGGGGTGTGTAAACTGAGGAGATGCGTTCTAGCTTGTGAAATAAAGTCATTTATTGGAGTACTAGCAGCTCCCATGTCGTTGCACAACATTTTAACAAAGACCTTCAAATTAAAGTGTTTATTATTATGCAGATTTTTCCCATAATTTATTCCACATTCAAAATCTTCTTGGCAATGGTGCTCAAATTTCATTATGTGACACGACCAATCTGTAGCTTGTTCGATACAAATTAAAATTCCCAAGACGAAAATTGCATTGTCGTGAGTATTTCGTGTCATTATTTTCATCGTCTGCATGTTAAATTGTTGGAAATTTAGGTAAACTTGTCTTTCTATGTATGTACATATGTATTTACATCTGGCAATGAGCATTCGGCAGAAGAAGAGTAAAGATGCATGTTTAATTACCAGTTGACGACTCATGTGACAAGTGACCGAAACAAAAATAAGTTTTCAACAAAATCAAGATAGATTTGAAGGTACATACATAATATATTTGAATCATGTGAAATTAAGCAATATAAATAAACGTTTACAAAATAGAATGTAAATACTCGCAACAAAACCTAAAATTACGTATTACGTATGGTTGACTTAAACATCGTATAAGGATGTAATTATGCTAAGGCTGAAGTCCTCTGATTTTCCATCCAGGTACTTGGGCAAAGTTTTTAGGTACAAGATCTAAGGACATTTAAATAATGAATCATCCCAAATCCTTCATACATCACTCATATTTATGTACATATTACATGTAATTACGAGAGTGACACATTAGATCAAGCAATTAACTGGATTATTAGAATAATATGCATGCAAATGCATTCCATTAAAGTCTGGAGGACCCAACAGGTCATGAGGAACGTCTGAAATTACACTTGCAGCAGAAAATTAGTATACAATTAGAATTGACGAATGTCATTTTATTGAAATGCAAACAAAAATATTTCGTGCAGACCTTAAAATTTAGAATATTGTGCTCATTCAAAGCTTATGATGCACTTTTGTCAGCTTACGTTGTTGTCATACTTATAATAAAAAGAACTATTTGTGTATTGTTGAACTATTACAATTGTTTATTCCCTTTAGTCCTTCCGATTTTTAACGTTTCTCACGCCTTGAATGGTTTGAAAATATTTTTAGCTGGTTTCGCATACAAATTCAATTCACAAATAAAACTTATGCAATGATGGTGACAGCATACACGTTTCTACGTCTAAATTAAGTATATTTACAGAATTAACAATACAGATAAACAAGACTGGATGTGGTCGGATATCAAGTAGAAAAGCAGATATTCAATCTAGAAATCTGATCTTAATATTATCAAATGCAGGTCACATACCAGAACTTAATTAGGCGCATTTTATATGTTTCGACAAACTAACAAGACCAAATCTAGGAACCGTTAATGGTCAAAGTCTTGTGCGTGCATATTGTGCATTGATACAAAAACAAGCAGTACACATGTACATTCTGACCATTGAGACCTACCGAAAATCATAAACAATAGGAATCCTGCAACAGATGACAGAGGAAAAGAACAAGAGACTTGGTATTCTGTTGTGTTGAAAGAAAAAAACATGGAAGCGTCCGAATCAGCAGGATTGCATATTATTGCTCTGTTTTAGGTGTTTGGCAACACTTTTGCAATTCACTCATGTCTCATAAAGGATGAGCCACCAGCAATCAATGATTATAGGACGATGACGAACCACGAATGGTTGAATGGACAACAGTTTGTTTGTTTAGCGTGCGATTGAATTGCAGGTACTTGGTTTTTATGGCCTTAATGAATTTCGTTTGCCCAATTGATCCAACCATATTATCAACCAGCAAAGTATGAATGCTTGTAAATGCGACGTATGTAGACCACCCCACTGGATGCACACGCAACGATCTACGTATGAACGGTACTGATCGAGCTCAGAAGAAATTGACGGCAGGTAGTTGCATCAAAATGACCAACTTATCTACTTATCCACTAAAAGCTGGCAAACCCAATAATAACACAATTTATTTGATGCAATAACTTAAAAAAATCAATTTTCCGGTTTGTTGATGGTTTGTCGTGAATGCAAAGAACTTGGTCTGGTACACATACCTCAGTCCACGTCCATCCATACTACATCCTTATTCCTTACCTTTCTTCTTCTCACTACCTGATTTATCTATTGTCAATTGTTTCAGCTGATGTGGTGTCACTTGGTGGTGCAAAATATGAATGGATTAATTGCTAAGATATGTTTGTGTAACTACCTCGTAACAAGCCATAATTAGCGTAGTCAAGCCTGACCAATGAGTTTTTTGGTGCCGTTTTAATTATACCTTTCATTTTCTTACGACTTTTGACGACATCGACGATACGTTGAATTGTTAAACGGTAAAACCATAACTTGACAAATTTCTTTAAAAAAATTTAGTGAAATTGTACGTATTGTGTTATTTGCATTTCAAAATCAAATAGCGGATAGATGTCAACATAATAACATGGAATAATGAATTCAGGTTATGCATTAGAAAATTTTGAATCTGCCATATTTTTGGAAAATGCATTGATCGAATGTGTATCATAAGGACTCCTAAAACGTCGGAGGGGTAGATATCATCGAGGCGTATGCAAATGCGATGCTAAATTTCGACGCTACGTGTAAGTGAAGGCTTTTGAAGATGACATAACTAACCTTGTTGCTACTTACTGCGACTATGGGACGCTTTGGGATGGGTGAATTTGGACGCTTTGGTAATAATGCGACGACGTCGTCTGATATCTCCTGCACCTCCACCACAACAATGCAATGCACTCCCATTCATCTTCCTCTCACTCGCTTTCATCTCATTGGGGGATATTCCAGTTGACTTTACCAAGTATTTAAAGGCCCTCACCATTAAGCTGGTCACCTAGTGTCTGTACACCAACGAGTGCGACTACCAATTTTGCATATACACTTTTGCAGTTCGAAATATTTCCGAACTTTATTTTTTCATTAATCATAAAATACGGAAGTGAGTCGTTCCGAAAAGAAAATATAAAATTCAATACTCTCGAACTTATCTTTTTGATAGGTTTTTTAAAAATTTGAATCATCATGCGTAGCGCAGTTATCGTAGTTATTGTCCTGTTCGTCGGAGTGGCGTTGGCAGCTCCACAGAAGGAGCCGGAAGAGGAAAATAAGGACAAGGATGAATCACAAGCCGTAAGTATTTCAAAAATTGTTAAGTTTCTTAAAGGGTTCGGAAACATAGAGAGTAAAGCAGACGCACAACCTTAATTTTCGATTGAGTTTTTGATTTATCTAAAAATTACCAGTGCATACATATGAATCATGATAAACAAAACTTGCATAGTAAAGCCAAACGTAGACACGAATTTACTCATTAAAGCTTCATCTTCATCATCATCACCACTGCTACCACCCCCCAATAAGTTTGTTGATTGCTATTGCGTTACAATCAATAATTTACTAATTATTTATTTATCCAACATTCGAGATAAGAATTTTGCGAACTAAAGAACGCACAGCTTTGTCTGAATGACATAAAAAAATGTAGGACCGGCACTTAAAGAGAAACGATAGACATGTCTCCTTCATTCTGAAGACGATTTATTTTGTTTTATGACAAATGAATCTGCCCACCCTTGCACAAGTAGCGTCAAAAGTCACACGTTTTGTTTAGTTAAACTGTGTCATTATTAATTGTCGTTAGGTAGAAGTGAAGGATATTTACTCACAGAAGAATCCGAAGTTGCACAATTTATGCACCTTGAAATTGTACAGACTATTAAGTCCCCTCCACATGCATGCATGAATTTAAGAGCACGAGTTTAATATCAACCCACCTACCTTCGTTTCGTTCGCTATGTGGAAACGATGCATTGACCGAGGTGAATGGGTAGTATTTAGGAGAATGTGATTTATTCGAATCTCTAAAGACTCATACTTATACATGCACAATGGAAAAGTGGTGGAAGCAGAGAATCTTGAGACGGACAGATTAATACTCAATAATAATAAATACAAAACGCATCTTCTGAATGACAAGTGAAGAGGACGTTTTCATTCAAAAGTTTTATTCTTATTGCTGAAGCTGCTTACTTGTCTCGTCTTAATTGCAAACATTTGCTTCGCGTTTGCATACTTGCAGCATTTACGGAGAATCTTTAGCTACGTGGACTTTAGATATTTGCATATTTATTCACTCCTCCAAGCTTACGTATAACTTGCTACATAAGTTTGCATTAAGGCTTTTGATTTTGGCAATATACTGAACAATTCACAATTCTCAGCCTTAAAGTAATCAGGATTGGACTCGATCCATAAAACAAATTTATCAACTGTACATAAAACTTTATTTAAACACCGTCTTGCTAAGTAAGTTAGTTAGTCATAAATTTGCGAATTTAGGACTTCATATAAAGACCAATTATCAACCGTCTTCTCGCCTACGATTCACACAAGCAGTAAAAAGCTGACTGCAGTAAAGAGGCAGAGTAAACCAGAGGGAAAGTGATACGGATGATGGAGTAATTAGTGTCACATTTCCCACTCGTCTTCACATTTGTTCCCTACTTGTTGCAACCAGCTCGTCCCTTTTTACGTCATTAGCTAAGTAAGCACGCACGAATTATTAATTTCGCCAGTTAATGCACCGTAATGACACACCAAAACCACTTCTGTGATATCAATCACACCAAAATGCAGAGATGCAGCAGCAGCGTATTCATGTTCTCTCCTCAGAAAATGTGAGGCTGCAAATGTCCACCGTGACAGAGGACTCTAAAACTGCAGCATTGTTCAACTCCGAATTAGATCACTCTGTGTGTCAGCTAAGTAATGTTAGGCGTGTGATAGATTTGCAGTTCAGTTCAGAGATTCATTCTTTACCTCCGCGTGGTTCGTCGCATTGGAGAAAGTATTCAATATCTCCAAATTTAGTCAATTTCCCATTAAACCCTCGAAAAGAAGTAGATCCAATTTGTCATCAGGCTGATTGCGAAAGACAATTGAATGCATCTCTGTGAAGATTTTTGATAAAATATCCTGTTCAAAATTGTGGGTGGGTAGCACGTAACGTAGTTATGCTGCATAGTAGATATTATTGTCGTCTGAGTGTGGATGTCGTACCGTGCGGGGGGCTCGTACCTAGACCAATGTAGCGTTTAATCTCCCAATCATGATACTGGGATTAACGTCGTAAATATTAAGTCTGAGCCATTGATGTGCGTACCGTTGTTGTAGACAAATTTGGTCATGGGTTGACAACATTTTGATAATTTGAGTTCCGTGAGTGTGTGGTATGTATGATGATTATCGTTATTATTATTATTATGATATAAGAGGATGGGACCATTGTGACAATATTCTCTCTTCTCTACATACGTGATAAATACACCCATTTTTGTACACTCAAGTGGACTAAGATGGTCCAAATTTTATACTCAATTAGTAGCATGGCAAGATTATTGGGATGGGTTTGTTACACAAAATATTGAATTTTTACAGACGTGTGCATTGCAGATCAAGCATGAAACTAGTGAACATTGAAAACTTTGTAATTATTTGAAACAAAAGGTATCAAGTGATTATTGGATTTAGTCAAAAGAATCGCGCACTCACTCCTTGGCAGCTTCCTTTCGACTTGAATATCATGTACCGACGCATATAACAAACAAAACATGCCTCCTTCACAGGGTGTAGTGTATCATATTGTTCTACTAAAGTCGGATCTTAACTCAAACGGCCAGATTACATCAAGTTATGTCGCAACATGCATGATACTGCTCATAGTTTGCCAATATTAACCAGTGAGGGGTCGTGCAGGAAGTTGTAAGGGCTGATTTTTTTTATATACCTACACATGGCATGACATGACATGCATAAGGTTTCATATCGCCCGATGGCATCATCATAAAATGGTAATAATAGACAACACACTTGATCTCTTTTACACCACTTAAATATCATCCACACTAGCGACGTAGTAAAAGAAAAACGTCTGAAAATATCATGTATTACATACCTATTTATGTACATACCTGAGTGAATGCTTCATTGTTCACCCTTTTAAAAACTACAGTCAGGAATTATCTCGAGTAGAGTAAAGTTAGTTGGGTAACCAATTTAGTGTTTTACAAGGAGAATTAGAATGCCAGCCGCCAGGTAGAAGAATATTCATTGCATAAAGTACATACATCGCATATGCATGCAATCCATCTCAAAGATTTCTTCTGTAGCACATGGCACACAATCAACATCAACTGTCAAGCATAATAAATGAACGGATATTATTATCTTGTAAAAAGTTTTTTATTTGCGGATACGGGAGACGCCAAATCCTCTCTCTGAGCATTTTGTCGAGAGTGTCAATTTAGAAAATTTTTCAAGTACCTGATTTTTCTTCTGTTTTTACAGTACAGCTACAACTGGGGGGTGAACGATGCCGAATCTAAGAATTATTACGGGGAGGAAAAGTCATCAAATGACGCGGGTCGTGTCGAGGGCAAGTATTACGTTTGGTTGGCGGATGGTCGCCTGATGACCGTGAGTTACTATGTCGACGGTGACTCCGGCTTCGTCCCCACCATCACCTTCTCCGACCCCAACTTCAACCCACCAGCCGACGCTCCACCAAAGCCCACGTGATTCCAGCAACTTCCTAAACCACCACCGAATTTGTTTAGAAATACACTTTTATATTTCTTCTCTCACTAATTTAGCTACCCATATTTTTAGCATATTGCTTTCTTGTTATTATTTTTGTACGTCTAATAATCATCAACCACTTGTGAAAACTATGTTAAAACAAACACAGTACTACATTCTTTCATTTCATTGCGCAATGTTAACAGATTTGGCGAGTTGTGTATGTATGAGGACGCACATGGAGTGAAATAATTACCATCCACTCATCATCACCAAAGTATGCGCTTGGTTGGATTAATTATTTGTAAGGAAAACTAATTATGGATGAGTGCATATACACGATGGATTGGCAGGGGGTGGGAGGATCATGTCGTCGATTATATTTGTAGTCGTACATATGTGTAGCACTACTACCAAATCAGTATAATTTAGTGTTGGGATTGCACAATGAAATCAAATCAAAGTAGCAAAATAAAAATCAATCAATCAATTAAAAACTTCATTAATCACTTTTGATCTTCTTCTTCATTACCGGTGCTAGAAATTGCTAATATGTGTCGTATTGTCCCACTCTGTTCTTCTAATACCAACATGCGTATTATTTGTATTGACTACAATGCGTTATGGTTGGACTCGCTCTGCTTTTTTACCGATGGCGATATTCATTTTCATAGAATAATAGATGCCGATTCATTTTCTTGTTTTGCTGCTAGATTTAAATTTAACCTATTCTTTGGACGCCTTGAGTTTATGTAGGATGGAAATGTATACCTTGTATAATTACGCAATCAATGGCAAAATCTGCTTAATTGATCCTGACCAATATGATATATTATTTTATACACAATGTTATTCATAAGTCTCAATTATATTGTGAAACCTTTTTTGTTTGTACTCCTTGAAACAAATGATTATCACTTATTACCAAATCTGTACGAAAGGAAATATTTTTTTGAGATTGAAATAAACGGTTTAGTTTTGTAAAAACTTTGGTGTTGAGTGACATTTTTTTGAAGCATTGATCAATTGGGGACACTGCACCAAATTCATAAATGTGTGCAATTCATATCAGATCATCTGCATTTGGAACGACAAAAAATTACTTTGCCATGTAATTACTGACCTTGAGATTTAAAAAGTAAGGATTCAAAAATACGACAAAAATGGAATGACTGTCGTCTTAGAAGTGATACATTTTTGGAAATCTTGATAATGATGTCGTTTGGCGTGCGAACATATGTGCAAATGCAAGTGAAGTATAAAATTAGTTTCGCAACCTAAATTATCCCATAAATATTTAATCACAAGATTTCAATTTTACAATTTGAATTAATTGAAATCTGTTTAAAAACTAGTGATTTCGTACGTTTGTACCTCATTGCGTTTAGTACCTTAGACACCCTTTACGAAATGTGCATTAGGTTTTATAGATTGTCGATAGACATGCAATGCCATTTTCATCGTCAAAAAGTCGACAAAAATGTCATCGTGCTCATTCAATTAAGAGCAACGATTTGTTATTAACTACAATGCATCATTTTCCCCAACCTCTGATATCGCATACTGCATACATCCATTTCCCATCCAAGATTATGCATCTCCTCCACAACGAATTGCATTGCATTGCATTGTGATGCGTACAAAAACACAAAGTGCTACAGAATAGTTGCAACTTTTATCTAAAAAGAGACAGATAAGCATCACAGAACAGAAAGAGAAGATCCCAAACAATACAAAATCTGTGGAAAATTATCAAATTGTGCAAAATATTAACCCTGAATCACGACTTGGTGAACAATGTGAGCTGAACACACAATCCCCCTGCACTACTTGCATACGTACATATTACAACTGGTCAACTTGCATAAATTGCATTTCGCAACACATCACAAGCAGGGTTTTTGTATGAATTGAAAAATTCAAGTATTCCCATTGAGGTGAAGATGGGAAGGGAAACGGTAAAGCAAATGGAAAACAATTAGCGTGAAGGTCGAATAAAGTTGAAAGATCAGTGTGCCGGTCAGAAATTACAAGCTCTTTAAATGAACAAATACTAATCAAGAGTGAGGAAGGCCAGCAGACAGCGCGGTAGGTTTTCATGAAGCACATTACATTAAATGCCCATTGAGGAGGGGTTGTTAGCTACCTAAGTAATCGCTCTCTGCGGTTATCATCATCATATCACTGCTTCTTCTTCTTCCCATTGTTTTTGCTCCACCACCTCAACCACCACCTCAACCGCTGCTCTTATGACAAGTGACGCAATTTGTGATTCAGAAAATGTCTCGGACAATTAATTAAAATCTCACTCAACAATGGACCTTTGCTCCTCACGTTGGTAAATAACTGAGCGAACAATGTGCAGCAATGTAAATAAAATAAATAATTGCTGGACCACACTGCTTACTTTTTTTGTGAAGAATTTGTCATTATTATTGAAGACATGTATTGATTTTTCATCACTCCAAAAAGTATTGAGTAGCGCTACTAATTATGAGCGATTAATTTACTATTTGCGCAATAAATATCGTATTTACTATTTGCTTTAACTTGCTTGTAAACTGCACGACTAATTTGTTTTCGTTTCCTTGTTGCTGAATGAATTTTGATTGCATCGACACAATTAAAACTGGGTACGCGTAATTCAAGATTACGCGAGCGGCGTAGCCGCGAAGCGTAATCGCAATTGTATGAGCCTTCCGGAATCGGAAGGCGTCATATAGAATACGGGTAGTAGTACGGATATACAGCCAGGAAGGTGGCTATACGTGTAAAGATAAAGAAAAGAGGCTCTCTCTCTCCAGCAGCACGTCGTCTCCTTCATTACGTTTAAAGTAGAATCCGTTGAGAAATGTATTGGGGTTGGGTGGGGGGGACTGACGCCTTCCGATTCCGGAAGGCTCATGCATTTCGCCTACCTCCATCTATCGGCGTCATATAGAATACGGGTAGCTGTTTAAAGAATTTCGAAAACGGATAACAGTACTGGGTTATGTTAAATAAAAACAATTTATTTTAATACTGCCGTAGCGAAATCAGTAACATCATCACAAGTTCTATTGTAAAATTTACCGAATATTTTAGACTTTTTAGACCACCCAGCGTTATTATATATAGAATTTATATTAACACCTTTTGAAAATGCTTTACTAGTGGAGGAGTGTCTATATGAATGAGATTTATAAATTGATGTATCAACTCCTGAAATATCTAGAAGCTCTATCAGCCAATTTGATATGGTTTGTGAGCATACTTTTTTGTGTGGTTTAACAGTTGAAATAAATAACTGATTGTCCTTTCTAATTTGCTTAGTGGCATCTAAATATGCTTCAAGAGTTGATTTTACACATAATTTCTTGTTACGTTTGTATGAGGGGAGAACAATACATGGTTGGTTCACCCCTTGATCAGAAGATTTTAATCTTGCTGGTACAAAAATTCTAATTATATCTTTAGAGTATTTAATATTTTCTACAGAAATAGCGGCTAAAGTTTGGACTCGTTGTCCTGATACTAAAGCCAACAAGCCACTTAATTTCAGGGATAACATTTTTAAGCTTAACTTTTCATTATTTTCTAAAGAATTAATCTTATTAAGAACATCATCAGCATTCCATGTATGCGAATATTTAGCAGCCGGTGGCTTTAGTTTACGAATCCCCTTAATTAATCTGGTTACAATAGGATGTTCACCGATATTATAGTTATCAATTTTTGGTAACAATAAACTTAAACTACTTCTCGCACAATTTACTGAAGAGTAACTAAGCCCGGAATCGTGTAAGTGGGCTAGGTAACTTAATATAATATCAATTCTCGGAGTATTACAATTATAACGTTTTTCCTTACAATATTTTATAAACTTTTTATACTGTGTATCATAATTTGCCCATGTGGTTTTCGAACAAGAAGCTGCTAATAATTTTACTACATTTGGTTCAAATTGTGAAAATTTTTCTTCCAAACTTTGGCTGCCAGTAGTGTTGTTTTGAGTGACAATTCGTGGGGCCTATTAATATGCAAATAAACCATTAAATCATTGCTTGGTGGCAGTTCAATATAATTATTTTTGCATAATTTCAAAAATAGCGAAAACCAAGGCTGAGCCTCCCACTTAGGAACCACCACAATCCCAGTTGCATCATCAGAAACAATTTTCTTAAATACTCTACCCACTAAACTAAACGGTGGAAAAGCGAAAAAGAAATATGTCCATTTTTGAGAAAAAGCATCCACGCCTTGACATCCTTCACAAGGATACCACGAATAGAACTTATCGCATTTTGTTGATAGATTAGTAGCAAAATAATCAAATTGTGGAACACCAAATTCTTTGCAGATTAAATTATACGATTTTTGTGAGAGAGAAAAGTCAGAATTGTCTACAGCCATACGTGAAAGTTCATCGGCTAAAAAGTTATCAATCGTTGAAATATAAGAGGCAAATAATATTATATCTCGACTTTCACACCACTGCCAGATTTCACGGGCTATCTCATGACATTGACGGGAACGAACACCTCCATATTTATTAATATAAGACAATGCGGTTGTACTGTCAGTTCTTATTAGTAATTTAATTGAGGACCTGTTTACGAAGGCTTTTAATGCATTTTGTATAGCTTTCAGCTCAAGAACATTAATATGTAAATTTAATTCGGCACCTGCCCAGAAACCTCTAGTTTTATCTAATTCCGAATGTGCTCCCCATCCGGAAAGTGATGCATCAGTGTACAAAACTTGGTCATAAATATCGTCCCTAATTTTTACTGGTGTTAAATGTTGTTTGTTTGTCCACCATAATAAATCATTTATCGCCCGAACTGACAAGGTTACTTTCGCGTCATAGTTTCCATTACTAATTTTTAAAGCTGCGTTTTTATCAATTTCTAACTCACGTATGTATAATTGAGCATAAGCCACGGCTGGAGTGCATGAATTTAAATATCCTACCAGTTCTGCCAATTTCTTAATTGTGTTTTGTGGTTGTTTAATCCAATGCTTTACAGATTTTATAATTTTATCTTTTTTGTTGCATGGAAGCTCCAGCGTCTTGTGAGTAGAGTTAAAAAGTAGCCCCAAGTATTTTACTTCCTGTGAGGGTAAGAGTTGAGACTTTTCTAAATTAACTTGAAAACCTAAATTTTGTAACCAGTCCAAAACTATTCTTGTGTATTTTTCACACTCTTGTTTATTGCTACCCATAATGAGTAAATCGTCTAAGTATGCTACCAGCATGATTCCTCTACTTCTCAAATAGGATAATAAAGGTTTCAAAATCTTTGTAAATATTCTGGGCGCTGTTGACAATCCAAAGCAAAGACAGTTATATTGATAACGTTCACCATTCCATTCAAAACAAAGATATTTTCTGTCATTTTTTGAAATGGGTACTGAATGATAAGCGTCGCGTAAATCAATCACAGTCATATAACAATTAGTTTGCATCATATAACAAACTGTCCTATAGTCCTCCATCTTAAAATGAGTGACAGGTAAATAGGAGTTTAAACTTTTTAAATTAATTATTAATCTATATGATCCATCTGGCTTAGCTACGGGAAAAATTGGAGACAGAAACTGTTCCTCATTTGGACTTACTTTTTCTACTGCATTAATTTTTAGCAGTTTAGTAATACACATGTTTATAGAGTTTTGTTCTGTTTTTGTAAATTGTTTCTGATGAGGGACTTGTGACTGTCGTGGTTTATACAAAAAAGGTATCTTATAACCTTTAACAATTGACAATACATGACTACTATTGGTTATTAGCTTCCACTTTTCAATATATTTAGATATAGCACCTGCATTTAATACCTTATCTACTTCTGCTGGTATTGCTGGTAATTGTTGTTGTTGGACGGGAATCGGGGATTGTACGGCCGGCCTCGCATTGCTCTTCGAACACCCCGGCGAAACTGGCCTCGGAAGTTTAAAGACTGGCCGTAATCTTGGTTTGAGCTGAATCTCGTTGGAGGATAAGGTGCATACCGCATTCCAGTTCCACGTTGGAGTAAATTTGTAACCGTTTTTGAATTCTTAATAGCCTCCGGTAAATTATCTCCGAAAAGGTATTCACCCGGAGTTGTTGAGCAAATTGCAGCGTAATTTGGCGAAAGTAGTGGCTTTATTGTTTGCATGCGTTTTTGATTGGATTCTCTGAATTCCATTGCTGACGCTGTCGCTCCGTCCAGACATAGCTTCAATATTGTTTCACTTATAGCCTTTGGGATTGCATTTGCTGATTTTACAATTTCATCAGATATTTTTGTAAAGGCAGTTAAACTTTTTGACCCGAATTGTTGAACATATTGCATCTTGGCATCGCTTGTTTTTATACGATTTGGGAGCTGCGACCATAATTCTGGGTTAACCTTTGGCACATTCAAGAATTTGCAATTCCCTGGTGTCAATTTGCTCTTTAGTTTGTCCACTGATTCTTTTGTAGTTTTTTGGGACAATATTCCGGACATTCGATTTACAACGGCAGCATTAACCTCTGGCCCGAAAGATTCATCTTTGTCTTGAGCATTCAAAATATCCAAAATTTCAGGATTTATGTTATCGGGGTCTGCGCTTTCTAATATTTAGAACAAATTTTTTAGAACTCGTTTAGTAAAACTTTATAAAAAGGTTAAATTGTGGTTTGTACCATTATTCTGAAGTAGATCACTAAGATCAGAGTCATCTCCAAGATCATTAACGCCTTGATTTTTTAAATCTGTATCTGAGTTCGTACTGGGGGGTGTGACAGGTTTATTTTTCTCCGTCTCAAAGTCTTTTTGAGATTGAAAGGAAGCTTTCAGCTCGTCCAGTTCTTTTTGCAATTTTGCGAATTGAGATTTAGACCTTTTAGTCTTTTTCTTGGTCTGGTCATTCTCGTCAGATTGAGATGCCATAATTAGCTATGAATAATTCAAAAGTACTTTAATTTACTTTGTATAAAGTATTATCTTTGCTGAACAATGCAGCGTTAATAATCGGCTGAACTATGCAGCTATATATTTGCTGAACAATGCAGCTTTAATTTGCTAGTTAACTAGCATTAATTGGCTGGACAATGCAGCTATAAATGGCTGATCTATGCAGCTTTAATAATTGTTAACCTCCTTTGTACCAAAGGGGTTGTGGGTTCTAGAAATTTTTTGAAATGAATAAACTATTTGTACCAAATAGTTAGCCCACATTTATAATTTGGATAAATTATCTAACTGTTCTAAAATCTCGAAAAAACTACTTCATATTGCCCACGGATTATACTTACCAGTTTTTAAGATGTACAGAGTCTGAAGTTCAGTCAAGTATCTTCAAAAAATTTTAGTTAATTAAAAAAGTTGGGGAGAGAGCTCGTCACCTTCCTGCTATATTTTCCGTAATGAAGGAGACGACGTGCTGCTGGAGAGAGAGAGCCTCTTTTCTTTATCTTTACACGTATAGCCACCTTCCTGGCTGTATAACCGTACTACTACCCGTATTCTATATGACGCCGATAGATGGAGGTAGGCGAAATGCAATTCGCTACCCTGCCCTTTGATTATTTTTTGTAAACTTTGCCATCACTTTTCGTCATGTGTGAACGGAGGTATGAATGAAAAATGAATGAATGCGATTAACCATACGTACCTGAGCTTCTTCAGCCTGCGATTATAATTTTGATGCAACGACGACCTACAAGGATTTTTATATATTGTGCATTCAATGAAGATGTGCAATTCGACACACTATTATTTTGTCGGTCGACTCAATGTCCAAATAATGTTTTAGATGTACAGATGATTTTACGGTGTCCATAAAAGAGCATCTCTGTCTCACTAATTGAGACAGAGATGTCCTTAATTATATTAGTTTTTTCTCCATAAAAAATAAAATCGTCGTTATCACTAATTTGAATCTATTGTTAGTATTGGTCTAACGAACCAAATAAGTTTTCTACTACATACATATGCAAACTATGATATTTTCAGGTAGAGTGGCCTCCAGGACGCAGTCAAATATGAGCACTCACGTATAATTAAAGTTTCACATGGATTACAAAAATTTATTTAAGGCAACGTGACATTATTCCATTTCGCTTCCTTCTAAACACATAAGTCTAGCCGACAGTCATTGATGTAATTGCCATATAAGTACGTCTATCCAGTAATTGTGTCCTATATTCAATTTTGGAGATGGGCATAATTGTAAATACATCTGAAATCGTGATTGCACTAGCAAAAAATGAGGGTCATTTTCAGTTTAGCCCATGCAATTTCTAATTCAAATTGGACTTTGTGGACAACAACGGTGTCCTTTGATGCATACAAAAAATGCATACAGTGCACCTTTGTTAATGTTCTAATCCTAAGAAGACGAAGGAATAGGACGACACGCGCCCTTGAAGAGGATTCCACATCTTGCATTATTGTAATTGTATGTAATTGAGTCTGTGGTTTTATGACATTTCACAAATTCAAACCCATCGGCTCTGTCAATTACAACGATCTGAATGAGCACGATAATTCATTCATTATCGAGGTACAAATAATGTCAATTATAACAATCTCTCTGAAACCTGTTGACTCCTGACAATGCTAATGTTGTACTTCTGCAGGCTAACATTGTCATTCAAACATTTTCAATTTAAACCTATAATGCTAACTCATCCGACGGGGTGCAATCGTTACCACAATCATTCAAAAGTTAGCCATGGGTTGCAAATTTGCTTGTAAACCGAGATGCAATTAGTGGCAGTATATTTATTTAGATGCACAAGAGACGACTCATAAGGAGTTCCCTGTGTCACATTTGCAACCACTTTTTCGACAACAACGCAAGTATTATGTTATGGAGTCAAGGCTTAAGTGTTAGATGATGACCAAGATATTTGTAAACAGTGAGAGATGGTCAATTGTTGAAAAATATGAAATATGCAAGTGAAGGGCTTCTAATTATTAGCAGTGGCATGCTGTGAAATAAGTGAATAGGACGATGAGATGAACAATGTTTTTATTTCAGGCCCGTCTACAGTCTACGTACACGTATGAGTAATATCACGAATAAACAAATGAGACAGGTTTGAATAGCTCTTTATGATGAAAATGATGATTATTTCGGGGAAAAATGAATGAGACGATTTTTACCTAAAATAACGGCAATAAGCAGGAACAATGGGAAGGAGTAGAGTTCTGAATGGTGATAAATTATCTACTACTTTAAATTATGCTCAAATTATGCTCATGACAGAGAACAAATAATTTACATCATGTTTATGTAAACGTGTGCATAGTCCAATTTTACATTTATGAATGTTACATACGTGGACTTACTTTAGAGACAAGTGAAAGTTTGAACAGTACTAATAATAATACTGGTTAAATTTATGATTAGTCCTCAAAAAACCGTTTAATCTACATATCATCGTAAAAAATGATGTTTTACGAAAAAGAGGAACAGCTAGCGTACCTTTTTTTGAAGTGTACATGCATCATTTAGAGAAATATCGTGGTACTGTCTTAAAAAATCCTAATAAGCAATAATTTGCATGACAGGAACTGTACGAAGCCCAAAATTAATAAAACTCCACAGTTTCCTGTTATCCAACTGAATACCAATATCACTTTCTTTCAGTCTGCAGGTATGTAAGTATAGTTTAAATTCAAGCTTTCCTTTATGGAAACCTTGCATTTGGCTGAATCTAAACACCAGGACACCACTTGATTATTCGTATTATTTGCATATGTACCTATTTGCTGAGGATGACTTGTAACCAAGAATGTCCACCAAATTGGGGTATCAAAACAGTATCTACAACTTAACAAGTGGTGGTGAAAAGAGAGGTATAATTTACTTATGCGTAAGTGAAATTATATAATGGAATGTGGAGCATATTATTTAAGGTAGTAAAGAAATTAGCTGACATCAGATCCAACCATCATCAATCCGACGGACAGACAGTAACCAATTACTGACACAATTTATTCCATTTCAACTCCTATTTGAATTGCGTAACGCGGATCAAACCTTTATTTTAGCAGTGTTGTGACATTACTAATTCAAATCGCGAGTCACCACATGGACGATGACGAGTGTGTGACCATACCACGTTACGACCCATTCTTCGTATGCGTTTCGATTTAATGATCATCTTCACCAATAAATTCCAATTCAAAAACTTTTGCTCTCATGCTGTGTCACTGTTGCAATGTTTGCTATCTTGTCCGATGATGACAACAGCAATTCATTTATTATTATATGAGTCTGCTGCTGCTTCCACTCCTTCCCATCCTCGGCATGATTAGGTCTCATCATAACTACTGATTTCCATAATGAAAAATTGATACCGTCCGTCACACTGGTAGAGTACGCACCAAATGGTAAACAGCGTCGTGATGACGAAGGTGACAAGAAATCAGGGCTTGGCTACACTAATTGGAAATTCAAGATAATGTAGCAGCAGCAACGGTGACTTATTGCGCGGACAATGTTAAAGTGTCGCTTCGGTTCAACACACAATTAAATGATGTGATGATCATTGAATTAGAATACAATGGACACCCCCACCGTCCTTGTGGAGAAATTGTGCAAATAACAAGCAAATTAAAGGAACTGTCAAGAGAAATATGCGGAAATATGTAACATAAACCAAGAGCTAATTGGTGAACAAGACAATAAATAAATTTAATAAGTTTCACATTTTTTTTATTTCTCAATTTCTGATTATGGTTTAGTGATGAAAAATATACTAGAAATCAATGAATATAAATGCATGAGGTTTTTTTGGTAGGGGTTTTTGTTTTGTTTTTATTTTTTTAGGATACATTTTAGACAAGACAAGACAAGATTCATAGACAGAATTTATAGATAGAATTTACAGACAAGATTTTTGTATAAATACGATTTTTTTAGTAGTAAATTTTATAACAAGGCAGTAAAAATGTACACATTTGCAGTCAATTCATTTCAAGTGTCAGGCAGGGTTTCTTTTCGCATTCCTCCTCCTGATCGCTATTCTCGTCATGCTGAATTGGAACTTGTGGGCGTTTTCGTCGAGCTTCTTGACGACGTTGGTTAGGGCGATTAATGAACACTTTTTTGATGGTAACTTCCTCTCCTGGATCAAACTCGATCTGGCCTTTTAGTGCTTCACCGTCCAATTTTTCAAAGTTGTATGGATACATGTTGGAATTACTATTCATCCAGCGACAAATTACTGAAAAGAATATTGCGTGAAAATTTGTTAAAGACACGAAATACTTACAAAAGAGTACTAAAGTCAAACAACTAACGTATTATTCCATTGCATCGAATGGGGTCCAATGGTGCAGTTGCACATTTTCCGGGTTTTTCTGTTGTTCCCTTGAAAGAGGAAACTAGTTGTTCGTCTATAGGGAAAAGACAATCGAACAGGATTGTAGCAGCAGTGCTAACAGATCCTGTGAGAATTTGGATAAAAGCTCGAGCCCAAACATCTCTAGGTATGAACATTTCGTCCGCCCATTCCTACATAAAGTCATTGTTACATGAAATTGAAATTATAGTATTTAAAAATGTACTTGAAAGTACTTACGATAGGATCAAAATATTCCTTTGTTGGAACAAACTCATCATAAGAGGGCTGAAGACTGCCGCGTTTCCTAAAAAGAAATACACCGCATTAAATTAATAATTGTTGATACATTGCGTTTATTGATACGTTTATTGATACGTTACGTTTATTTTAAATACAATGGAAAACTGTAATAAACTTACTTTTTCCTTCGTTGTCCAGTGTTTTTAATGTTACGTTGATTCCTGTGTGAAGTAAATAGTTTGGAAATTAATCCCTCAATGTAGATTGGGTCCAGGAGTTCTGTCAAAGGTTTCGTTGAATCATATGCATCGTTAGACTTGCAATTAATCCATGACAGCGCACCTATAATTCCAACATTTTGAATTGACACCATTCATGGACTATCTTAGAAACTTAAACAAGCTTTAAAACTTACGAATAATGCTAAGTTGCCTCCTGGGGCAGAGTTTGTCTTCACAATTTCGTCCACTGATCGACCCTTTCATGCACTCATCGGAGGAGTAGAGTATGTCAAATAGCTTCTTTCCAGAGTTGTACAAGGATTTCTGCTGGCAAACTTCTTCCCATGATGAAAATGGGATCATGCACTCGTCAAGAGTTTGAGACTGCGTATACAATATTCAAAATTAATTTTAACTTAAAGTTGGATTTAAATTTACAGCGTTAAGACTATAAATTTAAAAAAAACTATTATCAAAATAGCGTACCGCATAACATCCTTGCACTTGTAATTCTGTAACTTGATCAACAGTTTCAGGTAATGAAACAGGCAGCTCATCATTTCCCTCGGCAGTATTATCTAATGCAACATCAACATTAAAAATAACTAGGAGAACGGTGTTGTCATCTATGTGGTCTTGTGCGGGTGTAGATGCTAAATTTTGTTCTTGGTCTTGAAGATTTTCAACTTGTTGAGAGGACGGGCCTCCAAGTCCACCGAGTGTCACGTATGTACTGTTGGTTGGAATGTCTTCAATTGTTGAACCAATTAACAAATGTTCGTTAATTTCTACTGTAGGGAGCGATGGAGCACTTATATCGTCCACGTCCCTGTTGTTATTCACAAAAGCAAAAATTAGTAAGTACACAACTATTCCAATATTCAAGAATTAAATAAAAATAGTTATTTACGCGTTAGAGTCAGCTTCTTGGTCTCCTGGATTCTCGTCCTCCAAACCTTGAAGATCATGTTCCGATGAAGGACTGTGCGCCCAGGATGACGAAGGCGATGGTGTTGAAACGGACGACGAAGTAATGTCCCTTTCATGTCGAATGAGTCCTTTGCCATAATTTCTTCTAAATTCTGCTGCTTCTTCTTCCCATGCCGATATCACCGCAGCAAGATCATATCCGTTTAAGTCTGACATTGCGAATTGTCAGACTCGAATGGAATCCTGATTTTTAAAAGGCTAACTACTAACTACCACACCCTAATCGCTAAATTGCAGAGAAAGGGATGCCTAAAAGTCATCTTGATGTTGACGGTTTTCTTACGGTGTACTCAGCTAGAAAGATGCATTATAATGTATTCAAATCAGAATATTTCTCTCGCATGCATATCATCAAATGTCTTACACCTTCTTAAACGTTAAAAAAGTAAATTAGTCAGTTTAAATAATCCATCACTGATGGACAATAATAAATAATAATAATTAGTACATAAAGTTTGAATAATTGAAATCAAAGTTAATAATAAAATCAAATAATACAAACCAAATTTGCTTGACCTTCACTCAAAAAAAGTTCTGTTTTAAACAATTTCGTCTTATAATATAATTAACTTATTTACTTATTAGTTACAAATACTTACCTGTCTCTCCTCCTTTCCTGAGTGAAAGTGAAAGTGAAAATGAAAGTGAAAGGAGAAGAGACCTGACGAACTTCTCTTCTTCGACTTCTCTCCAAGAAATGCAAGATAGTAAATATGTATTTATTACTATTTATGTTGTGTTAAAAGTTTATTCCGTTTCCGGAGCTTAAAAAACTAACTCGCAACGTACGGAGTTTACATGGTGTATAAAAGTTTAAATACTCAATTAATTAATTAATTAATTATAGTCAGTCAATCACAATTTACTTTCACAAATATTTTTTCAGCTGCTGCATCTTCATCTAGTCAGAGCAGCAGTAAGTAAAGAGGCAAGGTAGGTAAGTTTCACACGCAAAAAATGGAGGGTATTGGGATGCCAGTTATGTATTAAGGGTACATGAGTAAGTATTGCAGGGGTGACTTCCTTATTACACGGTCCCTTATCCCATAATACTATAAGTTTAGCATTGCGGTATTTGGAAACAAAAATGCACATGGGATTACATAATGGGTTATCTCGAGTTTTTTAGGAGGGGTAGTTGAGAATATCCATGAATGTACAAAGTATCTCGCCCATGCAAATATCGCCCAATCCTATGCATTTGTATTTTGTATGCGTGGTTAAAACCCACAGATTAAGAATTACTTTTATAATTAAAACCGCACAACTTTTGCACTAAATTGTATACAAATGAAGATGGCATGTACATACAACAGCTAAGTTTCTTTCTGTAAAACAATAATTCACTTTATTTTAAGACACGGGAAATAAGTTACACATTTAAAGGTAAAGACAAATATCCAGATATGTTGAAGGCAAATGGTAAATATTTATTACAAATGGGTTGTCAATTTGTCCTCATGTTTAGAATAATGACATGGTTAACATATATTAATATGTTTATCGATGATGATTATGAACCGACACTTTCTCTTGAGTTACAAATTACATACAGAATAAGAAGATATTTTTAACCTGATGGAAAAAGAATTACTCAAATACTGAAATATTTACTAATTAACAAAATGATGATATAGTAAATGTAGTATAGAATTTGATTGATAAAATTTCTTACACCTGAAAAATCAGTACTTACTTATCAATAAAAAGAGTTTTAGAATAAATTGACTAATCTATACGAGAGAGAACATGGACGAACTAGGCCAGCAAACCCATCCATGCAGTATTTTTAAGGTCTATATTTGACGTTAGGTAATATATATACTATGTAATAAATAGATAGTAAAGTAAATTTCTGAAATATGTAGATAACTATTAAACACTGACACTTATGTATGACTTACAACGTTCAGGAAGCAAATTATCACATGAAAAACTGGTATAATATTAAACTCTTGTTAATCCATTTGTCAGCTTTTACAATGGAAAAACTATTTTAATAAACGGTTGCTGAGATCATTGATTAAAAAGTCATCCAGGCAGGCACATTTTGTAAATTGTGCTTTTTGACCCTTTACATCTTATGCTAAGTTACTTGTGTAACTAACTTGCTCAATGTGTCAAAATTCGTTGCACTAACTTTTTGTGTCTCCTCCCACTCACATGTTTCCGGTCGTTGGCGAATTAATTTTTTACATAATTCTCACTTTTACATCCCCTCTGGCTTCGGTATTGTTGTGTCATAGCTTCGAATGAGTTGAGACTGTGTCACGACGCCATGTTCCTCTTGTGAGAAGGCATAACCATCTGTGTGTCATAATAATTCGTTAAACTTTCGTATTAAGATTCACTCCGGAAAATAAAACCAGTTTGAATTATAAGAGATTATAAATAAGTTATAAAATCAAGTGTAAAATGTTAATAAATTGTCGAAAAAGAAAATTGAATGGGGTTTGTCATGTCAAGGAAGGTGAAAGATGACTACAGTTTAGATTGTTTGTCATTTGTTTCATTTTGGGCACGGGTACATCACTGAAGAACAATTATGATAAGAGGACAAAGTGGTTTACAACTAATTTGCGTGGTGCGAGTTATAACTTACGCGACAATTCCAGTTCGTGTCCATTGTTTGAGGTTGCTCGCCTAAATACATTTCTCACATTGCGCAATAAACGGGCAGTTTCGCTAAGTCTAAAGTGGATTCAACAAAATAACAAGTGAATATGGAGAGGCCGTTTCGTCACAGACAGAGTATTTGTTACTTAGGATTTGCGACACGAAAATGCGCTTTCTGCCTTGAAAGCTATCCTATTATAAGATAAGCCAGAACCCAAAACTACGATACACAAATAGTTGCACACCGAGAATGTTTTATCTCGTGTGCCCCCAGATGGGTAATTAAATAGATAGATGACCTAATGCACAGCAGCCCACCCACATATAAAAGCGCCCAATTATGTGTTACAAGGATCACATTTATAAATTACGAACCCTGTAAAATTTAGTTGGTGCGATATTTACTTGTAATTTACAAGTTGTAAATAGTAATAAAATATATATTTATGTAACATCGCGTCGAAATCTTTAGATGGAAACTGCATACAATGTGTAATATTTATGTACTAAATACATACATTTTATGCGAACTATGCTACACGGTCAGATTTTATTCCGACAAAAAAGTCAAGGACACAAACTTCCTAGAAAAATTCTGAAGAATAATAATTCTGAATGAATATTTACACACATATTAATACCAACAGTAAAAGCTGAAGCTTTCATTTACGTTTGACACTATTACGCCTTAATCCACATACAGATAGACATGCCAAGAAACGATATCATCATGAGCCATTCCGTCATACTCTACTACAAATATCTCAAAACCACCATACGAATTTCCAAACGAAAACACTCAACATGACCGTACGTGCAATTTTAAACAGAGATTATATCTATTCAAATTCACAACCTTGCATAAATGGAGACAGGGGAGAGCAATATATGGAATAATATGACAAAGTAGTTGTGATGTAAGTATGTCATTGTCAAGTTTATTTATGTATGTTTTTGTAGAGGGGAGAAAAGTCAAAGGAAAAAAATAAACGCAACCAAAGACCAAAACCAAAAAGAGTTGACACTGAAAAACAAAGTATTTTTGACAAAAATGACACGATGGAAATTTTCCAAGACTTACAGCGGACAAGTTGACCAAGAACATGCATGGGTCTGGAAAGTAATAATGATAATAATAATAATGACAATAATAATTGTGTACAGCTACTCATTCTTACGAAATCATCACATCACAAAAAGTTTGTTGGAAATTACAAGTCAAAATTTGTGCATATACATACACACAGAGGACGATTTACATATATACATTACACACACTGTTCGAGAGTACATTGTCACACTTCACACAGAGACACGAAAGCATGAAGAGGAGAAAGTGGGAGAAAGTAACGAAGAGATAAAATTTATATACACAGAAAGTGACACTCATTCTTCACAGGGAAATAAGGAGGTCGATCTCCAAATTAGGAATTCCGAGTTCATATTAGAATTTGATAAGCTAGTTAATGAACTACAAGCAGTAAAAAGAAAAAAAAGTGAGTAACGCACAAGATCAATCTGCGGTGTAACAATTGCTTTATTTTTAAGAAAATAACAACTACATACCGGAAAATATTTTGAAAATAAAAGTTATAAACAAGTACCTGATTAGTGTGCATTATTATTATTTGGCTTAATCTGAACCAATCAAGAGTAAAACAGATTCACAAAATTAAATGTACATTTGGAAGTACATAGGGCAGCAGGCATTGATATTGTAAAATATTTACTTATAAAATACACAATCATCTTCAAAAACTACAAAAAATCATCTATAAATAAATAAGCAATAATTAAGGCTCGTGTCGTGGTGTAAATATTGCGCTGCAGCAGCCCAAAACCAAATCCATGAAAAATGTGAAATATTTAAAAACTATTTTAAGGTTAGTACTGCTGCTGGTTTGTTGTGTGAGAGAGCAAGGAACGAATTGTAGTAAAATGCAATGAATATTTGTTGTTGTCAGTACGATTTACCTTAACAAGCATGACGCTACGGACACTTGCTCATCAAACTTATTGTTATTCAACCTAAATGAATTCATTACAATGAACAATGTTACATAACATTAGCAAATAAATCTCAACTTTAGAATCATTCGCATCAAAGCTGTATTAAGTAAATTAATAAATCTCAATGGTTGGTTATGTAAAGTGTGTGGTGTGTACGTATGTAAGTATGTAAATATATGTACACGAGATACATATGTATGCAAACTTGGGTGCTAGTTAATTATTATATTTTCGCCAAATACACGCAAAAGTAATACGAAAACAAAACTGGCATTTTCATGCACGAGGAGAAACAAACCCTAAAATTAACGCGTCTGGATTCAACAAACAGCAAACTTACTAAATCTAAATCTATCCTATTAAATCAAACGTGTAAATATAAATAAATTACTAAATATCAAAGGCACTTTAATTACTGAGCAACTTGATAGCGTAACTCGGGACATGAGCAATTTATTGACTTTGTACTACAATGCGTTGAGACATGCGTTGTCATAAATGACTGACTGACTGTACAGTATTTAGAGGAAATAATAACGGATTGGACATGAATGGTCAGGAAGGTATTCAAGGAGACATAAAGGCATTAATAATTTTGAGTTGCTGACTAGTTTTCGGTATTGTCGGGGTTGGGGTAAGGAGTGGGGCGGCGGTGACCTTGGTCATCATAGTCGGGTGCCGTTGCACGGTTCAATACAGGATAAGGAGTGGGGCGGCGTTGACCTTCGTTGTCATAGTCGGGTGACCTTGCTTCCCAATTCAATAAGGGTGGCTGACTCATAGAAGAAGCAGATGCAACTTCAGAATCGTTGAATCCTTGGCCCCCTTGGGTGGTAACGAAGAAGAGGTGGGAAGAACTGGACACGGGACTAGACGGGGGAGGAGAGAAATAGGAAGGTAGTGAAGGAAATATTTCCCTAACACGTGTGTATAATTTCGTATAATAAATCATGATGAGGTATTATATAAGATAACCCTAAATAGTAAATATGCATGTCTCTAGGAATGATAAGTATGCGTTGTATTTTAACCTAACAATCCTTAGATATCAACCTTGTTCGATTACCAGAATTTCGACCTCGAAATATCAACATAAAGTCCTGCAACTTGGACACGTACCTGTGTTTCTCATTGGATAGGATGGCACTCGGATCTCTCTGGAGAACTTCACACTCGCGAAATTGATCGTCCAGAGATTGGAACATTGTATTTTGTACACTGAAAAGTATCAAAAGCTCAATGATAACATTTTTACAAAATTATGGAAATTATGGAGCCATCGTGAAAGAGAGTCAACAGTAACATACGCTTTCATAATAACGTCTGGAAGAAGGGTGGCAACAGGAATGAGTATCACGCCAACCCAAAATACGGGAGAAGTAAACACCATGAAACCGATTCCAAAAATTTCTGCTCCGATTGGCAACGTACGCCATACCAGGCTGTAGATTATTAGAAATAAGACCCATATAACGATGGATCCCCAAATGGCGAGATGAGTGAACAGGGTCCAGGATTTCGTTTCAAGTCCTGCTTTTAAGCTCACAACTATCACAACGTACTGCAAAACAGAAGAAAAATCTATACATTATAAACATATTCTCACTGGAGTTGGAAAAAAATTGACAAAAGTCACTTACAGTGTAAATAAAATTTCCCAAGACTAGATAACCTCCTTCAGCTCCGTGTCCCCACACAATTCCATCCCCCATGGCCCAGTAGGATAACCAAAATAGAAAAATGGAATGTACAATAGAGTTCCCCACCCACATAAAGAATGTCTTGAGGTTAAAAGCATCTTTGTTCTGGCGGTATAATACTGGGAACTTCATTCGTATATCTTGGCTACATTGACGCTCAAATATTCCCATTGCAATTGGTTGGGCAGATGTGAAAAGCTGCAATAGTACCAGTACACAATATAGTTAATCATATATATTTATACATAACTCAAGTATGAACTTATATACCATGTTGTAAAAGCCGATCGTCCATCTTTCGAAAATTACTTGACCCGACCACGCAGAGTATATCGCAAACCATAGCTCAATGATGTAGAGACAAATATTTTTGTAGAAACTATAAAAGATAAGTTTGCACATCCGATCGTAATTCCAAGCTCCGTGGACGAATAGCAATTTCGCAAGAAAGTGGAACTAGGATAATACATTTTACCATTAGAATCATTAATAGATAGTATTTGTGTAATATTTCAATTTTACTTGGGCAATGGCATAATCAGACGCTGTTGCAGCTTGAAGACCTTCAACGCCTGAAATTCCGACGCCAACATGGGCCTTTTGAATCATAGCAACGTCATTTGCGCCATCTCCGATGGCAAGGGTGACTTCGCCGGTTTGGTGCGTTACGTATTCAACAATCTGTATTAAGATCAACATTAGATTACATTAATATACATGTGCAAAATAATTTTATTATTCAAAGAAATCGTACTTCAGCTTTTTGTATTGGGGAAGCTCTACAGACAATGACGGACTTGCAGCTACAACAAAGATCAATGAAATCCCTCCGCAAATCGCAACTAAGTGCATACGTTAGACTTTTGCCGTCAATAATTACGGCAGCCTCGTTTTCCTTTGGCAGAACATGACTATTGTCACGTGAAAGTGCATGAATATATCCTAGGATGCACTCCCGAGTGGCCTGTGAAATCAAATATATGAAATTTCAATCGGCATAGGCTCGAAATACCTCAAATTTGTATTTGTAACTAGAATCATACATCCAGGCTTTCTTGGTTGACAATTAGAAGCTCCATAGATTGACTGAGAAGGCGACTAGAGTACCCAATGTTAATGGCGGTTTCTTGCTTGTCGCCAGTCAATACCCAAACACTGATGCCTGCCTTTATGAGAGCAGCAATAGTTTCGGGCACCTATATCAAACATTGAATGACAATTAGAAATTGTATTTAACTTTCAATAAGAAAGTAGGGAGTGGATGTAGTCATACTTTGTCTTGCAGCTTATCCTCGATGGCTGTTGCGCCCAGTAATATGAGGTTCCTTTCAATGAGATTTGACGCTTCTTCTAATTTCAGCTCCCTATTTTGTATTGCCGTAGACGCCTTATGATAAATCTTTCTCCAATCCTGTACAACGAAACAACAAGTTCATAATTTTTGACAAAATACATAGCAAGACATTATATAAATAATAATTTATTGACCTCATAAGCATGCGGAGAAATATCTGCAGCTGCGACGCACAATGTTCGCAGACCTTGAGTGGCAAATATTTCCAAGTGTTCACGAGTTTTTTGCTTATTCGACTCAGAATTCCCATGCGCTGCGAGCCTCTCGTAAATTACTGTGTCAGCTCCCTGAGTGTTGTAAATAAAGAAATATTATTAAACCTTCAATTATTCTCTGATGGTAGTATCAGTAGTAACAACATACCTTGCAGAAAAGACGTATTTTGCCATTTGGGGCTTTCACTATCACTGACATTCGTTTACGAGTTGACGTAAATTCGAGCGCATTAAGAACTTCATATCTCTCTGTAACCCCCAACGCACTAATTTCTACATAACTAGGAGTTCTAGTATTAAACACGTAACCTAATTTGCTGGCACCATAAACTAAAGCTGAAATAAATTAAAAAAACAAGATTTGTTACATTATTTATTTGCATGTGCACACAAAAAGAAGTTATTGATTCATTATTTAAAGTTGTTGATTCCTTACCACGTTCATCCGGTGAAGCGGCGTGATAAACAACTTCTGTTTCTGTATGTTCAGGGATCACAGTATGGCAAACCGAAAGAAGAACTAGAAACTCTCTAATCTCATCTGCTGTCTTGTGGCCACTTCTCAAATTCTCGATAAGGGGAATGGGATCCAGAAGGAAGAAATCGGGGTCGTACATTTCCCCTCCTACGGTACACCCCTTGAATTCCATCACGTTTCTCGTAAGCGTGCCGGTTTTGTCAGAGAAAACATAACGAACCTGGAAATTCAGAGTTATCATGAGTAGACTGAATTCATACATACATATGCGCGTATGTATACTACATAAATTCTCATATATAAACTAATCCATCAAAAAATACGTGCTTACTTGTCCAAGTTCTTCGTTGAGATTTGAAGTCCTGGCCATGGCCGGAGTATCTGTTTCCGCACAGTACATATCACGGTCCATGTTAATGAACATTGCCTGCCACAAGATAACCAATATTAATCAGCAACATGGGTATATGAACAATATAGGTGAAACAAGGTAAATATATGCTTACCTGAATGAAACGGACTACTTCAAGGGTCACAGTGAGTGAGATTGGAATTAGATTGTTATACAAAATAAGGAAAGTCAGCGCACTTTGGAAAAATTTTAAGATTTTCCCTTTGACACCTGAAATCGTAAAATAATGGTTGAATTGTAGATATAAATAAATGAAAAATCTGTACATTGCATCATTAATTGTATCAATAATAATACCTGAAATTCCACCTTTCGAGGGTGGCAGATACCAGATTTTCTCCTCGTCGATGAGGACTAATGAAAATATTGCTGACATGACCGACACCAAGATCAAAAGAATGAAGAGCATTATGATTTGATTGTTTGTTAATTTATCAACAGTCGAGCGTTTCAGAGGGGCGGCGGTCGAGTTTTTGAGAAGTTTTGTTTCGTGACCAGTGTAGACTACTTGACCAAACACCCAATTTGTATTTTGAAGCTTTGCTCCTCGAAGTAGAACCTGATCGGGGCCCAACGCCAGTTCTCTGAAAATAGAGTTTATTATGAAACAATTGTCGTCATAAATATTTGCATTTCAATTTTGAAATATTCTGACTTACTCTCCTGCGTTGCCTAGCTTAAGCTTTCCAGCAAATTCATATAAATGGCGATTTGGGAGTTCACATTCCACGTATCCTGTTAAAGCAGCAAGATCTCTCGTATCTAGCACCTCTGCAGTTTCAGGCAGCCCTTGTCGAACTTTGAGATTTGTTTCGCCGTCCAAATTGGAAGTTTCGATATAGCAAATTCCTTGAGGTTCACTGTAATCAAATAGTCACGGCACATTTAAATGTGCACCCCACAGCAGCTAAGAATTAAGCACTAACCTCGTGGAATAAAGTATTAAATCGGCAGGGAAGAACATGTTGTTCTTCACTTTTAAAAAGTCTCCAACTCCCACATTAGACCACTTGACAGGCTGCCATTGCCCATTTTTTAAGACGTCAATCTCTCGATTATTAGTTTCTCTGTCGGCTACATGACGTTTCTATGAACAGACCAGATTATCATTACATAATTAATAATATGTATATCATAAAAATCTATATAATATATCTGTTGATTTCTTCTTACCCAGTCTTCTATGATTTCTTTGAGGGCAGAAACTGAGAGAATAAAAATAAGTGGGACTAGGGTGGTATATCTCCCGGTGGGTGAGACATCAGGTATTTGCTAAAATTTATCACACAAATTAATAACACCAACAACTCCAACAGTAGTAAATGCATAATGCTTTCTCCACTTTCTTCGGACTTACCTGAAGTAAAGCTATACAGAGAAAGAAAATGTTGGAGTAGCGACGAAACTGCTCAAATAAAAATGAGGGAATGAAAGACAAGACTGAATATTTGGCAGTGGAAATTTCATTGGTGAGGAAATGTTCTCCTTGTGGCTTGTTGATGAGGATCACTCGACTCTTGCCGTCCCCCGCATTCCTCGACAAAATTGCCCCATCCACGGTGTCCTCGCCTTGGTCATTCTGAGTCTCGGAGCCATTCAAGGTATTTTCCCCATCATCTGCAACCACGAGGGAGTACATGTCACTAATTTTTACTCTTTAAATACTCGTAGTACACCGCCACCACCCGAGGTATTCCCCCGGCAGAAAGATTTCCACGCGAATTGTCTAACGAAGTAATGCGCCTTCTCCTCTGCCTAATCCTAAAAGGAAAGGATTTCACTTCAATTTTACTACTAGAAAAAGAGAACGAAAAAAGTGCATCCAAATTGAAACTGGTCTTGATGTGGGTGGAACAGCGCACTTTCTCCGACGCCATGCAGGAAGTTAAACAATGAAAATAATTGGAACAATTTATGGAAAATTAAGAAAGTGTGTGAAATAAATAAATAAAATTTGTATGCGCAGGGGAAAGCAGCTCCATAGTAAAAAGTATATTAGTAAAGGAGAAGAGAAGACAAGTGAATCGAGGAATGTGAAGGTTGAACAGAAATCAATTGATTAACGTGTTGTGAATATTGCATTGCATACAAGTTCGGGGTCGTCCAATTAATGATGAAAAATAGTCAGATCCTCGCCGTTGGAAACGATCGATAAAATTTCGAAATTCCATCTTGCTTATCGGATTTCCTTTCCTTTCCTTTGCTCACTTATAACCAGTTGTGTTTAGTACAAGTGACACACTTTAATGTTCCGCTGGTTAACATTTGGTTCGACTTTGTAGAGGAGGCGGCCATGATTATTATGTGTTTTCCTGTAATTTCCTCTTGCTTTAACTGCTTTCACCAGATTTCACAACGCTAACAAACAGCCTGGCACTTTGAGTTTTTGCCTAAACGTAAACTACGTTCGGGAGATAATAAACAACTGCTGTGGCAGCAGTTGTATGGGAGCAATGGTCATGTTGTGACGACTACTACGTACGAACATCCATATGTCGGATCAAGGAAGGAGGAACTTCCGAGGAACGACTGCCAGATGAACTCGATCTGATGCAACTGCTAACTGCTCACTCACTTCGGAAGAGTGCCAACCAACCCCACCGTAGTGAAAGTCTGGTTGTATGTGCCCTACTATTATACTACCACCACGAGCTGGGATCAATAATATTGATCTGCACGGTACGAGAGGTAATGTGTAGTGCAAACCGCTTAAATTCTGCATGAAGAAAAATACAGATACTATATACATAAGTATATATATAATTTAGAAAAATGCTCTTCAGGGGAACACATGCAGACGAATGTATGTCCGGACGGCAAATTAAGTCACTACCAGATAGACCCCAATTATTAATAGCAAGGTCTTTAATTTTGAGGTAAACTGTTTGTCTCGCATTCACTCTCTCTCTCTCTCCCTCTTTGCATCGATGCACGTGGTAACTCTTCACCCAAGTTGGACAACTGAGCTATATAATATGCAATCAGTCGTCTCGTTCTGTCTGGAGGGAGGAGAGGCGTTCAGTCCTCTCGAGTGAATTTATTCCGCAATAAATTCGGAAGAGTCCTTGGAAGATTGCACATCCCAAAAAACCAAACCAGCACTACTGCATACACACACCGTGGAAAGAGAGCACGGCTTCATGGAAGTCTCATGAATGACACCGGAAAGCTGGATGCAAAGTAAGATGGGAAATGAGGCGTGTTTCTTGATTAGTATACAAAATAATGATTTATTGAAAGGGCAGATTAATGCCGGCCATGCTCACTGGCAAGTTAAACATATATAATGATGATTAAATTTATATAACCAAACTAGAAATTGGGTCAGGATTTTAAAGCAAAGGCGTATTTTCAACTGTTGAATGCGCATTTTCAGTTCCATTCAAATTGGAGGTCTAAGCTTCTAACTAATAAATTTAATGACCAGATTGAGTGAATGGCATGCAAAGTAAATATCCTTTTGCATATATTGAGCTTTATCTATGCAAATAAATTCAGAGGTCCAGTTTCCCAATTTACGGATTCTATTTTGAAATGTCAATATGAAAATTTATACAATGAAATCTAGTTATTTACTCAGATTTGGACAACAACATGCCGCCCTGGCATGCTCATTTGATTATTTGTATTCTCGACTAATGTACGTGTGATAGTTGCGTTGCGTTGCGATTTGATAGCAGTTTCACTTTATCATCACGAAACCTTGTTGAATTGAGTTTATTAGTCATAACTTGAACAGTGAAGAACTGCACAATCCTCTTCTGACACGATATGAACCATTATCCGAAATACAGCAGCAGCACACAGTTACAAAATGTTTTGTTTTGCATACTTTTTGTACCCTGAGTTCCGAAACTACTCCAATCTAAAAGCCCACCTTACCAATAAAACAACAACAACCGTCATCGTCAAGACCGGAGCTTCCTTATATCACATTTGAATAAATTATGTTCACCTCATACATACCTTGGCCTGATAGTTTTCCTGATAGTGTATGTACACATTGCACTTTAAACCAAACTGAACTGGGTGAATGGATAGATAAACGCTTCCTATATGATATTTATTTATATACATTATATGTAACGTAGTATGTAACATTCGCACACGCGATGGGATTAAATAGGAATCGCTTAAACCACAATGGTGGCAATAGTGGAAAAACAATTGGTTTGACAAGATTTATGAAACCAGGAGAGGGCAACAATCAATGAGCCACCAATACACATATATTTGTATGACATCCGCCTTTTCCCATGGAAGAACATGAAATAAGTAGAATCAACATGCACCTACTTACAAACATACATCCACAAAGCGACCGTTAATCATCTCTCAGCTCTTCCAACAAATGTCATCCCACACTTTTTTTGTCAGAGCTATAAACCAAAATGCCCAGTAGGTCAGCTCAAATGGATGCGAGATATATGTACAACCTTCACATTTGGCATTACTTTCTCTCCACCACCATTGGGTCTTAAATTATCAGGAGAGAAACTAATTCCAACCTAGAAAAAAGTGTGTGAGAGCGAATCTTTTAGTATGGTAGGCTTGCAGGATAGATGTACTATTATTCCATTACGAGGACATAATTCCATCATAATTCCAAGAACACAAGAAAAGGAAGGAACAGGGGAGCGATAACGTCACATTAATTCTGCATTTCCATCAAACCATGATTATTACGAGGATGAGGGTTGTTTTGATAGTCTGAATCAACCGAGATTCTCGATGGAATGATCCCCATAAAGTGTGTGGAGAGACGAGCAACACTCCATACTTGTTGGCTAGGAGAAAGCGAGAGTTTCCAGAAGAAGGAAAAAAGCGAGGAGTAGTGCGATTAAGAAATACTTGAGTTTATACTACTTTATGCTTCAAGTATTTGCTACTGTATTATTTGGAAGATGCTCGCATTCTCAGATCTTCTTTCCCAGTTTATAATTCTGTTCACGAGACGTGAAATTAACAAAAACTGTAAACAATCTCAGAAACAGAAACTGATGAAATTTTCGGGGGATCAAAGAAACGGCGAAATTCTAATTTTGGCCAGTACTCACAAAAGTTGGCGTCAACTTGACTATCGTCATCATCATATGTATCGCAGATTGTACGAAGTGCACAATACCACCACCACTACTACCATATGTATCCCTGAAAGTAGGCGTGTATTATGACAGCATAAACTGATTTGGAGTAATTGAAATCCGACCACACCCAACCTCAACAAAGATAAACATGGAATTTTGCAGTTAAATAAATCATCCATAATGAAAGGGTGCTATATAGCCTACCTTTTTGTTAGTCTGGCCTGGAGCACGGAGGACTATTATCATTACTTTACAAAGGAAGATAAGCTAAGTGAGTTGCCAAATTACATCTTGCATTTGTGCCCCCGAGGAGCGACCCAGATATTTATTTCCAGCCGTCGACGACAACGACGGTTTGATGACGTGAAAAATCCTTTTATGGTGGAAATGATGATACACAATGACCGTGCGACATTTGGCTCTTCTATAGTCCTCAAACTCCAATTACATTTTTTTCCACAAAAGCAGTTGACCATCTATTCATACGAGTCTCGTATTAAGTGTGCTTTGGAAGTAAAGTCAATTTTGCGCTATACTGGAAGAGCTCATATGTAGATAGTTTTATGCTCAAACAGTTCCTTCCTTCTTTGGTCAACTAACAGTTATTTCCTTGGAGTTAGAAATGTCACTGCATGAGATGATGACCTTTGATGTAAGTAATCGCCAAGGCAAAGACCCATTGTGTGTAAGATAATAAACGACATATATCTAGACATTTATGGACAAAAATGAGAGACTATCGAGGACTCACCATCTTCGACGGGGACATCAATGTGGAGATCTTCGTGAAGAGTGGCGTTAGAATTTTCTGGAGATAACGGCATATTTACGAGAGCGATATGTTCATTGGTATTTGTACTTTGACGAGGAGGTGTTGTGGACATTCCCCAAGAAAAACTCCAATAAATTTACAAAATTTATTACGGCGGATGAGGAAGAAGAAGAAGCAAAGCACTTTCCTCTCCCAGAGTTTTTAACCCCGTCGCTCCGATAATCCACTATGTAAGTCTGTCATTCTTCATCATTAAGGCACTTTCAATCTCCTGCAATATGTACCAAACAAAAGACAACATTCAACATTGTGCATGGAAAATAACATTATAGAAAATACAATAATGTGCTTATAGGTCCAAGAGAAAAATGAGAAAGGGAAAGCTTGTCGCAAGTGCTACATTACCCCAACCAAATTGACAATGATTATAGTTTTGCATTAGGATGCTGTCAAATCGCGAGTTGGAGATGACAACAATAACGACTAAAATATTCTCAATATTGTTATTAACCCTTGCGAAAAATACCACTTGCTTCTGATTCCCCACATTCACATTCAACTCAAAATTGACAGTAATGCACCCACATTTTTCGTATTTTTAGGAGACAGACATGTAGTATTTTTCTAGAAAATTGAGTTGTTTGAAATTTTAAACGAGTCAGCTTAAATAGCTGAAAAACTCTGTAACCGATGCCTGACTGCGTTGATATACAATATACAAAAATTATACGATACCAACAAAAGGAACTCCTAACAAACTGACTTGGTCGTGGGATCAGTCTTCCCTATAGCGTCAAGAATCTTGGAAAATGTCAGCGTATTCCCACGAGAGAATGAGACCGGAGTGAGAGGAGTGAAAGTTGAGAAATAGACAAAATCCATACTTACCCACCAGCCTGCATCATCCAACATTGGATTGGTGATGGATCTTGTCAGTGTAAATTATGTTCCCTTATCTACTATTTCTATTGTGCACTTATTGATACACATATGAGACCAATTATGAGGAGGAAACTTCAGCTGAGACAACTTCCGACGACTATCGTTTGCCAGAAATGTGGTAAACTTCTTCATTCGCTGGTCTCTCACTCAGTCAGTCGTTTGGTTGGAGGCTGCCCAGATAAATATGTGTGGGAGAAAGTCAAGTCAGATCTTGCCTGCTTCCTTCCTTGCCCACCAACCTTTAGATCAGGACTGAACGCTTTCTCACTTTGTCGGAGCAAGTGAGTGAGCGGAACGAGTTTCTCAACATTATGCAACTAACTCGGCCAGTTCGCTCCTTGAAACACCAGAAGCAAAACCTAGCCAAACCTTCGTCGAGCTACACACATGCGATGATACGAATGTAAGTTTAGAAGAGAGAAAGAAGTTTGGAAAGTGAAATGAAAACGGCTCGTTTTACACGACCCAACTTTCAGTTTTCACTAACCAGCACGGTGGAGTAAGAGAAGTGGAAGTTCATCCCATCCACAGGTCTTCCTTTAACCAGTGAATACAAGATCCTTTATGAATAATACACTTTACAGTCATGGCTGTAGAGAGAAAGAGAAGCAACAGAGAAACAAGTTCCAGTCTCTTCTGTTCATTTGTGACTTGTTTGCAATTCCGCACAAGTGCTTCTCTTGCCACAGCAGTATGTTTGCTTTTGTTCAAATTCAATGAACGGGTGGGTGCATGGATGGACGGACGAGTGTCAGAGAGCTAAAAGTGATCAACCAACTGCTTTGCAGACAACGACTTAATTAAGTAAATGCACGTGAAAAGAGAGAGATAAAGAGAAAACCCTGTGCCAATTTCAAATGTAAACCGCAATAACTAACTACATACTTGCAACACACCATTACTTTCTCTTCCACAATATGCGGCGACACATTATAAGCGCATTATTCCATCCATACACATATGCATTCACTCAGTTCATTTCCAATTTTCAATTAAGCCCCATCGTTAGAAAAAGTAACAATTATCATCATGAGACACTGCTTAAGAATTGATAACCGCATTACATAAATGTCGTTGCTGCTGCTCTGCTTTATTGCATGCACTTTCTGGAAGTAATCAATTAGTAAAATTCATGAGAAAGTCTGTGACGACAGTGCACATACGTACATATTATAGCATTTCCGGGTAGTGTTCAAGTAATTTCTAACAACTTTCCCCGGCACCTAGTTAGAGATGAACCCCACCATATATTTAATAATAAATGTATCCGACGATTTTTTTTCGGCTAAACCGTGCATTATATGATGTTGCCGGCTGAGC